ACTTTTCTTGCCATATTTATTAAGTGACAGCAGTTGTTAAATTATGGTTATAACATGGTTTTTAAGTGAATCTGGTTTCCCCGTTGACTTTGCTTGCCAAAAGGTCGCAAAAGGGGATCACGTAACCCTGGGACACTCATAAATATGCGACCGTCATAAATAAGAGCAGATTGCCAAGCATTCAAATTTTGGACACATGACCATGGGGATCTTGCAATGGTCATAAGTGTGAAAAATAATCATAAGTCACATTTTTTTAGTGCCATTATAACCTTTGAACGGTCACTAAATGTACTGATGTAAGTCGAGGACTACCTGTACACATGCCCTCACCATTCATTTCTTCCCCAATTAGAAAACAATGACAGCTTTAAGAATTAATTAAAAAGATCGTTATAATAACAAAAAAACCAATGACCAGCTTTAGGAATAATTAAGCAGCTTTAAAAAGAAGCTAATTTCACGCTTTAAAAAGAAGCTAATTTCACATAGCTGACACTCTCCTGTGTATACACACATACACCAAAAATTGCAGCTTTCCCTGCCTGATAACAGAATACATATCCATTTCTCAAGATACCCATCCCTCTACATTTGCTTTGTCTTCCAATCTGACCCAAAGCAGCTGGTGTGACCCACTGATGACCTTAAAAAACACTTATCAATTTGAAAAATGTTTTCTTTATTCCATCTCATCCTTCCTCTTTCTCCATTCCCATAAAACCAGACAGAGAAATGGATTAGTCCAGTCTTTCTCAATCCTGGCAAAGCTGACTGGGAATTCTGGGAATTGAAGTCCACACATCCTTTCTTGTGTTTATATCTGGTGTCTTGTTCTCTATGGTAAATATATCCATGCAACCATTCTATGTAACACAAGGATTTTGCAAACCCCTATGAAGTAAATACAAATGAGGCTCGCTTTCACGCGAACATGGAATTATTCACCACAATCCCTAATCAAGGCACAAACTGAAATTCAGAAGAAGCATCTAAGGTTTTCGTTCCTCCAAGCTCTGTCCGCAAAATGAAGCTGACGATTACCGAGTTATAAATGAGAAAAGTTGACAAATCCACAGGAAAACCCTCCCTAGGCTCCATTGTGTGTAATATGAAAGAGGAGGAGATGGCAAGGTTTCCATTCGAGAGGGCACGTGAAATCTATCCAGAAACTATCATCCGCGCGACTAGCCCAGATTCATGCAACAACTAAATCATGTCCTAAGAAGTCACCAACATCTTTGTTTCCAAGGGATAGGGGTTTAGGGATGCTTCCCAAGGGCAGAAGCTGCTCCCCCAAGCCATTCGGCAGGCTGGGCCCTACCTGTGACCCTGGCTCGCCTATGTATAAATAAAGAGAATTTGGTCCAGCGGTTAAGGCATCAGGTTAGAAAGCGGGAGAACCTGAGTTCGAGTCTTGCATTTGGCATCAAAGCCAGCTGGGTGATTTGGTTCAACCATCCGGACATGGTGAGTTCTAGTTCCACCTTACGCATGAATGCCAGGTGGGTGACTTTGGGCCAATCATTAGGAGACTGTGAATTCTAGTTCCACTTTAGGCATAAATGCCAGGTGGGTGACTTTGGGCCAATCATTAGGAGACTGTGAATTCTAGTTCCACTTTAGGCATAAATGCCAGGTGGGTGACTTTGGGCCAATCATTAGGAGACTGTGAATTCTAGTTCCACTTTAGGCATAAATGCCAGGTGGGTGACTTTGGGCCAATCACCAGGAGATGGTGAATTCTAGTCCTGTCTTAAGGATGAAAGCCGGCTGGGTGACTTTGGGCCAGTCGCCAGGAGATTTGTGAATTCTAGTCCCGCGTTAGGCATGAGATCTGTGTTGGTGACTTTGGCCAGTCCCTCCCTCTCAGCTCCACCCACCTCACAGGGCCATTGTTGTTGGAAAACAGGAATAGGAAGATTTGTTGAATAAGACCACCTCCATGAGTCGTTTGTAAAAATAATAAAGGTGGCATAATAATCTAATCAATAAACAAAACAAATAAAATGCTTCCAGGCCAAGCAGAGGAAAGGAATTCTTCACTGCTCTGAATCCAATTTCAGTGACAGCCAAGTTGGCGCAGCGGTGAAAATGCCGCATGAGAAAAGGCAAGTGTGTGTGTGTGTGTATGTGTTCTGAGTTCTAGTCCCATTTTAGGCATGAAAGCCAGCTGGACCTCTCACAAGGTTGTTGTTGTGGGGAAAGTAAGAGGAGAAAGGAGCGTTCAATACGCTCAAAGTCTTGAGTTATTTGTAAAAACAATCAAGGTGGGAGATAGACAGACAGACAGACAGACAGGCAACAGATTAAAGATAGATAAATAGATAGAGACAGATAGATAAAGGTAAAAGGTAATAGTTCCACTCGCATATATGTGCTGGTCGTTCCCGACTCTAGGGGGCGCTGCTCATCTCCATTTCAAAGCTGAAGAGCCAGCGCTGCCCGAAGACGTCTCCGAGGTCATGTGACCAGCATGACTGAACGCCAAAGGCACACAGAACGCTGTTACCTTCCCACCAAAGGTGGTCCCTATTTTTCTACTTGCATTTTTTACGTGATTTCGAACTTCTAGATTGGCAGAAGCTGGGACAAGTCACGGGAGCTCACCCCGTTACACAGCCCTAGGGATTCGAACCACTGAACTGCCGACCTTTCGATCGACAAGCTCAGCATCTTAGCCACTGAGCCACCGCATCCCTAGATACCTATCTAGATACGGAAGGATAGATAATGATAGATGGACGATAGAGCGATATAGATGATGATAGGTAGATGTATAGATACAGAAGATAGACAGATACCTAGAGATGCATGCATACATAGGAACACACCAGCATGTATATCCCGCCTTGATTGTTTTTACAAACAACTCAAAGCTTTGAGCATTTTTTTTTAAAAAAATATTTCTTTGCAAACAAAATATATAACAACATATAGATCACGGTGAGAACCTTACACAATATTTTATCTTCAGTCCAAATATACAAATAAGAAATAAAAGCTACGCTAACCTTATCCTCTATTTATTCTATTATTTAGCCAAGTATACCATTGGTCCCAACACTGAAAATATGCAGATTCTTTTTGATCTCTCAAAGCTTTGAGCATATGGAAAGCTCCTTTCTCCTCTTACTTTCCCCACCACACACAAACACAAAGAAGGCATATATATATAGTATATAGTTATATAGTTTTCCGCTGTGCTCTTAAGACCTGCTCTTCCGACAGGCAGGGCTAGCTTCATAAATTGAGTTTTAAATTTGGAATTCTTAAAATTTTTGGATTTTTTAGTTAATTGGCCTTAAATGTAATACTTTTAATAATTTTTTTAATTTAAATTGTGATTGATATTTGTATTGTTTTATATGTGTGTATGTGTATACAGACACAGACACACATGGCATGTAAGTATGTATGTATGTATGTATATATATATGACTTATATGTGTGTGTACACACACACATATAAGGCATATATATACACACACACATACACACACACAACGGGGGGTTGGGTGTGCATGCACGGGGCGCATTGAATTATGGGTGTGGGCACATGCAAACCCGCCCCCATGCTCCCCACGCTTTTGGCACGCGACTGCAAAAAGGGTAGCCATCACTGCCCTATACCATTTCGGACAAAGGGCTGTCCAGTCTCTTCTTAAAAACCTCCAGTGATGAAGCACCTACAACTTCTGAAGGCAACTTCTGTTCCACTGGTTGTTTTGTCCTCATTGTTAGGAAATTTCTCCTTGGTTCTAGGTTGCTTGTCTCCTTGATTTGTTCCCTTCCATTGTTTCTTTGTCCTGCCTTCAGGTGCTTTTGTGCCTAAGACAGGACTAGAACTCCCCATCTCCTAGTAATTGGCCCAAAGTCACCCAACTGTCCTTTGTGCCTAGGCAGGACTAGAATTCACAGTCTCCTAATTTCTAGCCTGGTGCCTTCACCACTAGACCAAACTGCTTTTTTTTTTAAAAAAAAAATAACAATGGTATTGTTCTAAAGCTGGGAGCCTGGATAGCTCAGCAGACTAATGCATTGTAATTTAACTCCAGCTGTCTGCAATTAGTAAGTTCGAATCTCGCCAGGCTCAAGATTGACTCAGCCTTCCATCCTTTCTAAGATAGGTAAATTGAGGACCCAGTTTGTGGGGGCAATAAGCTGACTTTGTATAAAATATACAAAAGTATGAAGGCTATTGCTTAACGCATTGTAAGCCGCCCTGAGTCTCTGGAGAAGGGCGGCATATAAATCAAATTAAAAAAAAAAAGCTATGTTTATGTTTTACCCTGGAGAGGGTCTATCTCTGTCTACTTGCTAAAGGTGAATACTGACTTAATGGAACACAATCAACCAGTCAATGGAAATGAACATCTTAAGACCGTACAGAAAGGAAGCTGGTATGGAATAACATCACATCACGTTGCCCAAAAATGGAAGAGTAAAGAAATCCCCTTTGAAGAAGAAGAAGAAGAAGTGCTAATCAAAATCCTCAATTGTGCAGAAATGGACCGACTTACCTTGGATAAGTTCAAGGATAAAACTGAATCAGCGTACTACGAAATCTGGACTAAATTTTATGACCGGTTGGACAGGAGGAGGAATGCCAAGATGAAGGTGTAATGAATGTCTAGAAATGGACACGTCAACGTATGTTAAATCTGTATGTGTGAGATATGATTATATTCAGTATAGATGTAGCTGTTTAGAAGGAATTAATTTATATATATATACTTGACATGCAAGAAGTAACATACATTTGTACAAAGATAAAGACGTATGTTATGTATTTGCTTAAATTTGACGATAATGGTGAAAACCAGAGAGGTTAAACCATGCCTATTGTTTTTTAACTTGAATTACTAATAAAAAACTTTTAAAAAAAAAAAAAAAAGAATAACATCACATCACACCAACACCCAGACACAAAACAACTACTGGTCTGGGTTATAGTTTTGAAACATATTCTCCAGATGTTTCCAATGTTCTTTTGTAAGCAAAATAGAAATCCAGTCTCAAGTCAAGCGGAAAAGGATACCAGGTTTCTCTGCTTGCATCAGGGGCCTCGTGTCACAATGATGACACAACTCTTTACTGTCACTCATGATGAAAACCAAATTGGTGTTGGAAATCTTCTCTGCGTGAAAAAGCCTGAGAAGAAAAAAAAGCCAAACGACACCCAACAGTTAAAGGCTGAGATCCAGGGAATTTCAGTATTAGAAAATGAACAACAGTCGTTGCAAATATTGTCTGAAATAGTCTCCGGAGAAGGGCGGAGACGATCCCAGCTGAGTTGCCTGATCAGCAGAGGCTTTTTTTTCTTTTAAAAACATTTTTTCTACAACCTCTTCAGCCAAAGAGGTGTGTAAAAAAAATGCTTTTAAAAGCCTCTGATGATCCCAGCTGAGTTGCCTGATCGGCAGAGGCTTTTAAAAGAAAAAAAAAACCTCTGCCAATCAGGCAACTCAGCTGGGATCGTCAGAGCCTTTTGAAAGCATTTTTTCGCCGAAGAGGTTGTAGAAAAAATGGTTTTAAAAGTAAAAAAAAAAAAAATTGGCCACACCCACCCAGTCACATTACCCCCACCATCACCAAGCCACGCCCACAGAACCGGTAGTAACAAATTTTAGTTTTAGTTTAGTTTAGTTTATTTGATTTGTATACCGCCCTACTCCCGAAGGACTCAGGGCAGTGAACAGCCAACAATAAAATACATAAATACACAAAATTTAAAAACCCGATAAAATCAAATTAAATTATTTGGCCCAGACAAATTAAAATACCCCAATAATTTTAAAACAGATTAAAATTTACGTATTTAAAAAGGGAAGAGATTAGATTTCACCCCTGGCTTGGCCTTATTGGTATGCGCTCAATAGCCCGATTGGGCTATTTTATTATCAGGGGATGTCTTATTTTGGGGAAACAAGGTATTATGAAGGGGGGGGGGTGAATGCATTAAGAGTTTCAAAATGACACCTACCTAGAACAGTTGATACAGTCCAGAATGCCATTGAAGGATTTATCGTCAGACCCAAAGAAATATTGCGTTTGTACCGTGATACAACTCTGCTTGGATGGGAAGCCGCTGAAATCATCTTCTTCCACTTCCGCTGTGGAACAAAAAACATGGTCACCTCTGTGTGACGTTGCCGATGGATACAACTTTTCTCTCCCGTTTTTCTTCTTACCTGCCCCAAGGAAACGTGGGAAGGTCAGCCCCCAGACCAGCTGCTGCAAAATAGACCTAGGTCAACAAATAACAACACAGAGATAGAACAACCACATCAGTATCCATTATAGCGACCCCAGCAATGAAGAATTCTTACATTTTCCTCTGTTGCTAATTCCATGTTTTGTACACAGGTAGCCCTCGACTTACGGCCGGTCACTTAGTGGCCATTCAGAGTTAGGACGGAACCCTCAAAAGGTACTTTCAGCCTGGTTCTGAAGTTCTGGTGGCCACCGTTTCCCCCCTCCCATAATCACACCTCTGGATTTTGGCTCTGCAATCCAACAAGACAGACACCGACTTCAGGGGATAAGTAGAACTGCAGAAAAAACAATGGCTACCAACCTGCGTTCCACTGAGGATATGTATACTGCACGAGTCAAAAAGAGGGCTGTGAAAATATCTACAGACCCCTCGCATCCTGGACATAAATTGTTTCAACTCCTACCCTCAAAACGACGCTATAGAGCACTGCACACGAGAACAACTAGACACTAGGACAGTTTTTTCCCGAACGCCATCACTCTGCTAAACAAATAATTCCCTCAACACTGACAAACTAAGTCTGCACTACTATTAATCTTCTCATCCTTCCTATTACCTATCCCACTAATTACCTATCCTCCCACTTATGACTATAACCATGTTGCTTGTATCTTTACAATTTATATTGTTTTTATTGTTTCCTAGTACGATTTGATTGCTTATTAGTAACCCATGACTATCACTAAATGTGATTCTTGATGACAAAAAAAAACATCATAAATTTCAGTCCTGTCACTGTAGGATGTTACAAAACAGCTGTAGATATAGGATGGTTCCCGAGTGGTCAAAATAGAATTCTTTATTGGCCAAGTATGATTGGACACACAAGGAATTTGTCTTTGGTGCATACGCTCTCAGTGTATATAAAGAAAAGATACGTTTGTCAAGAATCGTAAGATACAACACTTAATGATAGTCATAGAATAGAATAGAATAGAATAGAATAGAATAGAATAGAATAGAATAGAATAGAATGAATGGAATGGAATGGAATGGAATGGAATGGAATGGAATAGAATAGAATAGAATAGAATAGAATAGAATAGAATAGAATAGAATAGAATAGAATAGAATAGAATAGAATAGAATAGAATAGAATAGAATAGAATAGAATAGAATTCTTTATTGGCCAAGTGTGATTGGACACACAAGGAATTTGTCTTTGGTGCATACGCTCTCAGTGTACATAAAAGAAAAGATACGTTTGTCAAGAATCGTAAGGTACAACACTTAATGATAGTCATAGAATAGAATAGAATAGAATAGAACAGAACAGAACAGAACAGAACAGAACAGAACAGAACAGAACAGAACAGAACAGAACAGAATAGAATTCTTTATTGGCCAAGTGTGATTGGACACACAAGGAATTTGTCTTTGGTTGCATAAACTCTCAGTGTACATAAAAGAAAAGATACAGCTTCCCTTCAGAAGTTGTGAGTGCTTCATCACTGGAGGTCTTTAAGAAAAGACTGGACAATTGTCTGAAATGGAATAGGGTGTCCTGTTTGAGCAAGGGGTTGGACTAGAATAGCAGCCCCCAATCTTTTTGGGCATCAAGGACTGGTTGAACGGAGAGTGTTTTTTTCACGGACTGGAGATGTCATGCCATAGCCCGGTCCATAGACCAGGGTTTGGGTACCCCTGGACTAAAAGACCTCCAAAGTCCCTTCTGACTCTATTTTATATCCTATCCTTACAGAATTTGATCAAGACATTCATACGTTTCAAATGTGTAATGATCCTGTCTGTAAATTCCAACTTACCAGGCAGCTGCAGATGCCCACCATCCAAGATGTAAAATATCTGCTATGGTAGGCTAGAAAAAGAGGAAACAAAGAGCAGAATTTTAGAAGAATCTTTGAAAACACCAATGGATTCTCTCCATCCAACCTCCAGATGTGGATTGACTGATTTATTTATTTTATGGAATTTCACTGTCACCTCTGGTTTTCTGGGAGGCTAAGTTTTATTAGTTTTTTTTTTTAACATGCTGATATTGTTAATGCTAATAATATCTTTACTGTACCTCTTAATACCCAAACAATTATCTAAAGAGGTTCTCAATCATCCAAGACATGGTTGTCCCCAAAGGTGCTTTTTCCAAAAGACAACTTTTGATATATGGTATAGGTTCTTCTGCTTGAACAGGGGGTTGGACTAGAAGACCTCAAAGATCCCTTCCAACTCTCTTCTCTTCTCTTCTCTTCTCTTCTCTTCTCTTCTACTCTACTCTACTCTACTCTACTCTACTCTACTCTACTCTACTCTACTCTTTCTCTATTCTATTCTATTCTATTCTATTCTATTCTATTCTATTCTATTCTATTCTACTCTACTCTACTCTACTGTATTCTTTCTTTATTCTATTCTATTCTATTCTATTCTATTCTATTCTATTCTATTCTATTCTATTCTATTCTATTCTATTCTATTCTATTCCATTCTATTCCATTCCACTCTACTCTACTCTACTCTACTGTATTCTTTCTCTATTCTTTCTCTATTCTATTCTATTCTATTCTATTCTATTCTATTCTATTCTATTCTATTCTACTCTACTCTACTCTACTCTACTCTATTCTTTCTCTATTCTATTCTATTCTATTCTACTCTACTCTACTCTACTCTACTCTACTCTATTTTATTCTTTCTCTATTCTTTCTCTATTTATATTCTATTCTATTCCATTCCATTCCATTCCATTCTACTGGACTTTCTTGAAATTTTCTTTGAAAACGTTTCACTCCACATCCAAGAAGCTTCTTTGGTTCATTTCAAAGTCCAATTGCCTTTTGGAAAAAGCAGCTTTGGGATACCCAAACATTATACAACTGTTGACTCTTAGTGACCACATAGATTTTTCTCCATGACATTCTAACCCTAACCTATCCCTGATCCTCATTGCTACTGTAACTGTACTGTAAGTGAGGCCATCATCCATCTTGCTCCTGATTGTCCTTCTCTTTTCTCCCACCTTTCCCCTCCCACTGAGCCTTCTCCAGAGAGCTGGGTCTTCATATCATGTCCGAAGTAGCATAATGTAAGCCTGGTCATCTACACCTCAAGTGAGAAATCTGGGTTAATTTGTTTCATAGTCCATCAGCTTGTTTCCTTGGTTGTCCATGGTATCTTCAATAGTCTTCTCCAACACCAAAGTTCAAAGGCCTCAATACTCTTCTTATTTTATCTTCTTTGAAGTCGAACTTTCACATCCATGAAGTAACACAAGTCTTGTCCCAAAGATGCTTTTTTCAAAGGCAACGGGAGTTTGTTTTTTTCTTAAAGACCTTTCACTTCTCATCCAAGAAGCTTCTTCAGATGTTTCACTTCTTGAAGACCTTTCTCTTCTCATCCGAGAAGCTTCTTCAGATGTTTCACTTCTTGAAGACTTTCTCTTCTCATCCAAGAAGCTTCTTCAGATGTTTCACTTCTTGAAGACCTTTCTCTTCTCATCCGAGAAGCTTCTTCTCAGAAGAGAAGAGAAACATTTTCAAAGAAAAAACAAAGTCTAGTTGCCTTTGAAAAAAGTATCTTTGGGACAACCATAACCTGGATGACTGAGAATTTCTGTAGACATCTAATGCAAGGCTTACACAGTTCTGATCTTTATAAGTGTAGACACATCATGGCATCTCAATATCATTTCCAAGGCCTTTATAGCTGTTTTAGTGTGTGATATACTGTATTTCTTGACTGTTGATGGTTGATCATTAAAAGCAGAAGCTATTCACCATTGCAATATCTTCTTCATCATCATTTCTAAGGCTGGGTGTTCTACTTGCTGCCAATCTTTTAATCTCTTTTTAATACCTTGTAGACGTCACTTACTAGGACTAGTGCTTAGATTTATATACCACTTCACAGTGCTTTGCAGCCCTCTCTAAGCGGTTTACAGAGGCAGTACATTGCCTCCAACAATCTGGGTCCTCATTTCACCAACCTCGGAAGGATGGAAGGCTGAGTCACCTTGAGCCAGTTAGGATCGAACCGCAGGCAGTGGCAGAATGCAATCTTGCATTCTAACCACTGCGCCACCATGGCTCCTTACACCCTTTCTATGCCCTTCTCAATATGTATTTTCTTTCTTATTTTCCTCGGTTTTTCATCATTTTAGATTTGACACCGGCATTAGTTAGCGATCGTAACAAAGCCAAAGCGATATGAATCAAAAATGAATCAAAGCGATAGGAATCAAATTACTGTTGCTAACTGAGGCATTGGTAAAGAATTTTTTCGGAAAGGTGCAATGCCTACTGACCACATTGACGGAGCGAAGTCCTGCTCCTTGTTTCGGTTCATCTTCTGGATCGCACACCGACTGATAGTCGTAAGACTTGTTGAAGGCATACAAGGACATATTAATGAGATTTCGCATGAGGCCTGGGTCAATCTCCCCAAAGAATTTTCCGATCTAAGGCACAAAGGGGATTTTCCGAGGAGTTGCTCTGTTCTCCCAGGTCAGACTATTTTTTAAAAAAACAAAACAGCACCAGGATGCTGGTCCCAAGACCCGAAGCCCATCATCCTCCGTGGGTTATAATTCATCCCGCAGCTTAGGGGGGTAGTCCATGCCAAAAAAGGAAGACGGCCTCCGGTGCACGTCCCTCTCCCGTTTCACGAAGGCGGTGAAGGAAGAAACGCAGTTGCCGATAAAATGGTCGGACTGGCCGAGGATATACAGATCTATCTGGGCCACTTCGGGTTGCAAATGGACCACTTTTACCTGCGATGAGAAAACAGCCACAATGCCTTATTTATTTTATTTTATTTATATCCCTCCTTTCTTACTTTTTATAAGTAACTTGTTGGTCAATAGATCTAAGACAATTTCCTCCTCTCATTTGAACCACAACAACCTTGTGAGGTAGGCTGAGCTGAGAGTGAGAGACTGGCCCAGTCACCCAGTTGCCTTTCATACCTAAGGCGGAACTAGAACTCACCATCTCCTGGTGAATGGCCCAAAGTCACCCAGCCGGTTTTCATGCCTAAGGCAAGACTAGAACTCACCATCTCCTGGTGATTGGCCCAAAGTCACCCAGCCGGTTTTCATGCCTAAGGCAGGACTAGAACTCACCGTCTCCTGGTGATTGGCCCAAAGTCACCCAGCCGGTTTTCATGCCTAAGGCAGGACTAGAACTCACCGTCTCCTGGTGATTAGCCCAAAGTCACCCAGCTGGCTTTCATGGCTAAGGCAGGACTAGAAGTCACCATTTCCTGGTGATTGGTGCAAAGTCACCCAGTGGGGTTTCGTGCCAAAAGTGGAACTAGAACTCGCTGTCTCCTAGTTTCTAGCCTAAATCATTAACCATTTTTCTTGGAAATAAAGGACCACAAAAAAACCACAAATGTGAGGTATGGAGGTGCCTATCACCCTAGAGACAAGATGCCTGACATCAGCCATCTCCATCTGCTGATCCCTGATGCTGCGTAGGATGACATAATATTCATTTTCCTACAGCCAAACTATTTTTTAACTTGCGTAACTATTTGGCTTCCCAATATCAAATGTGAAAGTTTTTTTTTTTCTATTGGAGTTTTACTTAGTCATTTTTCCAATTATTTTGCCCCAAAATGGGCTAGATGATGTGTGGCTGAGGTTGCTGGATTTGCCATTGGTTCTTCCTTTTTAATTCTTTTATAATTATTGTATTGTTTGTAATGTTGTTATGTACACTGTCAGGAACTGGGCTGTATCTAAATTAAATTACAATTAAATTTTGGGGCATGATCCGGCCTCCAAATGCTGAGTTTTGCTCTTAGCTGTGCAGGTAGACCTCGACTTACAACGGTTTGTTTAGTGACCGTCCCAATGGTCATTAAAACAAGTGATTTATGACCATTATTCACACTTATGACCGTTGCAGCGTTCCCCACGGTCCCATGATTTACATTTGGATGCTTGACAACTGACTCATATTTATGACGCTGGCAGTGTCCAGGGGTCACGTGACCTTCTGACGAAGGGGAAGCCAGATTCACTGAACATCTGCAATGATCCACTTAACGACGGTGGCAAGAAAGGTCGTAAAATGGGGCAAAACTCACTTAACAAATGTCTCCCTTAGCCACATAAAACTCTGGGCTCAATTGTGGTCGTAATTCGAGGACTGCCTGCACACCCCTGTCAACACTGGCAGAGAGAAGCAGAATTTTCTTCGATCGGCGGTGGAGATTACCTTTCCTTCAAAAAGCTGCTGTATCTCTTTGGTGTAGGGCTCTGAGTCGGTGGCCACGTACACGGTTTGGGCCTCCACCTTTTCCACCCAGAGTTCCAGGGCACGCTTGATCTCTTTCAGATCCGGCAAGCACATATCCATGGTCAGGGGGGCGGCAGTGTTGCGATTGTAACCCACGCATTGTGGTGACGCCATCAGATGCGACCCCGCAGTGCCCTCCTTCAGCAGATTGCAGGCGTTTTTCTAACAGGAGGCAAAAAGAAGGGAAAAATTAAAAAAAACAGTCAGTGCTGGCTGATAAATCTTCGTATCGATGGGATGAGCTTCGGGGATCCATGATTTCGTAGTTGCGCGACTTAACCTCGTTTAGCGACGGCACAGAATAAAAGTCACTTACGACCGTCCCAAAGGTGCTTTTTTTCAAGAGGCAACTGGACTATCATATATGGTGGACTTGCAAGAAAGTGAAGGCTTTCTGGATAAAAATTTGGTGGGTTATGCAAAATGTTTTGAAGAAAAAAACTCCAATTTTCTCCTCAATTGTTTTTATTGGGCATAGTTAAGGGCTTTTCAATGGGTGAAACAAAATTGATATTGTATATGGTGACAGCAGCTAGGTTACTGATTGGTCAATATTGGAAAAGGGATGTTTTGCCTACTATTGAAGAATGGACTTTGAAGGTGGCCAGTTTTGCAGAAATGGCGAAGATATCAGCATACTTAAAAAATCGGACTCAAGAGACCTATGCATGGGAGTGGAAGAAATGGATTGATTATGTGCAGAATAAATACCAAACTAGGAAGTACCAGATAGCTTTTAGTTGAATGTTGTGTAGAAATGTATAGTATATAGGGGATAGAATAGTTCAATGTCATGTAGAAATGTATAGTATACAGTGGGGAGAATAGAAGGGCGGTAAAGTATGATAACATATGATTTGGATTTGGATTTCACCTTGGGGAAGTCATGGGAAGAGGGGAGGGTTAGGGAGGGGGGGGCAATGGGAAAATATGTATTTGTAAAACTTTTCCAATAAAAAAAAAGAAAAAAAAAAGAGGCAACTGGACTTGCTGGTTTTTCCTTTGAAGAAGTTTCGCTTCTCATCCAAGAAACTTCTTCAGCTCTGCCTGGATGGTGGGGAACGGAAGGATTTATACTTCCATTCCATCAGGGCTAGATTCAGCATCTGCATTTCAAAGACACAGGCCCCTCTTTTGGAGACAGCAAAGTCCACATTTTGGAGAGAGAGGACCGCTGGTTTGGAAGAGGGGGTCAAAGAGGCCCCTGTGTCCAAACTGAACAGTCCTCCCTCAACAGCGGGGGAGGGATACAACACCAGCTAACTTCTGTCTACAACACGGTCCTTTCAACAGTTCCAAGAAGGCTCCACACCCTGAGAGCACAGATAAACCTCCCAAGTGGCCTCAACGACTCTCTAAAAGGATGCAAATGACCAGCCGTCTGCATAAATCAAGACATTTCACTTCTCACCCAAGAAGCTTCTTCAGTTCTGACTGAAATGGTAGAGGATGGATAGATTTATATTCTTTGCAGTCCTCTGGTCGTTTGCGCTCTCTCTGAGAGTCGTTGAGGCTACTTGGAGGCTTATGTGTGTTTATCTGTGTTTAAGATCATCTGAATAGTGCAAATGGGTGTGGAACCTTGGAACTGCTGAAAAGAAGTTCATTTACACCCATTTGCACTATTCAGCTGACTCCGAGGGCATAGATAAGCCTCCAAGTGGCCTCAATGATTCTCAGAGAGAGAGAGCAAACGACCAGAGGACTGCAAGGAATATAAATCTTTCCCTTCCCCACCATCCAGTCAGAGCTGAAGAAGCTTCTTGGATAGGAAGCAAAACATCTTGAAAGAAAAAAACACGAAAGTCCAGTTGCCTCTTGAAAAAGCACCTTTGGGACAACTGTGACCTGGATGATGGAGAATCTCCACGTTTTTTCCACACTTACAACCGTTGCAGCATCCACGTGGTCACGTGATCCACATTCAGAGGCTTGGCAACTGGTATGTATTTAATGACGGTTGCAGTGTCCCCTGGTCACAGGATCCCCTTTTGCGACCTTCTTGCCATCAATGTCAATGGGGGAGTCAGATTCACTTAGCAACCGTGTTACTAACTTAACTACTGCAGTGAGTAGAGCCTGTAGCACAGTGGACTATAGCACTGTTATTAACAGATTAACATCTTCTGCTTGCAATTACTGCAAGTTCAAATCCCACCAGGCTCAAGGTTGACTCAGCCTTCCATCCTTTCTAAGGTAGGTAAAGTGAGGACCCAGATTGTGGGGGCAATAAGCTGACTTTGTATAAATATACAAAAGTATGAAGGCTATTGCTTAACGCATTGTAAGCCGCCCTGAGTCTCTGGAGAAGGGCGGCATATAAGTCAAATTTAAAAAAAGAAGAAGAAGAAGAGGAGGAGGAGGAGGAGGAGGAGGAGGAGGAGGAGGAGGTCTTGGACCAATCACCAGGAGATGGAGAGTTCTAGTCTCACCTTTGGCACCAAAGCCACCTGGGGGATCTTGGACCAATCACTAGGAGATGGAGATTCTAGTCCCACCTTTGGCACCAAAGCCACCTGGGGGATCTTGGACCAATCACTAGGAGATGGAGAGTTCTAGTCCCATCTTTGGCACCAAAGCCATCTGGGGATCTTGGACCAATCATTAGGAGATGGAGAGTTCTAGTCCCCGTTTTGGCATGGGCCACCTGGGAGATCTTGGACCAATCACGGAGGTGGAGAGTTCTAGAGTCATTTGGCACCAAAGCCCTCCTGGGATGGCCAATCATGGTGCAAAAGATGGACTAGACTCCTCCATCTCCGTGATTGGTCAAGATCCCCCTGGTGGCTTGGACCAAACTAGGACTAGAACTCTCGCATCCTCCTAGTGATTGGTCCAAGATCCCCCAGGTGGATTTGGTGCCAAAGGTGAGACTAGAACTCTCCATCTCCTGGTGATTGGTCCCAAGATCCTCCCAGGGCTTTCAGCCAAAGATGGACTAGAACTCTCCCATCTCCTAGTGATTGGTCCAAGATCCCCCAGGTGCTTTGGTGCCAAAGGTGAGACTAGAACTCTCCAACTCCTAGTGATTGGTCCAAGATCCCCCAGATTGCTTTCATGCCAAAAACGGACTAGAACTCTCCATCTCCTAGTGATTGGCCCAAAGTCGCCCAGATTGCTTTCATGCCAAAGACGGGACTAGAACTCTCCATCTCCTAGTGATTGTCCAAGATCCCCCAGGTGGCTTTGGTGCCAAAGATGGGACTAGAACTCTCCATCTCCTAGTGATTGGTCCAAGATCCCCCAGTGGCTTTCGGTGCCAAAGGAGACTAGAACTCTCCATCTCCTGGTGATTGGTCCAAGATCCCCCAGGTGGCTTTGGTGCCAAAGATGGGACTAGAACTCTCCATCTCCTAGTGATTGGTCCAAGATCCCCCAGGTGGCTTTGGTGCCAAAGGTGAGACTAGAACTCTCCATCTCCCTGGTGATTGGTCCAAGATCCCCCAGGTGGCTTTGGTGCCAAAGATGGGACTAGAACTCTCCATCTCCTAGTGATTGGCCCAAAGTCGCCCAGATTGCTTTCATGCCAAAGACGGGACTAGAACTCTCCATCTCCTAGTGATTGGTCCAAGATCCCCCAGGTGGCTTTGGTGCCAAAGATGGGACTAGAACTCTCCATCTCCTAGTGATTGGTCCAAGATCTCCCAGTGGCTTTCGGTGCCAAAGGTGAGACTAGAACTCTCCATCTCCTGGTGATTGGTCCAAGATCCCCCAGGTGGCTTTGGTGCCAAAGATGGGACTAGAACTCTCCATCTCCTGGTGATGGCCCAAAGTCACCCAGCATATTAGGAAAGCATGCTGGCTGGGGAATTCTGGGACTTGAAGTCCACCCATCTTCCCAATTGGACAACACCGCTCTAGAGAATTTCACAGGGAGGGGGCTTTCCTGTTTTGAAACCCCTGCTTTGTCTTCTCTCCATCAGGCCACGTAGACCCCGGGGAAGATGACCTGCGCACAGCCCTGCAGGGAGGAGGAGGAGGAGGAGGAGGAGGAGGAGGAGGAGGAGGAGGAGGAGGAGGAGGAGGAGGAGGAGGAGGAGGAGGAGGAGGAAGATAGGAGCCCTGGTAGCGCAGCAGACTAAAGCACTGTTATTAACACCAGCTGCCTGCAATTACTGCAGGTTCGAATCTCCCCAGGCTCAAGGTTGACTCAGCCTTCCATCCTTTCTAAGGTAGGTGAAATGAGGAACCAGTTTGTGGGGGCAATAAGCTGACTTTGTATAAAATATACAAAAGAATGAAGGCTATTGCTTAGCGCCTTGTAAGCCGCCCTGAGTCTCCGGAGAAGGGCAGCATATAAATTAAAGCAAAAAAAAAAAAGTGATTCACTGAACAACTGTGGCAAGAAAGATTGTAATATGGGGCAAAATTCACTTAACAATTGCCTCATTTAGCAACAAAAATTGGAGGGGTTAATTGTGGTCATGAGTCAAGGACTACCTGTACAGAATTACAGAGTTGGAAGGGAACTTGGAGGTCATCTAGTCCAGGGGTCCCCAATGCCCGATGTCACCCCTAAAGCCATTTTTTAAGATGGAGCCATCTTTTGGAGCATCTTCAGGGCTGCCACAGCCAGGCCGGTTGGAGCTGTAAGAACTTAAAAGGGGGGAGATAGAGATAGCTGGGGAGATGTGTAGCCAAAACAACATTCTTTCCCATGGGAGCCAAGGACGTTCTACCAGGTATTGGAGAGGCATGGACCAAAGCCAGCCAAGATGGTGGCTGCAACCTGGTTGGACCATGTGATCTGAGGGGAAGAACTTTGGGGTTTGATTTGGGTGGGGAAAACCTCAGGTCCTCCAGATGTGGCAAAATGACATTCCTAATAAATCTATCTAGTTTTGATTCCATTGGTGTGTTAGCTGGAACTCTGATACCCAGTCCACCGACTGGCAATGGGTCATATCATACCAGCAACCAGGCCGCGTAAAGAAGTGAATCCCCATCCGCAGAATGTAGGCACCATGTGAAACCAGGGCCCCTCTGGTCCGTGGAAAAGAGCTCCCCACAGAACCGGTCCCTGTCCAAAAGGTTGGGGGCCGCTGATCTAAATTATATTCTTAGAAAGTATTTCATTTGTTGTAGAGCCTGGGTGGCACAGTGGTTACAGAGCAGTACTGCAGGCTACTTCAGCTGACTGCTAGTTGCAGTTCGGCAGTTCAAATCTCACCGGCTCAAGGTTGACTCAACCTTCCATCTTTCCGAGGTGGGTAAAATGAAGACCCAGATTGTTGGGGGGAAAGAGGCTGACTCTGTAAACCACTTAGAGAGGGCTGGAAAGCACTATGAAGCGGTATATAAGTCTAAGTGCTATTGCTATTGTATACTTGTGGCTAGCAAAAGTTACTGTGTTTATGGATCATTATGTTGTAAAAGTCTTTTGTACCCCACCTTTATTATTTTTATACATAAAAAGGTGGAGAATATATCTAAATCCTCTTTCCTCCTCCTATTTTCCCCCATAACAACCCTGCGAGGTGAGTTGGGCTGAGAGTGAGTCACTGGCCCGCTCAAACAAGTGAAGCCCCATCCCTGGGATGCAGGCAGCACACGACACCACACCGCCTCCGGTCCACGGAAAAACCCCTCTCCACGGAACTGGCCCCTGGTGCCCAAAAGGTTGGGGGCTGCTGATCTAGTCCAGCCCCCTGCTCAGGCATGAGACCCTATACCTGTGATGGCGAATCTATGGCACACGTGCCAGAGGTGGCAAGCAGCACCCTCTCTGTGGGCGCTCGAGCTGTCGCCCCATCTTGGCTCCGCCACGCATGGCCTTTGGGTCTCTGCTGTGGGGGGCAGGGGGCCACGTGTGCATTGTGTTTTGGGGGTTCGGGCCCGTGCTTGCTTTGGGCACTCGGTCTGGAAAAGGTATCACTGCCCTATACTATTCCGGACAAGCGGCTGTCCGGTCTCTTTCTTATTGATTCAATCTTTTGGCTTTGAAATTGGTGTGGCAGCCAAAGACCAACACAATCGTGGGGAGGGAACCAAACCTCTGCATCAGGTACTTACCCAGTCTGAGCCCACCCGCAGATGAATTCCCACGTAGGGTCTGATCAGGAGTGACTTAATATAGAACTCTCCTTTCTCCACCATCTCATCGGACCAAACCACGTAACGCTGCAGGGGCCGGTTCTCTTCCAGGACAGGAAACTGTGCCGGGGCACCCGGGAGGGCGAGAATGGGATGTTCAGAGGGTGGAAACCTAGGAGAAAACAGAGGAGAAAGAAAAATGTAATTATTCGTCCTTTCTCTTGGTGACCAAAGGAAAAAAGATCTGCCAGCCTGATCGAAAGTCTGAATCAAGTGGACGAGAGATCGCTGAAGCAGGGAAATCTGTTTACCTTTAATATATATATACAGAATACTTTATTGGCCGTGATTGGACACACAAGGAAATTGTTCCTCAGCGTATATGCAAAGCACTAGAGTAATTACAATTATAATAAGAATAAGATGGGGTAGAAGAGAAGAAGGATGATGATGATGATGATGATGATGATGATACAACCATACAACATGGTTAGACATACTTAGACATAAAAAAATAGTGTGAGAATTAAGTGTTCAGAAGAGTGATAACACGGGGGAAAAAAATGTCTTTGTGTCTAATTGTTTTGGCAGGCAATGCCCTCTAGTGCCGTCCCAAGAGTGGGTGGGTGGGAATTGAAACAGTTTATCTCCAGATGTTGTCCCCAATTCGGGTCTGAGCCTGGCGCCGAAGCCAATGATGGACGCCAGACACAAGGTGCAGGTTTTCTGATTGCTTTTTATTGGAGTACTCCAAGGGAAAGGGCTCCTGGCCAAGAGAGCCAAGAACAAAGGATTAAGAAAGCTTTATACCTTTTCACTAAAAGAGAAGGCGGGGCAAGGCGAGACAATATGAAATATCATCTAACAAACATTTTAGTAATAATTCTACAATTTGTTCTGTTGGTCTCTAGCTGTCCCTATTCCTAAGCCTTGGTTAATGAATGCCCCAGGAGCTATCTAATACACATTTAATTGGCTGCAGGCCATCTATACTCCTAATTGTTAGCTGAGGCCTGCAACTTGTCTAACTCTTTGTTACTTTTATCAGCTTTCTAACTACCTAGAATTGTTACAAGATTTACACAGGCATATTTCCTGTAGATAAACATTCTTTGTTCTTGCCAGACACACTCCGCAATTACAGGCTTCCTGATTTACTTTCAAGTGTGTGTCATGACCTGGCTTTATTTTAGCATACAGCCCATCAAGAATGTGAAGGGTCCGTAGATATTTTCTCAGCCCTTTTTTTGACCATGCAGTATTAAATATATAGATCATCCATCTCACTAAAAAGCGATTCCAGGTGGCTTAAAAGAGAGGTACAAAGATTAAAACATTAAATAAATCAGAGCTAAATCAGTGAAAAACCAGGATACTATGGGATGGAGGTGGGCTCTTTTTCCTACTCCTAGTCTACTCGCCACCTCTAACGTGGAACATCCCTTTTGGTTCCTGGGCTCATTGTTAAGAGCCTGTTCTTGGTTTTGGTGGAGATAAGCCGTTTTGAGTCTTCAGGAAATGAGCAGCCAGGGAGGATAGATAAATTCCGTCCCACTTCCTAGATTGGCAATGTTACTAAGGATAATAAAATGTTTGCAATCCAAAAAAAAAAATCACGTCAGGGAACTGTCACCACACAGAGAGAAATGAATAAACTGTCTTGCTCTAAAGATCTCAAACAAGGAACTCTGAGAGCCACTTTGTTCTAGGGGTTAAAGCACCAGTTTAGAAAGTGGGAGACCGTGAGTTCTAGTCCCACCAGAGGTATGAGATCCAACTGGGTGACTCTGGACCAATCACCAGGAGACAGTGAGTTCTAGCTCCACCTTAGGGATGATGAAAACCAGCTGGGTGACTTTGGACCACTCCCTCTCCCTCAGCCCAACCCACCTCACAGGGTTGTTGTTCTGGGGAATATAGGAGGAAGAACCCAAAGGTGCTTTTTCAGGAGGCAACTGGATTGAAAAAGCACCTCTGGGACAACCTGGATGACTGAGAATCTCTACAGACTTATAGGAGGAGGAAATTATGTTGGATGTGTTCGCTGCATTGTGTTATTTGTAAAAATAATAAATGTAGGAAACAAATAAATAAATAAGGGACATTGTTAAGACACCACCGTTAAAAGAGACTTCCTTGTGATTTGATCAGGAGCTGAAAACTTTGCAAACAATCAACATCTTAAAAACGATTCTGCTTTTTTTATGGCTTACCTTTTAGTTGAAATCAATAAGAATCCTAGTTAAACCTAGCCTTTCTTCTCCTAGCCTCAGTGATCACATAATGTTGCATTAAGGTACCTCATTGTTTAAAAATTGCTATATTTTATTTATTCAGGGGGTGGGGGGTGGGGAGAAGGCAGGATTTGCCCCTCTCTAATCTCACTTAAATGTGATTGTCCTGCCCCGTGAGCAATTTCCAACTGTGCTACCTTTGGTTCCATTTGTCTTTGTAAAAGGAGCTGAAGGAGAGGCCTCCGAATATCTCCGACATATCAAACTCCACTGCAAATTGATCCCAGAAAGGCCCAAAGGGATTCCCGTCCTGCAAAAAGAAACAAGTGGAGGTTGAAAAAGGAAGGCAGGACCGTTCCTGAAAATCCGTACTGGTAGTCCTCGCTTTACGACCACAATTGAGCCCAAAACTTCTGTTGCTAAGCGAGACATTGGTTAAATGAGCTTTGACCCGTTTTACGACCTCTCTTGCCACAACTGTTAAACGAATCACGGCGGTTGTTCAGTAAGTAACCCGGTTGTTAAGTGAATCTGGCTTCTCCACTGACTTTTGCTTGTGAGAATTTTGCAAAAGGGGATTGCCTGATCTTGGGACACTGCCACCGCCGTCATAAATAGGAACCAGTTGCCGAGCGTCTGAATTTTGAGTACGTGATCATGGGGATGCTGCAAAGGTCGTAACTGTGAAGAACAGTCGTAAGTCATATTCTTCAGTGCCATTGTATCTTTGAACCGTCACTAAACAAACTGTTGTAAGTCGAGGAGTCTCTGTATAAGGTGGCAATATAGCTTTATTTTAACCAGTTTATTTATTTCTTCGCATCCCACCTTTATTATTTTACAAATAACTCAAGGCTGCTGTTCTGTCCCCAACCACACGCACACACACCAACAGACGTCCAAGAGTTAAAAACCAAACCAGCCGACAAAATCCTTTTCCTTATAACGGAACTTGGCAGCAACCTTGTGGCTGCCTGCCAAGAGTTTATTACTCACGAAGAGATAACTTCTCTCGGCTTCTGGTACATCAAAGTAAAATGTTCAATAATTACGGAGTCAATCAAGTCCAGAGATAATCCAGCAAAGTCTATAGCAAAAAGTCCGGCAATGCAGAATGGCGTGGAAGCTTTCAGCTTTGTTCGTCACAAGGTTTGACTGGCCACCACGCTCCCTTTTATACCCTCTGGGATGTGGTCCAGTGACTCAGCCTAATCTTGGGCACGCCTTTTCTTCTGTTGCGCGCGCTTATCTCTGCGACGCAGGCATGGATCCAGCCAAGACTCATCTCCCTCATCACTGTCCACCTGTGGCTGCGTGGACGTGCTTGGCCCCGGCCCTATCTCTTGCCCTTCGGCGGACACCGAAGGCATTGCCAGAGAGGAGGGTCCTGGAGAGGGAGGCCTTGCCAACTCCTCTCCTTCACTCTCGGAGTCCTCTCCTGCCGATGACACAGGCTCAGGTAACGGAGCCACAACAGCAGCGAACAGATCCAACCCGGCTTCCTCCTCCTATTTTCCCCACAACAACCCTGTGAGGTGGGTCGGGTTGAGGGAAAGAGTGTGGTCCGAAGTCACATAACCCTGGGGACACTGCGACCGTCATAAACGTTGAGTCAGTTGCCAAGCGGTTGAATTGGGATCACACAAACTGTGGGGATTCTGCAGCGGTTGCAAGGGTGAAAAATGGTACTCAGTCACTTTTTTTCCAGTGCTGTTGTAACTTCGAACGGTCACTAAATGGAACCGTTGTAAGTCGAGGACTACCTGTACCAACGGGATAGCTAAACTCAGAATAGAAATATGGAGGGGGGGGGAGGAGAGAAGTGGCAGAAATAATTCACAAAGCACATATGATAGTCCTTAACTTACAACCATTCATTGAGTACAAGTTCTCACACTTACAAGCATTGTAGCATCCCTATGCTCAGGAGCTTGGCAACTGGCATGTACTTGTGACAGTTGCAGCATCCTGTGGTCATGTGATCATCATCTATAACAGTGTCTCTCAACCTTGGTAGCTTGAAGATGGGTGGACTTCAACTCCCAGAATCCCCCAGCCAGCAGCGCTGGCTGGGGGATTCTGGGAGTTGAAGTCCACCCATCTTCAAGCTTCCAAGGTTGAGAAACACTGCTCTATAACTTTCCCAGCCGGCTTCTAACCAGTGAAATCAATAGGAGAAGCCAGATTCACTTAACAACTGCATGATTGACTTAACAACTGCGGCAGTAAAGGTCGTAATCTGGGGCATGGCTCGCTCAACAACTGCCTCGTTTAGGAAATTTTGGGCTCGACTGTGGTCGTAAATCGAGGAACCACCCAAATGGTTTGGAACACAATGGCCAACGGAATGGAAAAAATCAAGAATTACAGGTAGTCCTCAACTTACAACAGTTCATTTAGTGACCAAAGTTACAACCGCACTGAAAAAAAAGGGACTCGTGACCCTTTTCCACCGTCACGTTTGCAGCATCCCCAGGGTCACGTGATCAAAATTCAGACTCGTATTTATGACGGTCGCAATGTCCCGTGGTCATGTGATCCCCTTCTGCGACCTTCCGACAAGCAAAGTGAAGCCAGATTCACTTAACAACCGGGTTACTTACTTATCAACTGCAGTGATTCACTTAACAACGGTGGCAAGGAAAGTTGTAAAAAAGGGGCAAAACTCAATCAACAAGCATCTCACTTGGCAACATAAATTTTGGGCTAAATTGTGATGGTAAGTCGAGGATTACCTGTCTTTATCTTTGTTGCTAAGTAGAAAAGTTCTTGAATTCTCCCAGATCTTCCTACCTTCATAGGGCAGGTTTTTTTGTCAGGGCTTCTCTGAGCTGCCGCTTCGAAGCAATAGGCCACTCTCTTGCCAGGCGGCCAGTGGGTGGGTGCCAGCTTTTCCATAAACTCCTCCAAGCTAATGACGCGGTGGTATTCTAGCAGGGGGGCCAGCTTGAAGTATTCTTGGTAGGGAACATGTAGCTGCAATAAAAAGGAACCCACATTTACACAAATAGACTGAAGACATAATTACTTAACAATAGCTGCAAGCTAAATGTTGGAGATGTGAATGTGATGATGCAACTTATTATCATATATGGTGGACTTGTAAGAAAATCAGGGCATTTTGGATAAAAATTTGGTGGGTGATGCAGAATATTCTGAAAAAAAGGTTGAAATTTACTCCTCAATTGTTTCTATTGGGTATAACAACGGACTGTACAGTATTAGAGACTAAACTGATCTTGAAAGTAACGAATTTAGCAGAAATGGCGAAAATTTCAGCGTATTTGAAGGACTATACACAAGAAAGATACGTATCGGAATGGAGAAGATGGATTGATTATATTCAAAATAGGTATCAGACAAGAAAATATCAAATAGCTTATGAATGAATGTTAAGTATGTTATCCATAGTGGAGTTAAGGTTTCAGGGGGGGATTTAGTAGTCTAAGGATAGATAGGTTAATTTAGCTTATGATGGTTAACTGAAATACCTTGTATTTTGCTCTGGGAAGTCTGGGGGGGAAAGTGGGATGTGGGGAGAAAAAAGGGTGGGGGGAATATTGGGGGGGGGAATCTTTTCTTTTTCTGTAAAACATTTCAATAAAAAATAAAAAATAAAATAATTACTTAACAATAGCAAATACACATCATGGTTAAATAAAAAAACTGGCCACTTGCTATTTGGAGGACAAATGGGCAGGATGGATACAGTCTTGAAATGAGTAGTGGGTCTTTAAAAAAAGGAAGCTTGCAATGCACTTCACAGGTAGATCACAGCCACTTCGGGTGCTGAGCTGGGAACCAGGAGTCCGGGAGTTCTAGTCCTGCCATAGGTACAAAAGCTGAGTGGGTGACTTTGGGCCAGTCATCAGGAGACAGGGAGTTGTAGTCCTGCCTTGGGCACGAAAGCCAGCTGGGTGACTTTCTGCCAATCACTATAGGAGATGGTGAATTCTAGTCCCACATTAGGCACAAAAGCAAAGTGTGTGATTTTGGGCCAATCACCAGGAGACAGGGAGTTGTAGTCCCACTTTAGGCTCGAAAGCCGGCTGGGTGATTTTGGGTCAATCAACAGGAGACCCTGAGTTCTTATCCCACCTTAGGCACCAAAGCCCACTGTGTGACTTTGGGCCAATCACTAGGAGACGGTGAGTTGTAGTCCCGCCTTAGGCATGAAAGTCAGTTGGGTGATGGACCAGTCACTCTCTCAGCCCAACCCACCTCACAGGGTGGTTGTTGCAAAGAAAATAGGAGGAGGAATAATTAAGGTGGGATAAAAATCAAATAAATTTATTTATTTATTTATTTTATCATATTTGTATACCGCCCTACTCCCGGAGGACTCAGGGCAGTGAACAGCCAAGATAAAAATACAAAAAACATACAAAAGTTAAAAGCTATTAAAAATAGATTAAATAATTTGGGCTCAAGAAACAAATTTAAAACATCCAATTTATATAAAACATTTAAAACCCAATTTAAAAGGGAGAGTTAGGCCAGACCAGCCTGTTGGAATAAAAACGTTTTTAGGACGCGGCGGAAGGTGCGTAAGTCTTGGATCCTCCATATCTCCGGGGGGAGCTCGTTCCAGATAGTAGGTGCCCCCACAGAAAAGGCTCTCCCCCTGGGGGCCGCCAGTCGACATTGTTTGGCTGATGGCACCCTGAGGAGCCCCTCTCTGTGGGAGCGAACTGGTTGGTGAGAGGCTACTGGTGGCAGGAGGCGGTCTCGTAAGTACCCTGGTCCTGAGCCATGGAGCGCTCTAAAGGTGGTAACCAGAACCTTGAAGCGCACCTGGAAGACCACTGGGAGCCAGTGCAGCTCGCGCAGGAGGAGGGTCACATGGGAGTGCCACGTCGCTCCCATCACCACCCGCACGGCCGCATTCTGGACCAGTTGGAGCCTCCGGATGCTCCTCAAGGGGAGCCCCATGTACAAAGCATAAATAATATATTATATATATATATATAATATATAAATAAATAATATATCAAAAGCTCTGAACCAATCCAACCGAGTCACTTTGCAATGAGATGGGCAACATATAAATTTAATAACATAACATACATTCGTGTAGGGCGGTCTGTGATGCCGGTACTCAATCCACGGAGGCACAGCTAATGTCCGATTCATTGTCTTAGCGAACGCCAAAGACCCGAGGAAGTGATCTGCTTGATTCCCAAATCTCCCTTGGAACAGAACATAAAGGACCGTTTCTTACTCGCTGGGCAAGGAAAGGGCAGCATTAAGTCTAGACAGGCTTTTATGAAAGAGCTTCCTCATTTCGAGTCCAACTTTGAGGCTGAAATTACAGATACAGGTAATCCTCGACTTACGGCCGCAATGGAGCCCAACATTTCTGCTGCTAAGTGAGACGGTTATTAAATGAGTTTTGCCGCATTTCAGAACCTTCCTTGCCTGAGTTCTTAAGTGAATCACTGCAGTTATTTAGTTAGTAACACGTTGTTAAGTGAGTGCTCTGCCTGTCAGGTCACAAAAGATAATCACATCATCATCCCAGGAACACTGCAACCGTCATAAACTGAGCCAGTTTCCAAGCATTTGAATTTTGATCACCTGACCATGCGGATGCTGCAACGGTCATGTGACAAAGAGTCATAAGTCACTTTTTTCGGTGCGGTTGTTATTCTGGTCATTAAGTGAACTGTTGTAAGTGGAGGACTACGTGTAAATAAAAGAGCCGCCTAGAGCAGCCTCGGGGTGAGATAGGCAGCAAATAAATTTAACAAATCAATCAATAAGGAAAGCCTTTCTCCGTGGGAAAGTGGGGAAAGGAGCCCCCATAGTCCACAAGAGGGGCAGCCCCACATATTTCATTCTTTCACCAAATTAAATAAAATACAAAGAAACGGAGCTACAGAAGACCACAAGGAACCCGACCCTTCTCTGGGGTCTCTTTCACCCTAAAGCAGGGGTGGAGAACCATGGGCCTTTTATGACCTGTGGACTTCAACTCCCAGAACTCCTGAGCCAGAAGTCCACAGGTCATAAAAGGCCCATGGTTCCTCACCCCTGCACTAAAGTCTGGCTTAACCACCCCTCCTTGCCAGGACTCCCAGGGATGATGGGAGTTGTAGTCCACAAGTATAAAGGCCCATGGTTCCCCACCCCTGCACTAAAGAATGGCTTAACTGCTTTCCCTTGCCAGCAGGACTCCCAGGGACGATGGGAGTTATAGTCCACAAGTCGTAAAAGGCCCATGGTTCCCCACCCATGCATTAAAGTCTGGCTTAACGGCCCTCCCTTGCCAGCAGGACTCCCAGGGATGATGGGAGTCGTAGTCCACAAGTCGTAAATGGCCCATGTTTCCCCACCCATGCACTAAACACTGGTTTACCCACCCCGCCTTGCCAGCAGGACTCCCAGGGATGATGGGAGTTGTAGTCCACAAGTATAAAGGCCCATGGTTCCCCACCCATGCACTAAACACGGCTTAACGGCCCTCCCTTGCCAGCAGGACTCCCAGGGATGATGGGAATTTAGTCCACAAGTATAAAAGGCCCATGGTTCCCCACCCATGCACTAAAGAATGGCTTAACTGCTTTCCCTTGCCAACAGGACTCCCAGGGACGATGGGAGTTGTAGTCCACAAGTCGTAAAAGGTCCATGGTTCCCCACCCATGCACTAAATACTGGCTTGACCCCCCCCTTGCCAGGACTCCCAGGGATGATGGGAGTTGTAGTCCAGCCCCAAAAGAAGGCATCCCGTCTGAGGCCGGCAGTGCAGGGCTGGCGGGCAAGGCGAGGGGAGCCGGGGCAAATCCCCCACCCGCTCCATGCCGTTCCACTCAACCCGCCGGCGGAGGGTCAGGAACGGCAGCCCCGAAGGGAGCGAAGCGGCTGAACCGGGCCTCACCCATGCAGGGGCAGTAAAGCAGGTATCCGGACGGGTCCCAGCCATCGTCGTCTGCGCATCCCAGGCTCGGGAAGGCCAAGCAGAGCAGGAGGACGCCGACGACCGTTTCAAGCGCCATCGCCGCCTTGGCCCACAGAAGAGGCCCGAGGCCTATTTAGGCCTCTTGGGCCGTCTCCATAGCAACCGCCTCGCCCGGCCCCGCCCCCTCCCCGCGCGTCAGGGAGGGCAGGACGGGGTGACTTCCGGTCCGGGCCGGAAGTGGCGCCATGGAGGCCTTGAGCGGCGGCGCGAGCCAGCCCGCCTGAGGGAAAAGCCGAGGCTTTGCTGGCCCAGAGGCCTGGTCGCCTCCTTCCCTCCCTGTGGCTCCACCCCGCCATGGGGCCTCTGCCTCGCCCCCGGCTCCTACGGCAACCTTCGGGCTTTCCTCCCTTCCCTCCGGGCTCTCGAGGCGCCAGGAGGGGAGCCACGGCGGTGGCGGCGGCAGCGGTGAGCTCGGAAACGAAGCGGGAAGGGGGCGGGGGGGGGGGGGGGGGGGGGAGAGAAGGATACGCGTTCAAGTACGCATGCGCGCTGCGTGAACGGCTCGGCGGGACATTTTGGGTGCCCGCGAATTGGGGGGGGGGGGCTCCCGCCTTTCTAAAGCCAAGGGGGGGGGGTGAATCAAAAACTATGAAGAGGGTCATGAAGGGTCTTTGGATTATTTTTATTTCCTGTTGGGGTCGGTTTACTTTGGCCTGGACCCGTCTCTCTCCCTCCCTCAACCTCTCCAGGATGCTGGAACTTCAATTCCCAGAATTCCCAGAGCGGGAGAAGCCCACCTCCGTCTCAAAGCATGCCGCCTGCGGGATTCTGGGAATTGAAGTCCAGCCATGTTAAAAGCATCCTGGCTGGGGGATTATAGGAGTTGGAGTCCACCCATTTTAAAGCATTCTGGCTGGGGGGTTATGGGAGTTGGAGTCCAGCCATAAAGCAGGCTGGCTGGGGGGTTATGGGAGTTGGAGTCCACCCGTCTTAAACCATGCTGGCTAAGAGATTATGGGAGTTAGAGTCCACCCATTTTAAAGCATGATGGCTAGGGGATTATGGGAGAGGAAGTCCACCCATAAAGCAGGCTGGGTGGGGAATTCTGGGAGTTGGGATCCAGCCATCTTAAATCATGCTGGCTGGGGGATTATGGGAGTTGAAGTCCACCCATCTTAAAGCATGCCGGCTGGGGAATTATGGGAGTTGGGATCCACCCATTTTAAAGCATGCTGGCTGGGGAATTATGGGAGTTGAAGTCCACCCATAAAGCAGACTAGGTGGGGAATTATGGGGGATGAAGTCAACCCATCTTAAAGCATGCCGGCTGGGGGATTATGGGAGTTGGAGTCCACCCATCTTAAAGCATGATGGCTGGGGAATTATGGGAATTGGAGCCCACGCATCTTAAAGCATGCTGGGTGGGGAATTATGGGAGTTGAAGTCCACCCATAAAGCAGACTGGGTGGGGGATTATGGAAGTTGGAGTCCACCCATCTTAAACCATGCTGGGGAATTATGGGAGTTGGAGTCCACAGTGGCCAAGGTTGAGGAAAGCTGCCCTGGATGGAGGGCACATCTCAGGGCCGGGATGCTTCAGGTTGCATCCAGCAGCATCAGGAAGGCCTCTTCTCTTCCTCTTGATCGGTGCAAACACCTTGCTTGGTCTCTTGAGGTCAATGGCACCCGTTCATTTGGTTTTCCTGCCACAAAAGAAGAAGAGAAATGGGACTGTGGGGCTTGGTGGTTTTGTTACGGGTGCTTCATAACCCAACTAGGGAACACCATCAATGCTAGAAGTGAGGTGGGAGTGTGGAGAGGAGGAGGAGAAGGAAGAGAATGGCTGCTGTGGGGCCCTTGGTGCTCTCTGAGCTTGGTTGTTTCCTTGAAATTACATGACCCAACTAGGTAACATCAGTACTACAAGGGAGTGGGATTTGCTCCCTGTTCTGTTCCCTTTCCACCACTGAAGATGTTCCCTATTTGGGTCATAAACTGTCTGCAAAAATACAAACCAACTCAGAGAGCCTCAAGAATCCCACAGTCGTCCTCTCCCCGCAAACCCCATACCCTTCTGGCACTGATGATGTTACCGAGTTGGATCGTGAAGCATCTACGAGAAAACAAATAAGCTCAGAGAGCAGCAAAGACAACCCCCCACAGTCCTCCTCCTCTCCCTCTCTACAAACCTCCATCCCTCCTAACACTGAAGATGTTGCCCAATTGGGTCATGAAACGTCTGCGAGAAAAGCACCAAGTTCAGAGAGCGCCAAGGACCCCACAGTTCAACCCTGAGCTACAAATATTCTCTTCTAACCGAAACAGGACATTTAACTTCTTCCCCCCAAAAATGGCAATGTAGGAATCTAATACTTTCTCTCTCCCCCTATGACATCTTGACGTTCCTCTTTCCTGACCGAAAGACTTCTCCTGTGCTTCTGTTACCTTTTGTATGTGGCAGGTAGCGAATGATGAAAATTAGCTACAGATGCACAAGTGCCCACAAACGTTTCCACAAAGGAAACGTGTTTGCCACAAAGGAGATTTTATGAGAGACAGAATACCAGTTGAGATTAATTCCTTTCACGATTCAGTTGGCCTTTTTCATTCATTCCACGTGCTTCTCTAGAGTAAATTGGATCGTAGGATGCTCAGCTCGGTTTCCTGGGGGGTCACCCAACACACAGTTGGCTAGTTTGTCATGGATTATGTCACGTAAACAAAACTTAACAAATCTGCAAAAGGGATAGTACAGATAGTCCTTGACTTACAACTCTTCAAAGTTACGACGACACGGGGAAAAAGTGACCTAGGACCATTTTTCACAGTTACGACCTTTGTGACATGATCACGTGAGCAAAATTCAGACGCTCAGCAACTGACTCGTAGTTATGACGGTCGCGGTCACGTGATCCCCTTTTGCGACCTCCTGACAGGCAAAGCCAGTGGGGAAACCAGAGTCACTTTACAATTGTAAAGCCACTAACTTAACAATTCACTTAACAACCCTGGCAAGAAAGGTGGTAAATTGGGGGCAAAGCTCACTTAACAAATGTCTCGCTTAGCAACAGAATTTTTGGGCTCAATTAGGGTCGTAAGTCGAGGACTACCTCTATATACATTTACCCCCTTTTAAATGAGGGAAGTACCCCTCCCGTTCGGGGATAACGGAAGCTATGAGGAAAATTACTGGAGCTCAGGGCTCACCTCTTTGTGGTTATGTGACCTTGTCGTGTTTGACTTACTTGGACCGGGTGCAGCTGAATGAAAACCTGGCATGTTTACTCACCAAATTCCTAAGCAGGTACACAAACATTGCGGGTTTCTGTGTGTGTGTACCACCTGCGTGCCTAGCTATGAATTAGAATAAAGTTGAGCCAGTCCTCTTCCTTTCAATAAGTACAGGTGGTCCTCAACTTACAACAGTTCGCTTAGTGACCGTTTGAAGTTGCGATGATGCTGAAAAAAAATGAGTTATGACCACTTTTCACACTTACGACCGTTGCAGCATCCCCATGGTCATGAGATTTACCTTCGGATGCTTGGAGGCTGACTCGCATTTACGACGGTTGCAGTGTCCCGGGGTCATGTGATCCCCTTTTGCGACCTTAAGTCGGGAAGCCAGATTCCCTTAACGGCAGTGTTACTAATTTAACAACTGCAGTGAATCGCTTAAAAAATGTGGCGAGAAAAGTTGTAAAATGGGGCAAGACTCACCTAACAAATTCCTCACTTGGCAACGTAAATTTGGGGCTCAATTGTCGTCGTAAGTTGAGGACTACCTGTACTGCACTTTTTGAAATGTCTGAGTATATTTTAGAGATTTTGGCTGTTCTTTTAAAGTATAGCATATTTGACTGTATTCAGACAACAGAAGAGGGCATGTCCTGTTGCAAGAAGCTAAGTACAGGAAGTCCTCGACTTACGACCCCAACTGAGCCCAACATTCTAACCACTGCGCCACCGCGGTTCATAAAGTAGAATTCACTTAACAACCGGGTTACTAAGTTATGAGCCATGGTGGCGTAGTGGTTAGAGTGCAGTACTGCAGGCTACTTCTGCTGACTGTCAGGTGCCTGCAGTTTGGCAGTTCAAATCTCACCAGGCTTAAGGTTGACTCAGCCTTCCATCCTTCCAAGGTGGGTAAAATGAGGACCCCAATTGTTGGGGGGCCATATGCCCCCCCGGGGACTCTGTAAATCTCTTAGAGGGGGCTGGAAAGCACTGTGAGGCGACCTATTGCTATTAACAGCTGCATTGATTCATTTAACAACTATGGTAATGTGCCAACACTCCCTTAACAACCGTATCGCTTAGCAATGGAAATGTTTGGGCTCATGGCCATGAGTCGAGGATTGCCTGTATAAGATGGGTACCCCTGTGTAGATTGTACGTCATTTTTTTCTCCCCCTTTGCTCCTTGCAGGATCTCTACTGAGATTTATTTTATTTTTTTTAATGCAAAGTCTTGGTGGATGCAACTGGACCAGTGAGATGCCCATGGGCAGCCCTTCTCCTCGGTGTGGCCCTCCTCTGATGTCAGGCCTGCCATGACAGCGTTCTTCACCAGTGTTCCCAATTGGATTCAAGATGTCAAGCAGGAAGAGGAGGAGGAGGAGGAGGTGGGCTGGAAACTAGTGGCCAGACCCAAAGCCCGAGAGAGCGAGTGCCCAGGGAACTGCCAGTATGAGCTGTCCCAAGCAGCCTTCCCTGGCGTGGAGAAGTTGAGAGCCAGCCCGGAAGCGAGACCGTACGGCTGCCCTCAGCTGCACTGCGGCAAGGCCTTCGCCTCCAAGTACAAGCTCTACAGGTAAGGCCCTTGCCATGGCTGGGGAGCTTCGGACCGGCCGGGCCCTGGGTTCAAATCCTCACCTGCTTTGAGGTGGGGAGTGAATATTGGCAGGTAGGCTGAGCTGCCCAGAGTCAGCTTGCAGGGGAGATGGCTGGAATACAAAAAATTAATAACTGAAAGAATACATAATTATTTTATGACTCTAGGTAGTCCTCGAGTTACGACTGTAATTGAATCCTGCAGTTACGGTCGTAACAGGGTCACAATGTGACTGGGCCCAACCTTATGACCTTGGTTGCTTGTGCAGTGGTTGTTAAGCGAACGTAGTGCCATTGAGCAAATGCCCTAATGGGGGAATACAGGTAGTTCTCGACTTACAACCGTTTGTTTAGTGACCAGTTACAATGGCACTGAAAAAAGGAACTGAGGAGTGTTTTTTGCACACTTGCGACCTTCGTGACATCCCCATGATCACGGGATCAAATTTCAAAAATATTTATGACGGTCGCAGTGTCTCCGGGGTCACGTGATCCCCTTTTTGACAAGCCAGGTAAATGGGGGAGCCAGACTCACTTACCAGCCGTCTTACCAACGTATCAACCACAATGATTCACTTACCAACTGCAGTAAGAAGGGTCTTAAAATGAGGCAATACTCACTTAACCAATGTCTCACTTAACAACAGAGTTTTTGGACTCAGTTGTGGTCGTAAATTAATGCCCACCTATATTGGCAGGTAGGCTAAGCTGCCTGGAGTCAGCTTCCAGGTGGATTAAAATAAAATAAAAATAATAAGTTATATTTTTTTAATAACCACAGGTGGTCCTTGAGTTATGACAGTAATTGAGCCCCACAATTAAGATTGTAAGTCACAATGGTTGTAAAGCAGGTCACCATGTGACTGGACCTGATTTTATGGCTTTTTTTTTTTTTTGCAGCAGTCGTTAAGTGAATGTTGTGATCACTGAGCAGATGCCGCAGTCCTTAAGCAAATCCACTGTTCCATAGGGACTGGTTTTTGGCCAGAAAGTGGAAATAAATGCCATTTTTCCGCAAAAGTGTCTTAAAATTGCAGTCACGTGACCGCGTGGGCTGCTGAGCACCCCAAATGCAAGTCACCTTTGACCACGAAGGAAGGTGACATCGGAGCTTCACCACCAGGTTGTAAATAGGTGGGAAGTCCCTTGTAACTTTGAACAGCTTCCAAGCAGCCAGTCATAAATGGAGGACTGCCTTTAGTCAGTTAGAGCCTGCCTGTTTTGGTTTGGCTGGTGGCAGCATTTGGTACTCATACTTTGGGGGATTCTGGAGCAGGGGTCTCCCATGTTGGCAACTTTTAAGACTCGTGGAGTTCCTCAGCCAGCCAGGTCTTCAATTGGCAAGGTTGGACACTTCTGTTATACAGATACATCCTTGAATTACAACCATATAATGGAGCCCAAAATTTCTGTGGTTAAGCGAGACGTTTTGTTAAGGGATTAGTTTGTAACCCGGTTATTAAGTGAATCTGGCTTTCCCCATTGACTTTGGTTGAGTTGGGCGGGTATAAAAAATGAATGAATGAATGAATGAATGAATGAATGAATGAATGAATGAATGATGGATGGATGGATGGATGGATGGATGGATGGATGGATGGATGATGGATGTGTATGGTTAGGAGCAGAGCAATAAACAGTTGCAATCTTTGTTTCTTTTTGTGGGATCCTTGGTGCTCTCTGAGCATGGTTGATTTCTTGTATCAGTAGATATTTCATGACCCAACTAGATAACAACAACAGCTCTAGATGATGTGAGAGATCAAACCCCACTCTCTTCTAGCACTGATGATGTTCCCTAGTTGGGTCATGAAATGTCTGTAAGAAAACAGCCAAGCTAAGAGATCATTAAGGACCCCTCAGTCCTCTTCCTCCTCCTCTTCTTTCTCCTTTTCCTCCTCTTCCTCCCTCCCCCTCCTCTTCCTCCTCCTCTTCTTTCTCCTCTTTTTCATTTAGAATAGAGCTGGAAGGGATCTTGGAGGTCTTTTATCCAGCTCCCTGCTCTGACAGGAGACCTTGTTCCATTTCAGACAGGACTCCTCAAACTTCCTCCTCCTTTTCCTCCCCCTCCTCCTTCTCCAACCTCTTCCTCCCCCCTCCCCTTCTTTTTTTTATTATAATTTATTTTTATTTTATTTTAATGCAGACATTTCATCTTTCATTAAACAGTGTGTCGTCTGGGCACAAATAATTTGTGCAGTAACAATTAAGATTTACAGCCCTACTTAATATTTTTGTCTATTCTTAATATTAATACCTAACATACCTACTATTATAACAATCCTCTTCTTAGCTTATTTAACTTTATCCCACCCTCCCCTTCTTATTCTCCTCCACTCCACTCTCAAAATATTCTCTCTTTTCTTCCCCCCCCCCCCCCCGGAATAGGCACCTGGCCACCCACTCTGCCCAGAAGCCCCACCAATGCATGTACTGTGAGAAAATGTTCCACCGGAAGGACCACCTGCGCAACCACCTCCAGACCCACGACCCCAACAAAGAAGCTCTCCACTGCCCCGAGTGCGGCAAGAACTACAACACCAAGCTGGGCTACCGGCGCCACCTGGCCATGCACGCAGCGGCCAGCGGCGACCTGAGCTGCAAAGTCTGCCTGCAGATGTTCGAGAGCACCCAGGCGCTGCTGGAGCACCTCAAGGCCCACTCGCGCAGGCCCTCGGGCAGCGCCAAGGAGAAGAAGCACCCCTGCGACCACTGCGACCGCCGCTTCTACACCCGCAAGGACGTACGGCGCCACCTGGTGGTGCACACGGGGCGGAAGGACTTCCTGTGCCAGTACTGCGCCCAGCGGTTCGGCCGGAAGGACCACCTGACCAGGCACATGAAGAAGAGCCACTCGCAGGAGCTGCTCAAGATCAAGGCGGAACCCGTGGACATGCTGGGCCTGCTCAGCTGCAGCTCGGCCGTGGCCGTGAAGGAGGAGCTCAGCCCCGTCTTGTGCATGGCCTCCAGGGAGGTGATGAGCGGCAAGGGCTTCCCTGGCATGCTCCCCATGGGCATGTACGGGGCGCACGTCCCGGCCATGCCCGGCTCAGGGATGCCCCCTTCGTTAGTCCCCAACCCTCTCCCGATGGGGATGAGCTACCCTCTGGAACCCTCCTCCCCTCCCCAGCCTCCCCCGAAGTACCAGCTTGGATCTACCTCATACTTCCCCGACAAAATCCCCAAAGCAGAGATGGACAGCTGCCTGGCCGAGCTGCCCGGAGGCCTTTCGCTGATCGCCGGCGAGCCTTCCTCCTCCTCTTCCCCGCCTCAGCCCACCAGCCTGGAGGAGACTTTGCTCTCCAAGAGCCCAGCTCTCCTTTCGGAAGCCCTCTGTGCTGCTAACATGGATTTTTCCCACCTCCTGGGCTTCCTGCCCTTGAACCTCCCTTCCTGCAACCCCCCAGTCTCCTCGGGGGGGCTGGTGATGGGTTATTCCCAGGGAGAGGCCCAGTCCCTCCTCGCCACTCTGCCGCCCCAGGAGCCCTCCTCGGGAACCGGGCCCTCGCTCGGCTTCGGGGCGCTGCATCCCTTGCCCTCGGTCTTCTCCCCGGGCTTGGGTGCCACCACTTTGCCACGTTTCCACCAAGCATTCCAGTGAGAGAAGAGCGCTGGGACGAAAGCAGAGCTTCTCCGGGCACGTGGAATCGGGGGGACGTCCGACGTGCTCGGCTTCGTTGTCTTTCCAGTAGAAAAAAAAAAAGAAGGAAAAAAAAAAGCTCGAGGGGAGGATTGGAACTGTGTACGCCCCAGTCCTGGACAGGGAAAGTAGGTTGCAGTGAATAGAATTTCAGGTATTCTCTTTTATTTTATTTTTCCTTTCCTTTCTACGTTGTTGGTAATCAGGAACCTCACGGGAGTTTCCGCAGCCTTGCTCTCCACGTATCTCCGGAGGAGCTGGAAGTCGAGGCCTGTTCCAGACGAGGGCCCAACTCACCACACTGCAGTTTTGTGTCTCCCTCGGTCCGTGCGGCGAGAAATTCCCTTTTCTCTCCCCTCCTCCTCTCCTCTCCCCCCACCCGCGACTTCCGGCGTCGGCGATTCCCGCCTCTGCAAACCGAGACTTCTCCTTCGGAGCCGTTTCCCGACCAATGTATTCCTGCAGGATCACGTTTCCTCTCGACCGTTTCCCCACTATTACGAATCAGGTAGTGCCCCAGACGCCATTCAAGGGTCTCGGGCACAGCGAAGGCACTGTTTACACCGGTGAAATCGGCCTGCTCCGGTTTCCACCTCACTACTACTAACTTTCTTCTTCTTCTTCTTCCATATCTTCCCCTGTGGGGAAAATCAAACTGGGAATAAGCTTCAGCTTTTGCCAATTTAGTTTAGCTCTCTGGAGGGTTGGGGTTTTGTTTGTTTTTTACTCTCTCTTTCCCAGATCTCTGGGCAGGTCACAAGGATCCTCCTGTCCCCACAGGACAAGCTCGCTGTGATTTTCGGGGGGTGGGGGTGGGAGTTTTTTTGAGAGGGTTTCCCAAAAGATGTTGGGGTCTAGCAATAGCAGCCAACCCTCCTTATAGGTCTCTTCCTTAAAGACTTACTGATCAGGAACAAGGCCCATCATCCTGTCCCCCGTTTCTTTTTTTTGTTTTGTTTTGTTATGTTTTTTTCCCCTAAATCTCCTCGGCCATTCTGAGACGAGCAAGCTTTATGGAGGGATGATGGGGTTTGGCCTTTGGGGCTTGAGGAAGAGGCTTCCTTCAGCTTCTTTGCTGCCTTTAGGCCGTTTCTGGGCAGCAAGTGTGCAAGTCGCCTTTTCACCAGCAGCACCCGTGCCCGCTGAGCCCCACCCGCAACATGAGTACGCCAACCTTGCAGGAAGGAATTGTGGGGCAAACACGCCGGGTGAGGCAGAGGTGAGGCAGCCTTGCTTTCGGCCGATTCAGCTGCCTTCTTAGGAGGAGTCCAATAACCTTTTTATGGGGTGGATGAGTGGTGGGGGTAGGGGTGTAACCAACAGCCCCTTATTTTCATGCTCCTTTCCTTCCAGCAAGGTTGGTTCACCTCCTCTAAGCTCCAGAGCCCCAATGCTCCCTTCTCTCTCCCTGCAAGGCGCCCAGCGCTGGCCTCCCGTAAGTAAAATGAGGATTGCGGGCCCACCACCTTTGCTTCGGTCAAAGCAAACTGAAGCAGGGAGGCCACAGAGATGCCCTCTTGGCTGACCAGGGGGGGCCTTCCTGGTCGGCTTTTATGCCTGCCTTAAGCAAGTGATGGGCCATTTTGGACACAGTGGAAACAGCGGCAGCAGAGCAAAGTCTTCTGTATGCTCTTCCTGTCGTGCAGAGTTCTCCAAACTTTCTGGCTTTGCAGAACGGCGAGGAGGGGATGGTTCCACTGGTGTGCGCGCGCAGGTCCATTTGCACAAGCGGCGGTCACAAAAATGAAGTGTGCACACCCACAAGTATGCGGCCTGGTTTTGAATGGCTCACGGCCTGGTAGCGGGTAGCGTGGCCTAGGGGTTGGGGACCCCCTGCCATCCTGTCTGTTTCTCCTGGGTTCATTTGCAGGCTGCTTGGCACGTCCCGTTCTTCTCGATTCAGAGACGGGTCGTGTTTGAAAGGCCGAAGCCTGTGGTTCAGCCTCCCCGTGTTCCCAAGGCCCACGGAACGTCCACTCGGAAAGGGTGGCAGGATTGGCCCCATTTTCTAGGCAGGAAAATGAGCCTTGAGAGGCGAGCCCGCTCAGAATGTAACCTGTAATTTAATTTAAACCTGGGGGATTAAATACGGGAACTACAGTGGCTTTCAAAGGTGTCGTGTCCCTATTCTCACCCTTCACTCTCCACCCCCCACTCCCCAGCCGGGGGCTCTTGTGCAAGTTACATGTTGGCCATCTCTGTCTTACTTCCCCGTCGTCTCCTGAGTGAACTGTCTTTATTGTGTCTATTACAGTGAATACCTCATGATAACCCGGTCTCTGCTCTTACCCTCTCGCCTCTCGAGGCCTCCTCTGGGGTGGGTCCACCTCCATGCATTTTGGGGTATCCCCGCAGGCCCCTTCCTTTTTACCTCATATGCAGGGAGCGGAGCGACGGGGGCCTGCCGTGGCTCTCCTCCCTGCCTAGATTTGTTAAGGTGATCTCTGCAATAATGCCTCCAATTGCATTTGCTGCTCTTTCTCGAATAGCAGACGCTTTTTAAAAAATTCTCTTGGCTTCTTCCTTGTAATTCCAGATTGCTTTGAAAATCTAGCCTCCATCCCCATCGGCTTCGGTTCTTCGCTGCTTCATAAGCGAGATCCCTTCTGCCCTGGGCCTAGTAGGCCTTCTACGTTAGGCTTCGACAGCCTCTGCCTTTTCTCGGAGCCTGTTCTTCACGATCTGTTTCATGTTTTGTATAAGACTTACCTCAGCAATCGCATGTGGCACTGAGTTCCACAGGCCCTGCTTCCTGGTCTTCGTTGTAAGACGTTGCCTTTCTGATTTTCAGCGTGTGCCTTGCACTGGAGGGTGCCTGGGCATCTCCTGATGGTTTTCAGTATTTTTAAATACCTCGGTTGCATTTCCTGTTACTCTCTTTTCAAATATAGTTGCACATTTTCCTCTTATGCAATCCTCATATCCCTACCTCAAAACTTACGAGAAGAAGAAGGAAAAAAAAAAAGCATATTCCACATTTCAGTTTCTTCAGGATGGCATTGGACTTCGACATAAAGCTTATTTGCTGGCTTAGTTTGCAACTTCGGGCACTTGCTGTCTCTTCTCTGGCCTTCAGCTTGATCGTTTTAGCAAAAGTTGCGTGCAAGAGAGCGTTCCAGATCCTAAACCCTCCTCTGCTGGGGTTGCTTCTTCCTTCGTTTTCACTACCCAACCAAAGATAGAATTCTTTTTAAAAAAAGGCAGAGCATTCTTGTCTGTATCAAAAGACGACTCTTTCCCGTTAGGAAAAAGAAGAAAATGGGTTTATTTCCACCCTAGATTCAACACCGATGCTGAAAAAAATGGCAGCAGTGGTTTGAGTTTTATTCAGCCAGATTTTCTGCCAGCCGAATCTCTTTGCTGCTGCTTGCTCAGCTTGTATAGCAGTAAAAATGACATTAAGTATGAAAAAAAAAATCATACAAGAAAAGGTGGGGAAGATCCAAGCGTCAATCATCTTTCTTACAAAAGAGCTGTAAGATCAAATATTCCTAAGTACTACTGAACTACTCTCTCCAATTCCAGGCAATAGTTTTCCAAAGATAAGAGTGGCCCACAAATATTTTTGGGTGGTTTTTTTTTTGGATTTTGTGTGGCATGATGGGCAATGAAAAGGAAGCTTGTTTAGTCTTTTAATGAGGTGAAGGGCCTAAAAGGGTCTTTATCCATGTAGCTACAGGTGTAGCCTTTTAAAGAATAGATGGTATAAAATTGTGCCTCGCCAATCCAAGAAATGTGTTGCGGCTTTTATTTTGCTTAGAGCCAGACCTCTGCGAGGGAAGAACTTCTGTTATCGAAAATAAAGTGGTTTTGTTTTTCAATCACGGTGTTGGGGTGGGGGGAAAAAAACAGAATGAGGGAAAAATAGAATAATATTTCTCTATCGTGGGGGAAAAGACCGTTGCTGGCCTACTTAGGTGGCTTTCAGTTTTGAACCAAAGTGCTCTCGGTTTGAGGGGGGAAGGAGAGAGGACTTCACAAATTTTCGCCCTGGAGTAAAATTAACCAGACTTTTAAGTCAATGTCCTGGTCAATTTCACTGTCGGCTAATGAGCACTTAAAAAAGGGAGGATTGAGCCTCCCTGCCCTTCCCAGGGTTAGTCCTGCAGTAGAAGGGAAGGAAACTCTGATCTTCAGAAAATTCATTTGTACGTGACGTCAGAAGTTTTGTGTCGCAGGAAAAATCGGAGAGCTCTTGCCTTGCCATTTGTGAGCCTTTCCTTTTGGGGATGGGTTTAATGTGTTAATCTACAGACGCTCTCCCCTGCTGGCAGGAAAGTCTAAACCAGGGGTGTCAGTCAAACTCGATTTCCTTGACGGCCACATCAGGGTTGTGTTTGACCTCGGGAGGCCAGGGTGGGCATGGCCAGCTCGACACCACTCGTGCCAGGGGCGCCTGTGGTGGATCAAGCACTCTGCCAGCGAAAATGGGCTCCCGAGCTCCGTTTTCGGCTGTGACGGCCTCCTGCAACCTTCTGCCAGCGAAAACAGTGCTTGGAGAGGGACGGCCCTCCCGAGTTCCATTTTCGCTGGCAGAGGCACCAAGGGCCGGTCCTTTGCTGTTTCCAGGACGGCTCCCCGGGACTTGAGTTTGATACCCCTGGTCTAAACCATAAAGTGGGAAAAATCCTATTTAAACTTTGTGTTAGTTGGCAACCAACTGGCCTTGAATTAATTGTGCTTTCCAAATAGCCATTTTTTAAAAAAAAAAAATCCTAAAACTACATCCTTGGATTTGCTCCTAATGTTAGTTTGCAAAAACCTCTCTTATTCCTTTTTAAGTAGGATTTGTTTACCTCGCATATGTTTTATTGCCATTGATCTATTTGCCCGGGATGGCTGTTTTCTTCTCCTCTTCCTCCTGAAGAAGAAGAAGATAGCACCTTCATTTTCCCCAATCTCCTCGAATTTACAACAGATAGCTCACCATGGGGTGATCGGATCCTCTCCGTGTCCTGGAAGATTTGATAGGATCAGACCTTTGGGATAAGGTCTCTGGGTCAGCAGATGCCAGCTGCACAAAAGCTGATAACAAAAAGGCGATTTTAGGGCATAGTCAAGGACGGGAGCAGTCAACCATGGAAACCTTGCAACTTGTGGACTTCAACTCCCAGAATTCTTGAGCCGGTGGCCCGCAAAACGTATTTTAGGTGGTTGTTTTTTCTGTGGCCTGATGGGGGAAAGGAAAGGAAGTTTGCTTAGTCTTTTGGAGTCTTAAAGAGAGTCTTCAGGTAGCTGCAGGTGTAGCCTTTTAAAGTATCGAGAGTATAAATTTGTGCCTCGCCAATCCAAGAAAGTGTTGCATTTTCCTTAGAACAGTCTTCTGCAAGGGAAGAACTGGCTGGCTCAGGAATTCTGGGAGTTGAAGTCCACAGGTCGTAAAGTTGCTCACCCTGGCCAAGGGGCTTTTTGGTTGCCTTTTTCCTACTTGGTAATCTCATCTCATCTGCTTTCTGCCTTTCAACCTTTTTATTGAGAGTTGCTACCATGGCGGCCCAGTGGTCAGAATGCAGCATTGCAGGCTAACTCTGCCATCTGCCAGCAGTTCAATTCTCACCGGCTCAAGGCCGAACTCAGCCTTCCCTCCTTCCGAGGTCGATAAAACGAGGACCCAGATTGTTTGGGGGGCAGAGGCTGACTCCGTAAACCGCTTAGAGAGGGCTGTGAAAGCACCGTGAAGCGGTATAGAAGTGTTAAGCGCTAGTGCTATTTTGCATTCTCGGTGCCAGGTTTAGCTCGTGTCTCTGGTATTATTTTTGCCCCCAAATGTTTATTGTTGCTGGCTTTGCTGTACCAGCCCCACCATTCTTCCTTTTGCAAAGCTAAATCACAGGACATTTCAAACTCTTCGTTCAGAGTCTTTTCTTCCCTTTGGCTTAGCAGCAAGCAGACTGACCGAGTGGTTCTGTTAGGATTTCTTTCCAGTGTATATATTAAATTCTAATCAATTGTTTGTATCTTTCCTTTGGCTGGCTAAAATTTTGCAATTTTGGTGGTTGTTTTTTTTCCCTCCTCCTAAGAGAGCAAATTATTCAGGATTATAGAGCAAAAACCTCCCGGGTGCTTCTCTCTTCCCCCCCGAATTTTCATCCTTCCCTTCTGTATTTCAGAATATGCCTCGGATTCAGGGGGTTGCCCATCCTAGGAAAAAACTTCCTAAATTCTTCCTTCACCGCCAGTGGGATTAATTTGAATCCCCCCCCCATAAGAAAGAGGCCCTGCATAGCCCTAATGCTTTTGGAGTGATCCATGGGAATCAGTAACTTAAACGGAAAATGCCCCCACAAAGGGGAAAGTGTTTTAAGTGAGCTCTGTAATAAGAGACCAACTTTCTCTCTGTTATTTGTTCTCAAGACTTATTTTATTCGACACACACACACACACTGGTCATTCTGCTTTGTTTGAAGACTTTCTGCATTTTATAGTATTGGGAATATTGGATTTATTTTGGATGACGGACCCCATTGTCCCCTTATGGCAGTTAAGAATCCTGAAAAACAACCCAAATTCTCTGCCTGTGTGATAGGCTCACAGCTGGTCCCCGAACGTTCCCTCTTCCGTCGGCACGTCCCGTATGAACGGATCCAGCTTTCCCACCGTGATTTATGTAATTTCCTACTTTGGGACTTCATCCCAAGATGCCCACCCCAAAATGTGTCGGAATGGGGCAACTTGGAGCAGCCAACTCGCCGAGGCCAACACAGCGCAGCTAATTCACCATGGAATAACAACTCGCTGCAGGACAATTCAACCATTTTTCAGTATTTAAAGTAATTTTAAAACTTGTTTTGTCGTTCCCATTTCATTCTTTCCCTCCTTTTGCATCCTCCCTTTAATGGTTCTATTCCACCAATTTCTCCAATGTTAAGTGTAACTCATGACCCACGGCGAGTTGGTTGCACCGAGTTATCCTAGACCCAAATGGGTTGTTCTCCCAGTTTTGCAGTCATCCAAAAATAAGATATATATTCTTCCCCCTTTTAAAAACGACAAATTGAAAAACCAATTTTCTGCCCCAATTTGTGGTTGGTTCTCAAATTCCTTCATTTTCTGAGAGTTGTGTGGTTTGGGTTAAAAGAGAGAAAAAATTACCGATTGTGTGTTAAATGAAAAAATACATTTTTTTTTTTTGTTGAACGGGGTGGGACAGCCTATCTTGAGGATCGAACAACTAGCTTCTGGCATTCCTCTGCCCATTTAACGATCCTGTATCATAGGTCCTACCTGTGCAAGAGGGGGCGCCTGTCAGGACAGGTGTTCTCACCTTGATTTGAAGAGGAACTAGGAATTCAGTCCATTGGGTCACTCTGTGTAATTTTTGGCCTCTTGGAGATGGGTGGACTTCAACTCCCAGAATTCCCCAGCCAGGAGAGCTGGGAGACTTTTGGGAGTTGAAGTCCATCCATCTCCAGGTGGCTCAGGTTGAGAAACAATGGCTTACGTAGCTGCCTTTATTGTTTAGAGCACTGTTTCTCAACCTTGGAAGCTTGAAGATGGGTGGACTTCAACTCCCAGAATTCCCCAGCCAGCGCTGCTGGCTGGGGGATTCTGGGAGTTGAAGTCCACCCATCTTCAAGCTACCAAGGTTGAGAAACACTGGTTTAGAGGAATTTTGTGTGTGTGTTTCTTTTTAATCAGAGCCCTCCCTCCTGCCCGACGTGGAACTCCTTACCCAACCGAGCACTTTTTCCTCTAAACACAGCAAATGACCTCTTTTTTTAATCTGAATATTGCTGGACTTTTTTTTTTTTTCCCCCCAAGTCCCGGTTTTGAAAAGAAAAAAAAAAAAAAAGATTTTGAAGTGCCATTAGGAAACATAACAGCTCATCACTGTTCAGTTTGGGGTTTCTTTTCTTCTTTTTTTTTTTTTTTGGTCTTACAGAATTAAGTTTTAAAATGAAAGAGGGTGTCTTTGTTATTGTTTTTTAAAATGAAATTGCTTATTAAAACGTTTGAAGTATGACGCCTTGTGTGGGTTTTTTTTCTTTTCCTGGAGTCGGGGCAGTTCGAGGAATTACTTAGCCGCGTTAAGTAGCACCCACCCATCCATACGGCAACCGGAATGGGCTACGGTAAAGTTCTACATTTAGGCAAGAAAAACCAAATGCACGGGTATAGAATCCGTGATGGGGAACCTATGGCACAGGTGGCACGGGGAGCCCTCTGCGGGCACGCGAGCCGTCGCCCAGCTCAGCCCCACCCCGCATGCACGCGCGCCTCCTGCCGGCCAGCTGATTTTCAGGTCTCTGCCACGCAGAGGGGGAGGGTCGCGCGCACATGCGGGAGATGGGGGGAGCACGGGGGACAGGGCACCTCCCCCTTGCGGCCCGTTTTGGGACCAAAAGCCTCCTGGGACCAAAAATGGGCTGTGCGGGGTGTGGTGACCCCCCCCGCTTTCCTGGAGCCTGGGGAGGGTGAAAATGGCCTCTCCCCACCCCTCTGGAGGGCGAAAATGCCTTCCCAGAGCCTCCGCACGAGCCCTGTACTTACCTGACATCCAAAACGGGCCCCGCGGAGACTCCGGGAGGGGAGGGGAGGCGTGGGTGGGGCCAGCCGAAAATCAGCTGGCCAGTGTGCGCCTGCGCGCTGAACCTGAGCTAGGGCAACAGTTTGCGTGCCTGCAGATATGGCTCCGCGTGCCACCTGTTGCATGCGTGCCATAGGTTCGCCATCTCAGGGAAAGAAGACATGGAATAGAATAGAATTAGAATAGAAGAGTAGAATAGAATAGAACAGAACAGAACAGAACAGAGAATGGAATGGAATGGAACGGAACGGAACGGAATGCAGAATGGAATGGAATGGAATGAAAAATGGAATAGAATTGGAATGGATAGGTTAGAATAGGAATAGAATAGAATAGAATAGAATTAGAATAGAATAGAATAGAATAGAATTAGGATAAAATTAGGATAGAATAGAATAGAATGGATGTTGATCTTACCTGACATGTCTCTTCTCAGTGTGCTGCTGGGGAATAGAATAGAATAAACAGAACAAAACAAAGAATAGAACAGAGTAAGAAAGTATAGAATAAAAAAGAATAGAACAAAACAGAACAGAACAAGAAATAATAGACTAGAATAAGAAGTAATGCCACAGAACAGAACAGAACAAATAATAGAACAGTGCCAGTGGCGCACTAGTAAAAGTGCTGATTTGCAATAAAGCAACTTTTGCGGATCGAAATAACGGGAAGTGTGGAAGCCAATGAAAATGAATCGAAACGAACACCAGGCTGGCATTTGCACAAACGGAACCAACCGGCCAGGAACGGAATGGCTGTTTCAGCTGCATCAGGGACACAGATTTTGCTCCGCTGCCCAGTCACACCGGGTGTAAGGTTTGTGGTGTCCTTGTTAAGGGGAAGGGGTGATAACAGGCTTTGGAGCCCTGTATTTCCAATCAAAGCGTCTACCACAGGCAAACGCAGGTAAGTCCTTGACTTATGACCGCAGTTGAGCCTATACGTTGCTAAGTGAAACATTTCTTAGGTGAGTTTCCCCCCATTTTACCACCTTTCTTGCCACAGTTGTTAAGTGAATGGCTGCAGTTACATTAGTAACCCTGGTCGTTAAATGAAGCTCATTGACTTTGCTTGTCAGGTCGCAAAAGGGGATCGCGTGACCGTCATAAATAGGAACCAGTCGTCAAGCACCTAAAAGTAAATCACACGAACTTGGGATCCTGCAATGGCCGTAAGTGTGGAAAACGATCGTAAGTCACTTTTTTCAGTGCTGTTGCAACTTCAGACGGTCACTAAATGAACTGTCGTAAGTTGAGGACTGCCGGTAAGAGTTTGTTTGCCATGAGCACATTTATGAGAACCAAAGTTTGCGTCCTCATCTTCCTTCGTGCAAGTCAAACACAGACATTCGTTTAGTGACTGCTTGAAGTTACAACGGCTCTGAAAAAAAGTGACTTAGGACCGTTTTTCACACTTAGGACCATTGCGGCATCCCCGTGGTCACATAAAACCTAGACGCTTGGCAACTGGTCCATATTTATGACGGTCGTAGTGTCCTGGGGGGTGGGTGGGTCACGTGATCCCCTTTTGCGACCTCCTGACAAGCCGAGGCAATGGGGGGAAGCAAGATTCGCTTAACAACCGCATTCTTCGCTTAAGAAACCACAGGTCATTCTGTGTTGAGAAAGGTCGTACCGTGGAGCAAAACCCACTGAACCACTGTCTCGCTTAGTAGTGAGAATTTTGGGGCCAAATATAGTCGTAAGCCAAGGACCATTTGGAAAGACAGCATGAATTGAGTATCATTCTGATTGCCCAAAGCAGTCTAGATATTATCCCAATCTCGATTAAAAACCTGCTGGAGAAATTCTAGGACGATCATTTCCTTCTTAAACCAGCATAAATCACTTGTACTCCAGGAAACCTGTTTACCCCAATGACCCACGGTGGCGCAGTGGTTAGAGGGCAGTACTGCAGCCTGCTTCTGCCGACTGCCTGCAATTTGGCAGTTCGAATCTCACCAGGCTCAAGGTTGACTCAGCCTTCCGTCCTTCCAAAGTGGGTAAAATGAGGATCCAGATTGTTGGGATGACTCTGTAAACTGCTTAGAGAGGGCTGTAAAAGCACTGTGAAGCGGTATATAAGTCTAAGGGCTATTGCGAAGGAAGGAAGGAAGGCACGGTGACCCAGTGGTTAGAATGCCGTATTGCAGGTTAACTCTGCCGACTGCCAGCAGTTCGATCTTGACTGACTCAAGGTTGACTCAGCCTTCCGTCCTTCCGAGGTCGGTAAAATGAGGAGCCAGATTGTTGGGGGAAAGAGGCTGACTCTGTAAGCTGCTTAGAGAGGGCTGTGAAGCATTATGAAGCGGTATATAAGTGCAAGGGCTATTGCTTGTGAAGGAAAGAAAAAGGAAAGGAAGGAAAGAAAAAGGAAAGGAAGGAAGGAAGGAAGGCATGGTGACCCAGTGGTTAGAATGCCATATTACAGGTTAACTCTGCCGACTGCCAGCAGTTCGATCTTGACTGGCTCAAGGTTGACTCAGCCTTCCGTCCTTCCGAGGTAGCGCAGTGGTTAGAATGCAGCACTGCAGCCTAATTCTGCTGACTGCCGGCTGCCTGAAATTTGGCAGTTCAAATCTCACCAGGCTCAAAGGTTGACTCAGCCTTCCGTCCTTCCGAGGTGGGTAAAACGAGGACCCAAATTGTTGGGGGCCAGAAGCTTGTGAAGCACTGGGAAGCAGTACATAAGTTTAAGTGCTATTGCTAACATAGTCCCAAAGGTGCTATTTTCTTTTCAGGAGGCAACTGGACTTTCGACTTTTTTTTTTTCTTTTGAAGACGTTTCGCTTCTCATCCAAGAAGCTTCTTCAGCTCTGACAGGATACTGGGGAACGTCAGAGCTGAAGAAGCTTCTTGGATGAGAAGCGAAATGTCTTCAAAAGAAAAAAAAAAAAAGGAAGTTCAGTTGCCTCTTGGAAAAAAAGCACTTTTGGGACAATTACGGAAGGCTGAGAATCTCTACAGACCCCAGGATAAGCGTTTCTCACCCTGAGCGACTTTTACCTGTGCTGGCTGGGGAATCCATACAGTCCATACAGCTCCAAGTTGCTCAGGTTGAGAAACAGGGTGAAGCCAAAGAAGGCAGTTGGAACAGTGGTGAAACGTAAAATTTGTTACTACCGGTTCTGTGGCCGTGGCTTGGTGGTGGTGGTGGGCTTAATATGACTGAATGGGCGTGGCCAACTTTTTTTTTTTTTTTTTACTTTTAAAATCATTTTTTCTACAACCTCTTCGGCTGAAGAGGTTGTAGAAAAAATGCTTTTAAAAGCCTTTGACGATCCCAGCTGAGCTGCGCAATCATCAGAGGCTTTTTTTTTACTTTTAAAAGCATTTTTTTTTCAGCCAAAAAGGTTGTAGAAAAAAATGCTTTTAAAAATAAAAGCCTCTGATGATTGCACGGCTCAGCTGGGCAATGGGGGAGGGGGCGGGGGGGCAGGGATTTTTGCTACCGGTTCTCCAAACCACCCGCCTCCATCGTTACTGGATCGGGCGACCCGGTCCGAACCGGGAGCATTTCACCTCTTGAGTTGGAAGGATCCAAATCCTTTTGCAGCCCCAATTTACTCCCGAGGACCCAGCTTGTGGGGGCAATAAGCTGACTTTGTATAAAATATACAAAAGTATGAAGGCTATTGCTTAACGCACTGTAAGCAGCCCTGAGTCTCTGGAGAAGGGCGGCATATAAATCAAATTAAAATAAAATAATAATAAAAAAAATAATAGGAAGGATTCAGCATTTCCCAAAACAAGCATTTCTCCTCAATATGATAAGGTGGCAATGTTCTAAAAATACAGGGGGGCTGCTTAGAGCAGAGGTCCCCAACCTTCACATTAAACCATCCCATCTCCCTCCCCACCTCCTAGTACCAGGCCAAACCGGAACAGTTCAGGAATCCTGGTTTAGATCAGGGGTCTCCAACCTTGGCAACTTTAAGACTTGTGGACTTCAACTCCCAGAATTCCCCTAGCCAGCCACAAGTGCACAAATCTTAAAGTTGCCAAGATTGGACACCTTTGCAAAAAAAGGCTTCTTTCTTTCTTTCTTTCTTTCTTTCTTTCTTTCTTTCTTTCTTTCTTTCTTTCTTTCTTTTTCTTTCTTTCTTTCTTTCTGTTTCTCTTCTCTCCATCTTTCTTTCTTTCTACTCTTTCCTCTCTTTTTTTTTAAGGAGTCCACAAGTCTTAAAAATTGCCAAGGTTGGAGACCCCTGGCTTAAACCACCTGGTACGTACCCCTAGGAAAAGCATCATCTCCACCCTACTCCAAGATGGAAATGTCATTTATCAATTAATTTACCCAACGTTAGCATTCCCCCGATTTAAGCAAAATCTCCCGTTTTACAAAAACCAGGATACGCGCCCGCACCCCGTTTCTGCATTCCGTCACAAAGACTAAAAACTTCCCAACGGTGACATGAACCGTTTCTCGAAAAATCGGATCGTGGCAGGAGGGTTCGAAAATATCTAACAAAGGCGCCTCGGACAACGGTGGGTTTATTTATTTACATTTGGGCTCAAAAACAGTACAGTTAAAAATACAGCGTGGCTGGAGCAGGTCCAGTGGGGCAGGGGGAAAACGACCCACTCAAGTCAAACTGAAGTTCACCCCCCCCCACACACATATACAAGGAATCCCTTGGCCCAACCTAGGTTCTGGCTGATGTGACCTCGGGGTGGTCAGCGATGGGATGGACAAGGCCAAGAAAGCCTGTCCAGATTTCCTTGCTTGAGCCTTTGGGAGACCTTGCATCCATCTAGGCAGGGCAAAAGCTGGGGAGGGGGGCAGAGGAAGGGAAGGGATGTGAACGAGGTGGTCACTGTGAGAAATTACATTTTTTAAACTTCTTTTTAAGATATGCTCACAGGAAATGGAAGCCTTTCCTTCCACGTAACACATGTAGGATCCAGGCCCCCCAAAAAAATTTGAGTTTTTTTTTTTTCTAAAAAAAAATCCTCAGATGAAAATACTGTGTGAAGTGCTCTAGGTCTCAGTGGGGGGTGGGGGCAAATCTTACCGCAACTTGCTTTTATTTTCTTTTTCCCCCAGCAGTGTTAAAATTTAAAAAAAAAGAAAAGAAAAACCCACATTCTTGTTCACACAGAAAATGTCCAAAGAATGTCTTTAGTGGTTTTTTTTCCCAGCAATTCCAGCGATTTGGGGTGATTTTTTTTCTTTTTGCAAAACTCCAGCACAAGCAAAATTTCGAGTTTCCCATATTGAATTTTTTTTTTCAGCGTCAGGATAAAGATCGGTGGGCGGGTGAATTCATTCCCAAGTCGCGCTCCCAAAACGGCGTTTGCACAGAGACCGATAAAAAGAGACGAGGGACAGAGGCTGAACGGGGGAAAGGACGTGGCTCTTTGCCCGGGCTGGCTGGAGAGGAGGGTGCAGGGGAGGGGAGCATGGTTTTATGAATACCTGGAGAACCGAGGGCAGCGATTCCTTTCGGAAATGCAGGGCTGGCCCAAGTCCTTCCCTTGTTCCCCCCCCCCGATTGCCAGAGTTTTCTCTTGAGCCATGGACTCCTTGGCACATGAACATGGCAATGTCACTCGTCTGGTGGTTGTTTTTTTGGCTCAGGGTCTCCCATCTTATCATCCAGACCTTTTGGGGAGGAAGGATCCCCCAAAAATCTCTCCAGAGCTGCATCCTCAGATGTGCTGACGTGTTCAAGAGCCACCAGTCCCACATCCCTTATCGTTCTTCCTGTTAAAACTGGAGAATGCCGTCACCGTTTCGGCACAACTTTTTCGGCACGAAAAGAGTCCCGAGACGGGCAGATGAGAAGTTTTATAGAGTTTGAATGTCCCTTCTGAAAAAAATTGCACTTATCTCGCTCGGAAATAGCACGTCTGCAGCTCCGGATAGAGAGTTGCTGGTTTAACCCGAGAAAACGCCAGCAAACCAGTTTTCGGCATCCTCCTGGCACCGCAGCGCCCGCCATCTTCAGCACGGGCCTAGCGAAAGGCGGTGGGAGAATCTCTCCTCCTGAATTCCAGAACGACCGCTGCAATCGTGAGCGACGGTCGAAAAGTAGACAGAGGAATATTCATTGTGAGAGATGGACTGGCGTGTTTTTTGTTTTTTAAAAAAATCCCCTAGATCCAGAATAGCGTAGAATTAAAAAGTAAAGAAATCTATACACCCTTCCCTCCAGGAGATTCCCCGATTCCATGGATATTGTGCCAAAAATTACATTCCAAGAGTTCAACTTTTGTTTTCGTTTTAAGTTCCTGCGTCCTGCTCCCGAAGGATCTTTTTTTTTTTTCCCCCTTGGGAGAAACAGGAAAAAGTTTCCCAGATTCCTTCCTAGGAGGAAACCAAAGCATGGCGGTGAATCTGTGCCATTGGGTGTGCCGGCGCCTTCAGTCTATTTTCACCGCGGCGTAAATTTTGCGGACAAACATGTAGGCTGCATAGAAGCCAATAGTCCCCGTCAGGAGCCAGAAAGAAAGCACCATGAGGGCGGTGTAGCCGAAATACAGCAAGGAGGGGATGAATTCCACGATGTCCAGCTGGAAGAGAAGAAAAATGGAGTTTAGAGGAGGAGAAATTAAGGGGGTGGGGAGAGCTGAACCCCATTAGCTCCCCTTCAGGGACACAAAGAAGGACTAGGGGGGACAGGATAGCAGTCTTCCAGTATTTGAGGGGCTGCCCCAAAGAAGAGGGAGTCAAGCTATTCTCCAAAGCCCCTGAAGGCAGGACAAGAAATGATGGTTGGAAACTAATTCAAGGTGAGAAGCAACCTGGAATTAAGGAAAAACTTCCTGACAGTGAGACCGACCAACCGGTGGAACTGCTTGCCACTAAGAAGATGTGGGTGCTCCATCATTGGAGGTTTTTAAGAAGAGACTGGACAGCCGTTTGTCCAGAATGGGATAGGGTCTCCTGCTTGAGCAGGGGGTTGGACTAGATGACCTCCAGGGTCCCTTAAAGCTCTGTTATTCTGATGCCCTCAGCAAGCGCTCTACATGGGGCTCCCCTTGAGGAGCACCCGGAGGCTCCAACTGGTCCAGAATGCGGCCGCGCGGGTGATTACGGGAGCGACATGGAGCTCCCATGTAACACCTCTCCTGCGCGAGCTGCACTGGCTCCCAGTGGTCTTCCGGGTGCGCTTCAAGGTGTTGGTTCTCACCTTTAAAGCGCTCCATGGCTTAGGGCCAGGGTACTTACGAGACCGCCTTCTGCCACCAATTGCCTCCCACCGGCCAATACGCTCTCACAGAGAGGGCCTCCTCAGGGTGCCATCGGCCAAGCAATGTCAGCTGGTGGCCCCCAGGGGGAGGGCCTTCTCTGTGGGGGCACCCGCCCTCTGGAATGAGCTGCCTCCTGGGATACGACTGATCCTGGACCTCCGGACCTTCCGTAAAGCCCTGAAGACGTTTTTATTTCAGCAAGCCAGCCTGGCCTGAATAGGTTTTATAGGTTAGTTTTTAATTATATAGCTTGGGGTTTTAAATTGGGAGGCCGATTAATTTAATTTATTTTTAGTTATCTTAACTTTTATATTGTATGTTATTTTAATTCTCGGCTGTTCACCGCCCTGAGTCCCTTCGGGGAGAAGGGCGGTATATAAATTCAATAAATACTAATAATAATAATAATAATAAGCCAGAAATATTGTCCACCTTGAAAAATGTGGCCGCCTATTGATACTTTTGCCATCATGTAACATTCTCCTCGGCTTCTATGGCTAGTCCTCAATTTATGACCGGCCCCAAAGTTCAAAGTTGCAATGGACCCACCCCTCAAAAAGGAACTTATGACCCAGAGTCAAAGTCCCGACATCCGCCCCTGCAGTCATGTGACAACATACCATAAAACAACATGACATAACAACACCATAACATAAAACGTAAGACATGACAAAGCAGAAGGAAAGAGGACCTTATTCACGAAGTAGAAGATCGCGTAGATGAGCACGTAGAAGGCAGATCCTCCGGACACCAGGAAGGTTCTCCACCACCACCGATAATCCTGCCAAGATGAGCAGAACCACCTTGGGTTACAGCTAGTCCTCAAGTTACAACCATTCGCTTAGTGACGGTTCGAAGTTACGAAGGTTATTGAAAAAAGGGACTTGCCAACAGTCCTTGCAGTTACGACCGCTGCTGCGTCCCTATGGGTCACAGGATCTCAATTCGGGCACTTGGCAACTGGTATGTCTTTATGAGGGTTGCAGCATAGCTTCTGACGACCAAAGTCAATAGGTAAAGAGCCGCGGTGGCGCAGTGGTTAGAGTGCAGTACTGCAGGCTACTTCTGCTGCCTGCCGGCTGCCTGAAATTTGGCAGTTCAAATCTCACCAGGCTCAAGGTTGACTCAGCCTTCTGTCCTTCCGAAGTCAGTAAAATGAGGACCTAGATTGTTGGGGGCAATTATGCTGACTCTGTAAACCGCTTAGAGAGGGCTGGAAAGCACTGGGAAGCGGTATATAGGTCTAAGGCAGTGTTTCTCAACCTTGATAGCTTGAAGATGAGTGGACTTCAACTCCCAGAATCCCCCAGCCAGCAGTACTGGCTGGGGGATTCTGGGAGTTGAAGTCCACCCATCTTCAAGCTTCCAAGGTTGAGAAACACTGGTCTAAGGGCTATTGCTAAAGACAGATTCACATCATGATCTCACAATTTACTTAACAAGGGCAGTGATTTGCTTAACAACTGTAGCAAAAAAATGGTCATAAATGGGGCGCAATGCTGCACTTTAAGCACTGTGCCACTAGGGCTCATAGGAAGGAAAAAGGAAGGAAGGAAGGAAGGAAGGAGGGAGGGAGGGAAGGAAGGAAAGAAAGGAGGGAGGAAGGGAGGAAAATATTGCAGTAGCACTTATATACCACTTCACAGTGCTTTACAGCCCTCCCTAAGCAGTTTACAGAGTCAGCCTCTTGCCCCCAACAGTCTGGGTCCTCATTTTACCCACCTCGGAAGGACGGAAGGCTGAGTCAACCTTGAGCCTGGTGAAATTTGAACTTGCAGTAATTGCAGGCAGCTGGTGTTATCTTAACAGTGCTTTAGTCTGCTGCACCACCAAGGCTCTGTCTCTCACCAAATTTCTTCTATGAGCCTCAGAGTGTCTCTACTACCCCTTCTCCCACTGTTATGGTAAAGATTTTCTGCCCAAATTCCTTCTCTGGATCCCAAGCCATAGATTTTGACTTAGAGGATAACTTTATTGTTACTTTAAATGTACATTAATCGGCCTACATTAAAACGAGAGTTTACACACACCCAGCTCTGCGAGACCCAGAACCATCCCTGCCCCTCAGAGGCCCGAGATTCTGGGGTCCGTGCTAGACCTGGGTTCCCCAGTCCTGCGACACCCCCACCCCCCACCTTCTCCCCCTTACCTCGGCACAGAGCTGGAAGTACACCATGACGATGCTGATCTGGGAACAGGAGACCACCAGGATGATAAACACCAGGAATAAGAAGCCAAAGAGGTAGTAGAATTGATTCTCCCAGATGGCCTGAATCGAAGAAAGGCGAACAGACATTCAAAAGTCTTGGTCATCACCTCCAAAGCCCTTCGTGGCATGGAACTGGGCTACCTGAGGAAACCATCTCATACACACACACAAACACACACACGCCCCACTCTAGAAGAAGGAACCTGATGAGGTCCCAGCAGGCCAAGGGAAGGGACTTTTCTGCTGTGGCCCCTGGCCTCTGGAACAGAATGGAATAGGAGACTTGGAAGGGACCTTGGAGGTCTTCTAGTCCAACCCCGCTTTTTTTCTGCCCCAGCTACGGACCCCAAAGAACGCAGCACACACAAAGTCCGGACAAACCTTAGTTTACTAATTAAGGACTACTGATGAGCTTTCTTAGTAGTTGTTCGAACACAAGTACAGTTTAAATCAGTCTTTTCTGAACAAGGGCTGTTAATTTAACTTCATTAACAGCCGACAAGAATCCAAAGAATAATAACTCAGTTCTGAGGCACGGTATTTCAGATAACCGTAATCTTACTGTGGTTGGCAGAATGCCCAGAAGCAATTTGCAGGAAAACTGACGAGAGAGAAACAAGAGCCGAATCAAACATTTCTGGAATCAAGACGGGAAGGAATATGAATGTTGTTTCCTGCAAATTGCTTCAGTCAGCGGTCCTCCTTAAATAGGCTAAGGGAATGGCCAATTAGCCCCAAGCCTTACTCTCGAGGAGACCTCCTCCTGAGGAGCCACTCCTGCCTTTTGGCAGCTCTGCGCGCCCGTGCATCGAGAAGAGGCTCCTCCTCTTCTTCCTCTTCACCCATGGAAGCTTCTGGAGGTTCTGAAGGCCCTGGCTGAATCCCCACCTCTGGCACCACATCTTCTCCAGCCTCCTCACTGTCCGACTCGAGCGCCAGCTGTGCAGGCTGCTGGCGCAGCACTACACCAGCCTCCTCGCTGTCGGAATCAGCTACTAGCTGCACAGGCCGCTGACGGGCCACAACACTGCTTAGGCAGGAAACTATACACCACTTCAAACGAATTGTTATCCAACATCTTCTTAAAAACTTTCAGTGTTGGAGCATTCACAACTTCTGGAGGCAAGCTGTTCCACTGGTTAATTGTTCTCACTGTCAGGAAGTTTCTCCTTAATTCCAGGTTGCTTCTCTCCTTGATTAGTTTCCATCTGTTGCTTCCTGTCCTGCCCTCAGGTGCCTTGGATAATAGCTTGACTCCCTCTTCTCTGGGGCAGCCCCTGAGATATTGGAAGATGCTATCCTGTCTCCCCTGGTCCTTCTCTTCATTAAATTAGACATACCCAGTTCCTGCAACCGTTCTTCGTATGTTTTAGTATCCAGCCCCCTAATCATGGACTACACAGACTACAATAGTAGAGTTGGAAAGGACCTCAGAGGTCTTCTAGTCCAACCCTTTGCTTGAGCAGGAGACCTTGTACCCTTTTCAAATGATTGTCCAGTCTCTTTTTGAAAGCCTCCAGTGATGGGGCACCCACAGCTTCTGGTGGCAAGCGGTTCCACTGGTTAATTGCTCTCATCGCCAGGAACTTTCTCCTTTAATTCCATCCTTCCTTTCCATCCGTTGCTCCTTGCGCCCTGCCTTCTGGTACTTTGGAGAAAAGGTTGAGCCCCTCTTCTTGGTGGCAACCTCCGAGATATCGGAACACAGTGTGCCCCTCAAGGCGAGATCCGCACCCACCACTTTGGCCTCCAGGAAGGACCTTAAACCCTGGCTCTACTGGTTGGCCTGGGGTCCTGATGGGGCAGTTCCATGCTGGAGGTAGTTAGTGGATTAAATCATCCCACTGCAAGCTGGTTCCTATCTCAGCTAATTTTATTAATTTTAATGTTAATACAGGTGGTCCTCGATTTACAGCCATCCATTTAGTGACAGTTCAAAGTTACAAACAGCACTGCAAAAAGTGACTCACTGTTTTTCACACTTAATGACCATCGCAGCATCCCCTTGGTGACAAAATCAAAATTCAGACTCATATTTATGACGGTTGCAGCGTCCCGGAGTCACGTGATCCCCTTCCGACAAGCAACGCCAACGATTCACTTAACAACCATGTGACTTAAGTTGACCACTGTTGTGAATGCTTAACGACAGTGGCAAGGAAGATCGTAAGACGGGGCAAAATTCACTTAACAATTGTCTCGCTTAGCAGCATCAATGTTGGGCTCCATTGTGGTCGTAAGTCGAGAACTGCCTGTACTTCGTGTTTTGAATTGTTTTTGTCATGGTCTAAGCTGCCCAGAGTTTCTTGATAGCGAGACGGTCGCTATATAAATTTAAATAATTAACTGATTAAAATAGAGAAGAACTTGTACAGTTGTCCTCGACTTACGACCACAATGGTGCCCAACATTTATGTTGTCCAATGAGACGTTTGTTAGTTAAGTGAGCTTCGACCCATCCTATGACTTTTCTTGCCACGGTTGTTAAGTGAATCACTGCCATTGTTAAACAAGTCACACGGTCGTTAAGTGAATCTGGCTTGCCCACGGACTTTGCTTGTCAGAAGGTACCGCAAAAGGGACACTGCGACCGTCATTATGAGACACCTTTGCCACCGATAGCCTCCCACCGGCCAGTACGCTCCCACAGAGAGGGGCTCCTCCGGGTGCCGTCGGTCAAACAATATCGACTGGCAGCCCAGGGGGAGAGCCTTCTCTGTGGGGGCATGCCCTTTGGAACGAACTCCCCCCGGAGATACGGAGGATTCCGGATGTACGCACTTTCCGCCGCGCCCTCAAGACTTTTTTATTCCAACAAGCTGGGCTGGCCTCTTTTAATTGCTAATTTTAATACGTTTTTAAAAAAGGGGGGGGTGTTTTAATGCGTAAGGGCCAAATTCATCTACTATGTTTGAATTGTTGTTTTTTTTTAATTTTTATATATTGTTATGTGTTTTATTTGGCTGTCACCGCCTGAGTCCTTCGGGAGAAGGGCGGTATATAAATCTAATAAATACAAATTAAGTGTCAGTCACTTGTCAAGCATCCGAATGTAAATGACATGATCCTGGGGATTGCTGCAATGGTCGTTAAGTGTGAAAAAACGGTCCTTGGTCACTAAGCAAATTGTTGTAAGGTATAGGATGTCTGAAGCTGCCTTTGCAAAGGGTGTTACGCATTGTTTCTCAACCTTGGAAGCTTGAAGATGGGTGGACTTCAACTCCCAGAATCCCCCAGCCAGCAGCGCTGGCTGGGGGATTCTGGGAGTTGAAGTCCACCCATCTTCAAGCTACCAAGGTTGAGAAACACTGTGTTAATCTCTGCTCTTGTGGGTATTTTATTTCTGGCCAGGAAGTGCAGTGATCTTTTAGCTTTTTGATTGTCTCTTTTGAATGGTGTGTAAACGTGGTTCATCTCTATGTGCCGTTGATGGCCGTTTTGTCTGAGTGCTGCTGGCTGGGGGATTCTGGGAGTTGAAGTCCACCCATCTTCAAGCTTCCAAGGTTGAGAAACACAGGTGTTACAGGGGGCCGGGTGGGGTGGGGTGGGGTGGGGTGGGGTCCACAGGACTTACGCTGAAAATGAAGAAAAGTTCAATAAACATGGCTCCGAAAGGCAAGATTCCAGCCATGAGGATCCTACGAAGGAAGGCAGGAGAAAAGCGTCATTATAGAAACAAGGGAATCTAGTTCGAACAGATTCCTCAACTGCGTCAAGCACTAGTTTATTCTACTGTTTCAAGAGCAGGAGGCTTCCTTGAACTCGGCACCCAGCTAGGTAGAGTCAGGATATAAAAGCAATCCTTTCCGCTCTGCCGAATTCACTGTTGTTATTATTGTTAATTGTTAAGATTTTTATCCCGCCTTCTCGAGTGTACGTCAAGGCGGCAAGAATATCTATAATATGCCTTCCTCCTCCTGTTTTCCCCGCGACGACAACCCTGTGAGGTGGGCTGGGCTGAGAGAGAGAGAGAGTGAGCGAAGTCACTCAGCTTTCAAGACTACAGCAGGACTAGAACTCCCCATTTCCTGGTAATTGGCCCAATCATCCAGCTGGCTTTTATTCCTAAGGTAGAACTAGAACTCACAGTCTCCTGGTGAAAGTCAGGCCAACTGGTTTCTGTGCCTAAGGTGGGGCTAGAATTCACTAAAACCTGTAAATGGCCCAAAGTCACCCAGTGGGCTTTCATGCCTATGGAAGGACTAGAACTCACTGTCTCCTGGTGATTGGCTCAAAGTCACCCAAACATTTTTCATGCCTAAGGCGGGACTAGAACTCCCCGTCTCCTGGTGATTGGCCCAAAGTCACCCAACTTCTTTCATGCCTAAGGCGGGACTAGAACTCACCGTCTCCTGGTGATTGGCTCAAAGTCACCCAGCCACCTTTCATGCCTAAGGCGGGACTAGAACTCCCTGTCTCTGGTGATTGGCTCAAAGTCACCCAGCCACCTTTCATGCCTAAGGCGGGACTAGAACTCCCCGTCGCCTGGTGATTGGCCCAAAATCACCCAACTATCTTTCATGCCTAAGGCGGGACTAGAACTCCCCGTCTCCTGGTGATTGACCCAAGGTCACCCAACTATCTTTCATGCCTAAGGCGGGACTAGAACTCCCCGTCTCCTGGTGATTGAGCCAAAGTCACCCAGCTGGCTTTTATGCCTAAGGCGGGACTAGAACTCCCCGTCTCCTGGTGATTGACCCAAAGTCACTCAGCTGGCTTTCATGCCTAAGGCGGCGGGACTAGAACTCCCCGTCTCCTGGTGATTGAGCCAAAGTCACCCAACTGGCTTTCATGCCTAAGGTGACTAGAACTCCCCGTCTCCTGGTGATTGAGCCAAAGTCACCCAACTATCTTTCATGCCTAAAACAGGACTAGAACTCACCGTCTCCTGGTGATTGGCCCAAAATCACCCAGGCGGCTTTTATGCCTAAACTGGAACTAGAACTCACAGCCTCCTGGCTCTTAGGCCGTCCCCTGCACCACTATCCCAAGCTGGCTCTGTTATGACAGCTATTCTAGTCCCTGTCCCCAACTTACAACGAAGTCGCCCCGGAAGACTCACCCAACGAACCGGTTCATGTACCACCTCTGTTCCGGGATCTGCCTTGGGATCTGATTGGTCCGGACGGGATTGTCGTAGGGCTGCTTGCGAAAGCCGAAGTAGTAGCCCAGGTACACCAAGGGCAGGGAAATGCCGAACCACATGCAGAGCAGCGCCAGCATGGTGGGAAACGGGACCTGGAAAACAAGACGCCGATTCTCGGACAGTAGCCACGCAAAGTCTCCCCAGTAAGTTACAGGTATGTGTAACTTACCCTCACCCCACCCCCCCACACTGCTAGGAACGGCTCAGACCAGGGGTGAAATCCAGCAGGTTCTGACAGGTTCTGACGAACTGGTAGCGGAAATTTTGAGCAGTTCGGAGAACTGGCAAATACCACCTCCGGCTGGCCCCAGAGTGAGGTGGGAATGGGGATTTTGCAATATTCTTCCCCAGCCACGCCCACAGAACCGGTAGTAAAAAAAAAATTGGGATTTCACCACTGGCTCAGACTGTGGTTTCCTTGGCACACCGAACCATCAACTCACCACCTTAGCTATGGCACACCACAAACTCAACTAAGATACACTTTTTTGGATACTTTCTATCTCCAAGGTGGCTTTTTCTAAAGGCAACTGGACTTTTTGTTTTTGTTTTTCCTTGAGGACGTTTCGCTTCTCATCCAAGAAGCTTCTTCAGCTCTGACTGGATGGTGGGGAAGGGAAGGATTTATATTCTTTGCAGTCATCTGGTCGTTTGCACTCTCTCTGAGAATCATTGAGGCCACTTGGAGGCTTATCTATGCCCTCGGAGTCAGCTGAATAGTGCAAATGGGTGTAAATGAACTCCTTTTCAGCAGTTCCAAGGTTCCACTCCCATTTGCACTATTCAGATGACCTTAAACACAGATAAACACAGATAAACCTCCAAGTAGCCTCAACGACTCTCAGAGAGAGCGCAAACGACCAGAGGACTGCAAGGAATATAAATCTATCCATCCTCTACTATTTCAGTCAGAACTGCAGAAGCTTCTTGGATGAGAAGCGAAATGTCTTGATTTATGCAGACGGCTGGTCATTTGCATCCTTTTAGAAGGTCGTTGAGGCCACCTGGAGGTTTATCTGTGTCCTCAGGATCCCCTGAGTGGTGCAAATGGCTGTGGACCCTTCTTGGAACTGCTGAAAGGACCGTGTTGTAGACAGAAGTTAGCTGGTGTTGTATCCTTTCCCCGCTGTTGAGAGCTCTGCTCAATTTGAACCCAGATGGCCTCAAGCGCTCTCAGAGAGAGTGCAAATGACCAGATGACCACTAAGAAATAGGATCCACCCTGCCAGAACCGATGAAGCTCCTTGGGTGAGAAGCGAAACGTCTTGAAGGAAAAAACAAGAAAGTCCAGTTGCCTTTTGAGAAAGCACTCTTGAGATTTCTCTGTCAGACCCAAACCATTCGGAGGAGTAAACCCCACAGGGAGTAGCCAAGGAGAGACTTACCGCCCCCGAGGAGTGTTTGCCCCAGATGAAACAATTCAGGACGAAGCATATCCCAAAGACGACCCCGGGATACAGCATGGCCGTCTGCAAGGGAAAAGAATAAACCAGGTTTAGTGGGCTCCACCTGCTGAGATCCTCTGGTGCCGCCCGTTTCTGTACCAGGCAGCTATAAAGGGCTCCAATTCTTCTTCCCCCAAATACAGGTAGTCCTCGGCTTACGACCTCAACTGAGCCCCAAATATCTGTTGTTAAGCGAGACATTTGTTAAGTGAGCTTTGCCCCCTTTCACAGTTTTTAAGTGAATCACCACGGTTGTTAAAGGTGTAACAGAGGTGTTAAGGGAATCTGGCCAGGACCCCACAAGGCCTCCTCCTGATCCACCACCTCTTCACCCCACTCCCCTCTAGCACTGATGAGGTTACCTAGTTGGGTCATGAAACGTCTGCAAGAAAACAAAGAAGCTCAGAGACCATCAATTCTCCTCCTCCCCTTTTTCTGCGCTTCCTCCTCTTCCTCCTCTCTGCAAACCCCCACTCCCTTCTACAGTAGTAATGATGATGTTACCTAGTTGGGCCATGAAATGTCTGCAAGAAAACCACCAAACTCAGAGAGCACACTTGAAACCTTGCAAATATTCTTTTCTATTGGAGCCATATTTCTGTTTTGGTTGAAATCATCTTAATGTCAGCACTCCAAACTACATTCGTTCCAGTGCTGACATAAGGAGGAGGAGAGGGGGCAGCTGGCAAGAGGACACTTGACTTTTCACCTACTTATTTTCCCTGAAGATAATATCCCCTAGGAGATGGGTTGGGAGGGAGGACATTCCTGGGAGCTGAAGTAGTAGTTATGGGGAGAGTGATTTGGAAGATGGCCAATGAGACACAGAGAATTGGGGAACGGAAAGGGAAGGTTTGGGGTCAGGAAGTCAGTGCTGGCTACGACGAGTCGGGGATAGATTGTCATGCTTAATAAATGAAAGATTTCATCAAAGACTATTTGTTTGGAAATGCAATTTATTTGAGATGACACCGAAACCTGACACTTAACCTACCATCACTTGCAACAAGCTTTCCCCAAGAGATTTTCTCTCTCTGTCCAAGCCCAGTTAGACCCCATCTTTCTGTCCTGATCGAGAGCCCCCCTGTGCTCCCCACAAAAGCCCCCTTCCCCTCCCCACCCATAGGCAGCAGCTCCACTCACACAGAAAGCGCCTTTTTTCCACCGATGGCCTTTGAGTGTGCGGTACAAGCGGCCGGCCGAGAAGCCCCCGAAGACCCTGTGCGTCACGCAGGGGAAAGAAGACAGCAGGGTTATCTCCTGTCCCTTTCCAGACACCCCTCCTCCCCTCCGTCCCAAAAGAAGAGGCGCCAGGCAGCAACTGCATACTCACCCCATGAACATGAAGAGGAAGCAGGCGGTGGTCATCAGAGCCCCTCGGCTGGAAGGAGACAGCATCCCCAGCATGGCCACAACTGGAACGCAAGAGGGAAGGGTCAGGACACAAAGGCTGCTGTCCTGGGGGTTGCATAAAGCCACTGGCAGGCCAGATGTCAGTTTTGGAAGACAGTTTTCTTTTTTTGCTTCTTAACTGCCACATATTTTAGCTGGGGAAGTTGGGAGGGGGCTGTTGTTGGAGCGGTAGAAAGTTAGTCATAACAACATTCTGCATTCAAGGACTTTTGCCTGCAACTGATGGAGACTGCCGGAAGATGGTATCCAGCTGAGTGTGAAGAGTTGATTGGACAATTGTGGGTGTGGGGCAGGGCGGTGAACTGTCAGCTGGGTGGGGGAAACTTGAAGCTTTCAGATTCGGGTTTTCCCAGATGTGCCAACATGACATCTCTAATAAATTGGATCTTTGAGGAACCTCAGGCCTCGGAGCTTTATTTCCTTGGAACCCTGGCACCAGAATCTGTTCCTATGGTTTTAATCCTACTAGCAAACCACCCGCAGTTCAAGCATGGCATGGAGAAGCTGGCATTTCAGGATATTTCTGAAAGTCTGTAGAGATTCTCCGTCCTCCAGGTATTGGTTGTCCCCAAAGGTGCTTTTTCCAAGAGGCAACTGGATTTTTTCTTTTGAAGACGTTTCACTTCTCATCCAAGAAGCTTCCTCAGCTCTGACTGGATGGTGGGGAAGGGAAAGCCCCCACAGCCATTTCCACCACTCAAGTGACCCTGAGAGCACAGATAAACCTCCCAAGTGGCCTCAACGACTCTCTAAAAGGGATGCAAATGACTAGCCGTCTACATAAATCAAGACATTTCGCTTCTCACCCAAGAAGCTTCTTCAGTTCTGCCTGAAATGGTAGAGGATGGAAAGATTTATATTCCTTGCAGACAACTGCTCATTTGCATCCTTTTAGAGAGTCGTTGAAGCCACTTGGACGCAAAGGATAGAACTGACCAGCTGTCTGCAAGGGGTATAAATCCTTCCCTTCCTCAGCATCCAGTCAGAGCTGAAGAAGCTTCTTGGATGAGAAGCGAAACATCTTCAAAAGAAAAAACAAGAAAGTCCAGTTGCCTCTCGGAAAAAACCAACAAACCCCTTTGGGACATATTTCTGGAAGGTTTGCCAGTCCCTGGAGCACGAAGCTGGCAGGCCACGTACCTGAGAAAGAACTGGGCCAGGAATCCAAGGGAAAGAGAGGGAAGCGGGCAAATCCCAAGGTGAAGGGCAGCACCAAAAGAGGTGCAGAAAAGGACAGGGATTTATACGGGAGCCCATTTGATGTAGCTAGTGGTGAAGGTGCTGGTTTAGAAACCAGGCAACGGGAATTCTAGTCCGGCCTTAGGCATGAAAGCCAGCTGGGTGACTTTGGGCCAATCCTCAAGAGAGAGGGTGAGTTCTAATCCCATTAAGGTGGAATGCTGCAGCCTGCTAAAGAGCCCAGGAGTCCGAGGGAAAGAGAAGTTGGCACAGCAGCCGAGGCATTGCGCAACGGATGGCAAAGGAGAAGGGCAGGGCCGAAAGAGGTGCAGAAAAGTTTAAGGGATTTATATGGGAGCCCGTCTGGTGTAGAGGCGAAGGTGCTGGCATAGAAACTAGGAGATGGGGAGTTCTAGTCCTGCCTCAGGCATAAAGTTCAGATGGTTGACTTTGAGCCAGTCACTCCCACCTCACAGGATTGTGGTTGTAGAGAAAACAGGAGGAGGAGGAGGGGGGGGGGGAATATTAGGTATGTTCCCAGCCTTGATTTACTTATAAAAGTAATAAAAGCAGAATAAAAATTTAATAAAGAAATAAATGCGTTTAAAGGTATTTGGAGCTACTGCCTGATTTTCAAGGCCTGCTAAGAGGACGACACATACCCCTGCCCGGGAGAGAACAGAACAGAATAGAAATAGAATAGAAGGGAATAGGAATAGGATAAGATAGAGTAGGGTAGAAATATAGAAGAGATTAGGAATATAGAAGAGAAACAGAACAGAATAGAACAGAGAGTAGAGTTGAGTTGAGTAGAATAGAATAGAATAGAATAAGAAATAATTGTAGAGAAGAGAATATACTGAATAGGACAGGGCAGGACAGAAAGAATAAACAGATTGTAGAATAGAATAGAATGCAGAATGGAATGGAATGGAATAGAATAGAGTAAGAATGGAATGGAATGGAATGGAATGGAATGGAATGGAATAGAATAGAATAGAATAGAATAGAATAGAATAGAATAGAATAGAATAGAACAGAGAATGCAATGCAATAGAATAGACTAGACTAGAATAGACTAGAATAAAAGAGAATGGAATGGAATGGAATGGAATGGAATAAAAGAATAGAGAATGGAATGGAATGGAATGGAATGGAATAAGAATAAGAATAAGAATAAGAATAGAATAGAATAGAATAGAATAGAATAGAATAGAATAGAATAGGATAGGATAGGAATAGGAATAGGAATGGCAGAGGAGGAAAAGGGAGATGGATATTTTAATGGGGAAGGAAATGGAGGGGAGGGGGAAGGAAGAAGAGAAGTAGAGGGGAGGGGAGGGGAGTGGAAACCGAAAGGAGGAAGAGGAGAAAAAAAGAGAAAGTAGGAAGATGGAAGGAGAAAAAGAAAGGAGAAGGAGGACGCATAGGCTCAGAGTGGGGCCTGGGAGCCTGGAGACTGGGCCAGAGGGCCACCGGAGGAAGTGGGTGGTGGGGGAGAGGAAGGCTTGAGCTGGGATTTAGAGAAAGGAGATGAAGGTGCATCATGCTTGTGTTCCTAGAAGCAGTGCCAGTGCATACTTTGGTTAAGGGAAAGCAGGCAGGGTGGCTGGAGGAGGAGGAGGAGGAGGAGGAGGAGGAGGAGGAGGAGGAGGAGGAGGAGTCAGGCAGGCCATTTTGTGCCACCGGGAGAGGCTGCGCATCCAGACCCTCCCTGCCCGGGTTTGGAGGTCCCCTCTTGGCTTTCCGTGTGGGGAAAATCCTGGCGCCCGCTGGGCCCTACTCACAAATAACGATCAGGATCATGCAAAAGAGCTGGATGCCGGAGCCCAGCAGGGAGCTGAGGATCATGGGATACTGCGGCGGCCGGAAGACATCCCCGTGCACCAGCTTCCACCCCGACTCCTCCATGGTGTCCTCCTGCAGGGGGCGAAGGGGGTCACATGGTGAGACAGCAGCCTACGACAAATCTCCCCCTTTTTACACACACACACACACAACACAACTCAACACACACTTCTGTGGCGGTCCACCTGCCTGCACCTGAAGCAACCCTTTCTTGCAAGGAACAGGGAGGTTTTGTTTAGAGACCCCCGAGCTGGATTAGAACCTTGGGTGGGGTGGGGGGGTTGGACTAGATGACCTACAAGGTCCCTTCCAACTTCTGTTAACCTGTAAAACCTAAGGCACGCAGTCCTCGACTTACAGCCACTCACATAGTGACCACGGAAAGTACAACAGGCACCACCGCCCCCCACCCTCGAAGTACAAGTAGTCCTCGACTTACAACATTTCCACTCAGTGACTGTTCAAAGTTACAAACGGCATTGAAGAAAAGGGACTGACAACTATTTTTCACACTGACGACCAGCACTTGGTGACTCGTATTTATGACTGTCACAGTGTCCCGGGGTGGGTGGGTGGGTCATGTGATCCCCTTTTGCAATCTTCTGACAAGTCAAGTCCATGGGGGGGGGGGAAGCCCGATTCACTTAACAACCGTGTGACGAATTTGACAACTGCAGTGATGTGAAAAGCCGTAAAATGGGGCAAAACTCACTGAAGAAATGTCTCACTTAGCAACATGAATTCTGGGCTCGATTGTGGTTGTAAACTGAGGACTTTAGGGCCCAACTTTAGTTCTGAAGTTTCCAACAACTGTCCGTGGGTTGCTTTTCAGGCGCATGGCAACCAGCCCCGCTTTCATGTCCATTTGCAGCGTCTCACTGTTATGTGACCGAGAGATTTATGATGTTTTCCCCAAAAACTGTTCATAGGTAGTCCTCAACATAGGATCGCAACAGACCCTAATGTTTCTGTCGCTAAGCGAGACGGAGGTAAAGTGACCTCTGCCCCATGTTACAACTTTTCTTGCCACAGTTCTAAAGCAAATCACTGTTCAGTTGTTAAGGGAATCATTTGGTCGTTAAGTGAATCCAGCTTCTCCTGTTGGCTTTTGCTTGTCTGTTGTGGCCCATCAGCTGCCTGTGCAGTTAGTAGCTGATTCGGACAGCGAGGAGGCTGGTGTGGTGCTGCTCCAGCAGCCTGTGCAGCTGGCACTCGAGTCGGACAGTGAGGAGGCTGGAGAAGATGTGGTGCCAGAGGCGGGGATTCAGCCAGGGCCTTCAGAACCTCCAGAAGCTTCCATGGGTGAAGAGGAAGAAGAGGAGGAGCCTCTTCTCGATGCACGGGCGCGCAGAGCTGCCAAAAGGCAGGAGTGGCTCCTCAGGAGGAGGTCTCCTCGAGAGTAAGGCTTGGGGCTAATTGGCCACTCCCCTAGCCTATTTAAGGAGGAACGCCAACTGAAGCAATTTGCAGGGAACAACTTCGTTCACTCTCCTTCGCGTCTTGATCTTAGTTCTCTGCAAATTGCTTCTGGGCTTTCTGCCAACCCTAGTAAGATTACGATTATTTATTCTTTGGATTCTTGTAGGCTGTTAAGAAAGTTAATTAAAAGCCTTTGTTTCAAAAAGACTGATTTAATTTAGTAAACTAAGGTTTGCACAGACTTTGTGTGTGCTGCGTTCTTTGGGGTCCGTAGCTGGGGCAGAACATTGTCGGAAGCTGGCTGGGAAAGTCACAAATGGGGATCGTATGATCCCCGGGATGCTGCAACTGTCACAGATATGAGTCAGTTGCTAAGTAGCCAGATTTGGATGACATGACTGCGGGCAATGGTCGCAAGTGCGAAAATCGGTCATAAATCAGGTTTTTTTTCAGTGCCTTTGTTCATTTCAAACAGTCACTAAATGAAATGTTGCAGACCGAGGACTGCCTGTACTTCCGGTTATTAGCAAAAAAACCCCCCGTGTGGCGAACCATGAGCTGCTTAACGACAGCAGTGTTCATTTAATGGCTGCCGCTAATAGGCTGTAAAAATGGATCAGTCATATAGGTGACCCCCTTTTATGACTGTCACGAGATATGACGATTACAGTCATAAGTTGAGGACTACCTGCACATTCATTCATTCCAAACTAACAGTCTCTCCGTCTCTGTTCCTTTCTTTCTCTTCTTTTTCTTTTCCTCTCGTTCTCTTTCTCACTGTTTTTATCTCCGTCTTCTCTCTCTTTCTCTCTCTCTCTTTCCTTCTCTTTCCTTCTTTCTCTTCCTCTCTCTCTCTTCTTTCTTTCTCTCTCTCTCTCTCTCCCCCTCCATCATGGTGCTGGTCATTAACCTAAAGAACTCGCTGCTACAAGACACAAGCTCTTTTCACCTTAGGTGGCTTTAAAACCAAAGCAGGGAAGCAGGAAAATCCTTCCGCCGCTGCCTCCAGGAGATGGTCTCGAATTCAAGAGACGCCAGTTTTCCGGGGCGGCCTCCCCCAGCACCCCCCCCCCTCAAAGCACTTTCAGAACCCCCGAGAAGGAGCCCAAAATCCCTGCTGGAGCACAAAGTTGAACGTACAATGTCGTCTTCCTTGTTGTAGTTGGCAATGTCTTTGCGGAGAGTCCGGATGATGATCATGCTGAGAATGCCTGCAAAAGAGAAACCGAGAGAAGAAGACGGTTTGATCCCCATCCGAGCTTCCATGGTTCAGCAGCAATGTGTGTGTGGGGGGTGGGGGGGGGGGGCAATTGTGCAGCTTAACAGTCGATCCCGAAGGCCCCTCTCCCACACAACTGTGTTAATTAATTAAATGTATATGCCATTTGGGGACTCTAGGCAGTTCTAGGCAGATGTTCCATCTTTTCTATCCTGCTCAGAGAGTTGGTCTCTGGCAGAAAACCACTCGAAGTAACTAGAAGCATTTGAAATGTAGATTTACAGACAGCTGTTACGTATAAGGAGGAGGTGATAAGCAGCCTGGGAACGCAAAGGGAAATAATCAAAGCCATTAAAAAGCGAAAGTTAGAATATTTTGGACATGCGATGCGACACCCAGAAAAATACGGCACACTTCACTTAATCCTCCAAGGAAAGATTGAAGGCAAACGAGGTCCAGGCAGAAGAAGAACATCATGGCTTCAAAATCTAAGGGACAAAGTTTGGACAAAACTCAGCAGCACTTTTACATACGGCTGTTAACAAAAATAGGATTGCCAACATGATCGCCAACGACTGATGACGGATATAGAAGAAGACGAAGAAAGAAGAAAGAAGAAAGAAGGAAGAAGAAGAAGAAGAAGAAGAAGAAGAAGAAGAAGAAGAGAAGAGGAAGAAGAAGAAGAAGAAGAAGAAGAGAAGAGGAAGAAGAAGAAGAAGAGGAAGAGGAAGAGGAAGAGGAAGAGGAAGAGGAAGAGGAAGAAGAAGAAGAAGAAGAAGAAGAAGAAGAAGAAGAAGAAGAAGAAGAAGAAGAAGAGCGGTTATTGGAGTTCTCTGAGCTTGGTGGTGTTCTTGCATACAACTACCCTCTTTCCCCAAATATAAGACCTCCCCTGATAATAAGCCCAATCGGGCTTTTGAAGTGTGTGTGCTAAAATAAGACATCCCCTGAAAATATTTAAACGCAGAGCTGGAAATCAGGTTAAGACGGCAAGAGGAGCCCCGTCTTGCTCCACGAGCTCCAAAATAATAACACCTCCCTGAAAATAAGGCCAAGCGCTTATTTCGGGGTTCAAAAAAACTATAAGACAGGGTCTTATTTTCAGGGAAACACAGTAGGTAAACATTAGGTTAGAAGGGACTGGGGTTTACGGAGGAGAGGAGGAGAACTGTGGGGTCCTTGATTCTCTCTGAGCTTGGTGGTTTTCTTGCAGACATTCCATAACCCAACTAGGTAGCATCATCAATGCTAGAAGGGAGTGGGGTTTGCAGGGAGGAGGAGGAGGAGGAGGAGGAGGAGGAAGAGGAGGAGGATTGTGGGGTCCTTGGTGCTGTCTGAGCTTGGTGGTTTCCTTGCAGATGTTTCATGACCCAACTAGGGAACACCATCTGTGCTAGAACGGAGTGGGGTTTGTGAGGAGGAGGAGGAGGAGGAGGAGGAGGAGGAGGAGGAGGAAAGCTGTAGGGTCCTTGGTGCACTCTGAGCTTGAAGCAACTCTCACAGACATTTCATGACCCAACTAGGGAACACCATCCGTGCGAGCAACAAGCTCACGAGACCACCAAGGACCCCGGAGTTGAACCCCGAGCTTCAAATCTCCTCTCAATGAACATTAAAATATTACACAATAAGCATGAAACTCGACAGAGACGGCTAACGAAGGAAGCAACGACGCACGTCGACAGGATGGAGGTAAGAATCCTCTCTCAATCCCTTAACCGCCTTCAGTAGGGAACGCCATCAATGAACTCATTGATTAATTAATTGGCACTCGTCTGCTCCGAGTGAAAGGAAAATGCTCTGCTAACCAAGAGATGCTTCCTACATCTCAGGGGCTGCTTCCTGGTTTTTTTTCAGCCGGGGGGGAGGATTTACTCCTATGTAAACCACTAGCTTCCTCACTGATGCTTGGGTCCTTTTTTTTTGGCTTAATGAAAGATCCCCAGGCTTTTTAATTCTCTTAGATTAGGAGTCTCCAACTCCTTTAACCACCAGTTCACCCGAACCGGCTGAATCCCACCACTGACGTTAGTCCATGGCAGGCATCTCCAAACTTGGCAACTTTAAAACAGGTGGATTTCAACTCCCAGCAATTCCCCAGCAAAGCTGGTTGGGGAAATCTGGGAGTTGAAGTCCACCTCCAAGTTTGGAGATGCCTGTCATGGACTATCGTCATTGGTGGGATTCAGCCGGTTCGGGTGAATTGGTTGTTAAATTGCTGGCTGGCCCCACCCCACCCCTTCCAGGAGTCCCCCTGCGCCCCGTTTTGGCTCCCAGGGCAGTGCAGGAGGCCAAGTGCTGCCTGTCACACCCCCTGGCCACGCCCACCCATCTGGTCATTTGGGCAGAGAACCTGTTGTTAAATTATTTGAATCCCACCACTGCATTGTGTCTTAGGTAGGTTGTTTTGGGCAGGTAAGGACCTGCTAAAGCCTATAAAGTGGGCCCTGCCCAGCCAAATAAATATATGCCAACGCAACACAAAGAAAGGTAAACGGATCCCAAATCCTGAAATCCCTCCCTCTCTCCCTCCGCCTTTAAATTCACTTTCACGCTGGTTTCTAATTCACTTTTGCCTTTTTGGGTTTTTACACTTTGTGTATGTGTTAATGTTTTATTGGCACGCTGTCTGGAGTCTCTCTGTGAGGGAGACAGGCGGTTTTCAGATTCAATCAATATATTGATCAATAAAAAAAAAGATATGGAAAAAATGAGGAAGGGAGCCGAACTGGCCCAGAACTGATAAGCTTCCCAAAAGTTAAACTGGAAGGTTCTTGGTCTGTTTTTAATTTCAAAAATCAGTTATTGTTCTTCCTCTGAATTGTTAATCAGTTAAGTTGTAAATTATATCAATTCTTTAAAAACACACATACACACCTTGTAAATTGGCCTGGCGAGTTTTAGAGGTTTAAATAAATTTGTTAACAAACAAACGGGAAGTGTCAACATAGAAAAATACGTTATTAAAAAAGCAAAGGTGATTCAGAAATTCTGCTGGCATCTTCCAGCCGCACTGCCTACGTGCAAGGAGTCTTATTACCCTCTTTATCCTCCCTTTATTGGTATTATTATGGTCTGTCACCCGGTCAGCCAGATGTTCGGACTGGATTTGGCATTTTTGTCTACCTATCGAGTCCTTCCTGGGGACCTGGGAGAGACAGATGTGGGACATTTGATGGGGTTAAAAGGTCTCGTCTCAGGATGTCAGCAGTTCCGAGTAAAACTGCCTTCTGCAATTGACTGATGGCGAATTTGTCAATGCTGCTAGTTGATGATTAATATTATTATTCTCTCTGTCGTTCTGCATGTTCACAATGTGCTTCTTTTGCCAGAGACAAATTCCCTGGGCCGAATAAAAGTACCGAGTTCCAATCAATCGAGTTCACCTGCCCCTGATTTCCTTCTCACCTGAAAGGAAGAAAACCACCACCACGGAGTTCACAATGGAAAACCAATGTATCTGCACGTCACTCATGGTGAGGTAAGTGTCCCAACGGGAGGCCCACTTGATGTCACTCTCCTGCAAAACAAAGAGGGAGGGGAAGGGAGAGATGGATGGGAAGGGGCTCTGCTAAAGGCTGGGCTAGCCGTCTTTCCCGATTCAGGGATGGCTGCTTTAACAAGGGCCCTCAAAGCTCCTTTCAGCATCCTTCCAGGTGGGTTCGTTTTATTTATTATTCACATTTCTGAATCAGAATCAGAATGGAAGGGACCTTGGAGGTCTTCTAATCCCAACCCCCTTCTCAAGCAGGAGACCCTAGAGACCATTTCAGACAAACGGCTGTTCAGTCTCTTCTTAAAACCTCCAGGGATGGCGCACCCACAATTTCTGGTGGCAAGCAGTTCCACTGGTTAATTGTCTTCACTGTTAGGAAGTTTCTCCTTAATTTCAGGTTGCTTCTCTCTTTGATGAGTTCCCATCCGTTGTTTCTTGTCCTGCCTTCAGGGGCTTTGGAGAATAGGTTGACCCCCCTCTTCTTGGTGGCAGCCCCTCAAATACTGGAAGGCTGCTATCATATCCCCCTTAGTCCTTCTCTTCTCTAGACTGGCCAAACCCAACTGTTGCAACTGTTCTTCGTATGTTTTAGTCTCCAGGCCTTTAATCCTCTTAGTTGCTCTTCTCTGCACTTTTTCCAAAGTCTCAACATCTTTTTTGTAATGTGGGGACCAAAACTGGATGCAATATTCCAGGTGTGACCTTAAAAAGGCTTTATAAAGCAGTACTAATACTTATACTGAATCACTCATCTCCCTCACAGAGGGACTCTGGGCAGTGTAAACAAAATATAGGTAATCTTGACTTTTTAACATTGAATTTTAATCACCCTTGCCTCATTTTAAACGTTATGTACTGTTTTTATGTTCTAGAATTCATCCAGAGTCACTCCGGCAAGGAGAGGGGCGGTTTTAAAATTTGATCAATAAACAAAGACAATAAGACAGAAGAAGAAGGTGAACGTTAAGTGGCAACGTGTTTCTCTTGGTTCCTTTGTTCTCAAACCAACAGTCATAGTAGTGGCTGATGGTGCTGAAATTCCTCCTTCGCCCCCAAGGAACTACAAGATGAGTCTTTGCGGGCATGGAAGGAATGAAATTGGGTTGTCAGTTCGTAAAATCCGTTAATCCAAAGGCTGGGAGTAGCCCGTTTCAGCTTAGTTATCCAGGACAACTGACCACATCTTCTCTGGTTGCTCCCAGGACAGGTCTCTGCCCCAACGCAGAGCTCTAACCACATCTCCCTTTGAACAATGGTGTTTTACCCAGGGCAAAACTAGAGTAGAATGTCTCATCTTGTGGGGGGCATTTTAAGAGACCAGCTTTGGAGAAAACATTTAAAGCAGACAACCCGTTTGCTGTAGTGGTTAAGGTGCTGGCTTGGAAATCAGGAGATTCTAATCCCACTTTAGGCATAAAAGCTGGCTGGGTGACTGTGGGCCAATCATCAGGAGACGGTGAGTTCTAGTTCTGCCTTAGGCACAAAAGCCTAAGTGGGTGACTTTGGACCAATCCCGAGAAGATTGAAAGTTCTGGTCCAACCTTAGGCATGAAAGCTGACTGGGTGACTTTCGGCCGATCACTAGGAGACGATGAATTCTAGTCCTGTTGTAGGCATGAAAGCCATCTGAGTGATTCTGGGCCAATCACCAGGAGATGGTGAGTTCCAGTCCTACATTAGGCATGAAAGTTGGCTGGGTGACTTTTTGGGCCAATCACACTCTCTCTCAGCCCAACCCACCTAACGGGGTGTTGTCGTGAGGAAAATAGGAGGAAGGAGGAGTATCAGCTACGTTTGCTGCCTGGAGTTAATTCTAGAGTAATAAAGGCAGGATGAAAATCTCTTCGCAACTCCAGTACTTACCTCCCAGTGCACAGAATAGGTGAAAAAAAGCTCATTGGGCTTATTGGGGTCAATTTCTTGAGCGGAGGCGCTGGCAGCTTCGGGCAGGACACAAACGCCCTTCTCGTCCGCCTTCATATCTGTGGGCCAGAGAAGGTGGTCAGGACCGCTAATCAATCTTTCTTTCTTTCTTTCTTTCTTTCTTTCTTTCTTTCTTTCTTTCTTTCTTTCTTTCTTTCTTTCTTTCTTTCTTTCTTTCTTTCTTTCTTATCAGATTTATATACCGCCCTTCTCCTGGAGGACTCAGGGCGGTGCACAGCCAAAGTAAAAACATAAATACAAACATTAAAATACAGTTAAAAAGATATATATATATATATATATAATTTAATTAATTAATTAATTAATTAATTTTATTTCTATACCGCCCTTCTCCCGAAGGACTCGGGGCGGTGTACAGCCTATTAAAAGCACAAAGACAAACAACAATTAAAATTATTTAAAATTATTAAATAATTTCGGCTCAATATTAAAACCCCCCAAAATTTAAAACATCCAATTTAAAATCATTACATTGATAGCACGGCCTGGTGGAACAGCAGGGTCTTAAGGGCACAGCAAAATAACCTGAGGTCGGATGGTGCGTCAGAGCATCCAAAATTTGGCAAATGCCTGACTTGATTCTGCTAGTTCAGGAATGTTAAACTCAAGGCCTGCGGGCCAGATCTGGCACACGGGGTGCTTAAAACTCAGACCCAAGTGAGTGGCGCAGCAGACTAATGCTACTATTAAAGGTAGTATTTAGCTTCCAGCTGCCTGCAATTACTGCGAGTTCCATTCTCACCAGGCCCAAGGTTGACTCAGCCTTCCATCCTTTCTAAGGTAGGTAAAATGAGGACCCAGTTTGTGGGGGCAATAAACTGACTTTGTATAAATCTACAAAAGTATGAAGGCTGTTGCTTAACGCCTTGTAAGCCGCCCTGAGTCTCCGGAGAAGTGCGGCATATAAATAAAAATTAAAATAAATAAATAAATTTAAAAAAAAATAGCCGCAGCCTTCTTACCTGCCAGTGCAATGCTCTGCGGGATGACCTCGAAGCGAACGACCCGGTAGGTGGGTTCCTGGTTCTCCTCCACCTCCTCTCGGTGGTAGTACAGGATGAAGGAAAGGTGGTTGTGCAGGAAGAACTGGAGCAGACGACACAGAGATACGTATGAGAGAAGCCGGAACAGGGGAAGTGGAATGGGAGAACTCACGGCGGGACGATTTAACAATTCAATGTAATTATTTAAAATAAATAATGTAAGAAGAGACCAACTTGGTTTGCTATTTGTTCTCAAGACTTATTTTATTCGACACACACTGGTCATTCTGTTTTGTTTGAAGACTTTCTGCATTTTATAATATTGGGAATATTGGATTTATTTTGGATGACGGACCCCATTGTCCCCTTATGGCAGTTAAGAATCCTGAAAAACAACCCAAATTCTCTGCCTGTGTGATACTCACAGCTGGTCCACAAAACGATTCCGAATGTTCCCTCTCCCGTCGGCACGTCCCGTATGAACGGATCCAGCTTTCCCACCATGATTTATGTAATTTCCTACTTTGGGACTTCATCCCAAGATGCCAAGCCAAAAATGTGTCGGAATGGGGCAAATTAGTGCGGCCAACTCGCCGAGGCCAACTCAGCACAGCTAATTGGTGGGATAACTTGTTTTAATTTCTGTCGTTCCCATTTCATTCTCCTTTTGCATCCTCCCTTTAATGAATCTATTCCACCAGTTCTTTGATACCCATGTTTCCCTGAAAATAAAACCGGGTCTTATTTTGTTTTGGGTCCCAAAATAAACACTAGGGCTTATTTTTTTTGGGGGGGGGGCTTATTTTTTTCCCCACCGAAAGTTGGCAAACGGGCCGTTTCTAGCCTCTGGAGGGCCTCCGGGAGGGGGGGATGGGGAAGGCCATTTTCGCCCTCCCCAGACTCCTAGAAAGGCTCTGGAGGCTGGGGAGAGAGAAAAACGGGCCTTCCCCACCTTCCCCCGAGGTCCTCCGGAGGCAGGAAACAGCCTGTTTCCCTACTTCTGGTGGGCCCAGAAGGCCCAAAAAACAGCTGGCCAGCGTGCGCAGGTGCGCCAGAGCTGAGTTTCCGTGTCCACTGATATGGTTATGTGTGCCATAGGTTCACCATCACGAGTATAGGGTTTCCTGCCTAAGCAGGGGGTTGGACTAGAAGACCTCGAAGGCCTCTTTCAACTCTGTTATTCTATTCTATTCATCTTTGTTTCCACCCTGCTGAACGCAAGTATTTCCTCATTCCGCCACGTACCCCAAGGGAGAATTACCTATCCTTCCATCTCCTTGCACTGATCTCTGGCATGCAGTAAAGATAACACTAATCCATTGTGCGACCGGAGGAGACACACCCTTCTGGAGCACAATTCATGAGGCTGCTATAAACTCCTTGGAGTTATTTTTTAACTTTGGTTTGAGCAAGACTCAGATTCCTTTTTTAAAATATCTTAAAAGCAAATACAGGTAGTCTTCGACTTACAATTGCTCATTTAGGGACCATTCGAAGTTACAATGGCGCTGAAAAAAGTGACTCAAGGCCCTTTTTCACACTTACGACCGCTGACAGCATCCCCATGGTCACGTGATTTACATTCGGACGCTTGACAACTGATTCACATTTATGACGGTTGCCATGTCCCGGGGATCACGTGATCAACTTTTGTGACAAAGTCATTGGGGAAACCAGATTCACTTAACAACCGTGTGACTAATTTAACAATTGAAGTGATTCGCTTAACAAACGCGGCAAGGAAAGTTGCAAAAAGGGGCAAAACTCAGTTAACAAATTTCTCACTTAGCCATGTAAATTCTGGGCTCAATTGTGGTCGTAAGCCAGCTTGGTTGGCTGGGGAATTCTGGGAGTTGAAGTCCACCCATCTTCCACGCTGGCAAACATTGAGCTAAAAACTGGGCTCCTTCTGAGCAACCCACCAGTTACAGGGAGTCCTCGACTTACAACAATTCATTTAGTGACCGTTCAAGGCTGCAACGGAACTGGGAAAAAAAGTGATTTACGACTGGTTCTCGTACTTATGACTTGCACTACAGCCCCTATGGTCGCGCACTTGGTCACTGGCAGGTACTTAATACGGTTGCAGGATTTTGAGATCATGTAATCCCTTTTTGCAACCTTCCTAGCCGGCTTCCAAACAAGCAAACTCAACGGGGGGAAGCCAGATTCACTTAACAACATGATTCTCTTAACGACTGCAGTGATTCGCTTAACAACCATGGCAAAACAGGCGTAAAAACAGGCACAATTCACTCAATAACCTCCTTGCTGAGAACAGAAATTCTGGTCCTGGAATTTGGGACCAAAATTTGTGGTCGTAAGCCGAGGACGACCGCGAATCAAGGGATAGAGCGAAAGGCCCCATCAGGCGTCCGTGAATGCCTCCCACCCCTCACAATGATCCCTGTTACTCCTACCCTGTTCTTCTCCATGAATCCAAGTCGGTAGCCATGTTCGAACTGAAGGTCCCGCTCCTTGTTCTTCTCCTCCTCTTCACGGTTGGAGTAGAATTCCAGCCTCGTGGCCACCGGCAAGTTGTCGGCAATGCTGCAGGGACAAATCCTGGGGGGGTCAGACCCACCGCCTTCCCTTCTCTCCCAAGGACCTCCCCCGGCCTCACGGAAGGCAAGGCAGGCAGACCCCTGCTCCTTCGGAGGTCAAGAGGACTCACAGGTGAACGTAGTATTCCTCCTGGATCCGTTCCACCACCAGTTGGCTTTTCTCCTTCGTCAACACAACGGGCTTGTTCGGGGCATCGCACAACACCTCGCACTTCTTTTCTACGTTCATGGAAACTTGGAAAGGCGTGTTGACAATGCGGTCCCCTCTCAGGACCTCACCTGTGAGCAGGGCAGGGTTGAGGGGAGGAAGAAGAAAACTATTCAGGGATGTAAGGCTTATTACGGCAGGGGTGAAATCTAAAATTTGTTACTACCGGTTCTGGGGGGCGTGGCTTGGTGGGGGGGTAATGTGACTGGGTGGGCGTGGCCAATTTTATTTTATTTTTTACTTTTAAAACCATCTTTTCTACAGCCGCCTCGGCGAAGAGGTTGTAAAAAAATGTTTTAAAAAGGCTCTGACGATCCCAGCTGAGTTGCCTGATTGGCAGAGGCTTTTTTTCTTTTAAATGCCACTGATGATCAGGCAACTCAGCTTGGATCGTCAGAGGCTTTTAAAAGCATTTTTTCTACAACCTCTGAAGAGGTTGTAGAAAAAATGCTTTTAAAAGCCTCTGACGATCCCAGCTGAGCCGAACGATCATCAGAGGCTTTTTTTTTTTTAACTTTTAAAAGCAATTTTTCGGCCAAAGAGGTTGTAGAAAAAATGCTTTTAAAAGTAAAAAAAAAAAAGCCTCTGATGATTGTGGGGCTCAGCTGGGCATGGAGGGGGGAGCAGGGATTTTTGCTACCGGTTCTCCGAACCACCCACCTCCATCGCTATCGGATCAGGCAATCCGGTCCAAACCGGGAGCATTTCACCCCTGGATTATGGGCAAAATAAAGAGTTATCAACGCAAATATATTTAGCGTATTTATAAGCGCATAAATAAATTTGAAATAAATCTATACATTCTATCATTTTTTTTAATAACCCTGTACAGGTAGTCCTCGACGTACGACCACAATGGAGCCCAAAATTTCTGTTCTGAAGTGAGACGTTTGTTAAGTGAGTTCTGCCCCGTTTTACGACTTTCCTTGCCACTGTTGTTAAGCGAATCGCTGCAGTTGTTAAGTTAGTAACCCGGTTGTTAAGTGAATCTGGCTTCTCCATGGACTTTGCTTATCAGAAGGTCGCAAAAGGAGATCATGTGACTTTGGGACACAGCAACGGTCATAAATATGAACCAGTTTCATCCGAATTTTGATCACATGATGCTACAAAATTTGTAACTGTGAAAAACGGTCCAAAGTCACATTTTTAAGGTGCCATTGTAACTTTGAATAGTCATTAAACGAACTGTTGGAAGTCGAGGACTACCTGTAATCCCTTTTTTATGGGATTGGAGTCAAGGGTGACTGAATGGAGCTGAGCGTTTACTGGCCAGATGCCCTTCCTGATGCCTACACAAAGTTCACAGCAGATATTTTCGCTTTGCGCCCTGATAGGGAAACATCTGCCGCTGGTTAGGATTGAACTCTCAGCCTTCTAAGTGGGAGGTGAACGTCTTCACCTCTAGGCCACCGTGCCGTTCAGCTATAAATGCAAATATATTTAACGTATCAATATATAAATACATTTTGTAAGTGTTGTGGCCCGTACGTGGCCTGTGCAGCTGGTGGCTGACTCAGACAGCAAGGAGGCTGGTGTGGTTGGCGCTCGAGTCGGACAGTGAGGAGGCTGGAGAAGATGTGGTGCCAGAGGCGGGGATTCAGCCAGGGCCTTCAGAACTTCCAGAAGCTCCCTTAAGTGAAGAAGACGAAGAGGAGGACCCTCTTCTCAATACACGGGCGCGCAGAGCTGCCCAAAGGCAGGAGTGGCTCCTCAGGAGGAGGTCTCCTCGAGAGTGAGGCTTGGGGCTAATTGGCCACCCCTTTAGCCTATTTAAGGAGGAACGCCGACTGAAGCAATTTATAGGGAACAACTTCGTTCACTCTCCTTCGCGTCTTGATCTTAGTTCTCTTATCAGTTTCCTGCAAATTGCTTCTGGGCTTTCTGCCAACCTTAGTAAGATTACGATTATTTATTTTTTGGATTCTTGTAGGCTGTTAAGAAAGTTAATTAACAGCCTTTGTTTGATAAAGACTAAGTTATTTGAGTAAAATAAACTTTGTATAGAGTTTGTGTGTGCTGCGTTCTTTGGAGTCCGCAGCTGGAGCAGAACAGTAAGTAAGTAAATAAATAAAAATGCATTTATATACAACCTCCGGGTATTTCGCTGTGCACTCAAGACCCTGTTGTTCCGCCAGGCCGGGCTATCAACATAATAATTTTAAATTGGGTGTTTTAAATTTCTGGGGTTTTAAATTGAGCCGAATTATTTAATAATTTTAAATTATTTTAATTGATGTTTGTTTTATGCTTTTAATAGGCTGTACACCGCCCTGAGTCCTTCGGGAGAAGGGCGGTATAGAAATAAAATTATTTATTTATTTATTTATATCTGTTTAAAGCCAAACCAATATTTCTGGGCCCTGATTGGTGCAGAGAAAAGACAGAAATTTTACCTGGGCAGGAGATTCCTGTGGCAGGCTAGGCTGACTCCCTCCCACAGGATCTCTAAACCCCCATAAGAGCTGAAATTCCTCAAAACACAGCATTTTGCTCCTTGCTCAAAAATGTTTACAGGTGGTCCTTGACTTACAACAGTTCATTTAGTGACCGTTCAAAGGTACCACAGCCCTGAAAAAGAGTGACTGTTTTTCACACTTGCAACCACTGTAGTATCCCCATAGTCACATGATAAAAATTCAGACGCTTGGCAACTGGCTCGTATTTAGGACGGTGGCAGTGTTCCCGGGATCACATGATCTGTTTTTTTGCGACCATCTGACAAGCAAAATCAATGGGGGGAGGGGGGGGGAGCCAGACTTGCTTAACAACCGTGTGACTAACTTAATAAATGCGATGATTCATATAACAACTCCGGCAGGAAAAGTTGTAAAATGGGGCAAAACTCGCTTAACGAATGTTTCACTTAGCAACATACATTTCGGGCTCAATTGTGGTCGTCACTTGGGGAGTACACCTGTATTTGATGGGACTGTCTGGTTTGAAATAGTGACACCTGACCCGGACAAATTCTATCCACGGGCAATATTTTCTTGCAACTTTGGAAACCCTTAAAGCATCTGACCTTTAAATGATTTTGCAAGACCACCCCCCCACCCACCCCCATGAAACCGTAAGTAGCCTCTAGAGAGCCCTGGAGAGCACAGTGCTTAATGTGCACAATTGCAGGCTAACACACTGCCCGCTGCCAGCAGTTCGATCCTGACCTGCTCAATGTCGACTCAGCCTTCCCTCGTTCTGAGGTCGCTAAAACGAGGACCCAGATTGTTGGGGGGCAAGAGGCTGACTCTGTAAACCGCTTAGAGAGGGCTGTAAAAACACTGTGAAGTGGCATATAAGCCTAAGGGCTGCTGTATTGCTAAGAGGTGCTGGAGGTCAGACTCACGGAGGTGTCAATCTTCAGGACTGCCAAACCAGAGGTGCCAGGACATGTACAATAGGGAAGGTCGAATGTTATGCTAGGGGAAGGAGGACAGGGACGTTACCTAAATTTTCAGCTTTATATTTGATGGTGTCCGGCCGGCAGAAGGGCAAGGAGTAATACTCGTAAGGTAACTGCGTCCGCGAACTGGTGAGTTTCACAGCCTGGAAAAAGAGCGAGAGAAAGAGACACCGTCTGTCCCAAATCCCTGCATCTGAGTAGATCCCAGTGGATTCATGACAACGGATACATCATGCCCTGATCTTCCTCCTTTTGCCCTCAAAATAAAGTCTGCTGTTTATAGACAAAAGTTTACAGACAATTGGCTGGCAATGCTATTATTGTCTATCTCATATATTCACTCATAAGCACAATCTAAGAGGCTGCTAATCACCCCAAATTCCGGGCATTTGTGGTTGTAGAGAAGACAAACTTCCTGCGGTATTTGGTCTCATATATTCAAAAATGCTCAAACGCTGAAAGGGTTTATAGTGGGTACGAGGAAACACATTCTGAGAACAGAACTACTCACATCGTAAAAAGATCCAGCATCCATAACAAGAAAAAAATCAACTTGATTGACAGGTTATATAATCTAGCACAGGGGTGTCAAACTCAAGCCTGCAGGCTGGATCTGGCCCACAGGCCCACAATGCCTCTGCCAACGAAAGGAAGGAAGGAAGGAAGGAAGGAAGGAAGGAAGGAAGGAAGGAAGGAAGGAAGGAAGGAAGGAAGGAAGGTGTCAGGCCTGGAAGTCATCTTTTGCATTGGGCCTTCAGGCCTGCCACATTTACTACTGTGGGAAATTGGGAGGGGGGATTGTATGGAGAAAGGGTGACATGTAGTCATAACAACATTCCTTTCTCTGAGAGTCAAGGACATCTTGCCCTGCACCTGGACGGCTGGAACTGGGAGGCATCTCCAGTTGGGATGGTGCTTTGATTGGACCATATGATGGATTTGTGGGTGTTGGGCAGGGACTTGGACTTTCCTTTGGGTGGGGAAAACCTGGAAGCTTTCAGATTCGGGTTTTCTCAGATGTGCCAATAAGACATCTCTAATAAAATGGAACTTTGAGGAACTTCAAGCCTCGGACTCTTTTTTCGTTGGGGGTGTTGCTTGGATCCCTGACAGAAGGAAGGAAAGAAAGGAGATGGGAGGAGGGAGAGTGGGAAAGAAGGAAAGAGATAGGAGGAGGGAAGGAAGGAGATGGGAGGGAAGGAAGGAGATGGGAGGAGGGAGGGAAGGAAGAAAGGGAGGGAGAGAAGGAGGGAGGGAGGGAGGGAAAGGTGGGAGGAGGGAGGGAGATGGGAGAAGGGAGGGTGGGAAGGAAGGAAAGAGATAGGAGGAGGGAAGGAAGGAGATGGGAGAAGGCAGGGAATGAAGGAAGAAAGGGAGGGAAGGAGGGAGGGAGGGAGGGAAAGGTGGGAGGAGGGAGGGAGGGAGATGGGAGGAGGGAGGGTGGGAAGGAAGGAAAGAGATAGGAGGATGGAAGGAAGGAGAAGGGAGGGAAGGAGGGAAGGAAGGAGATGGGAGGAGGGAGGGAAGGAAGAAAGGGAGGGAAGGAGGGAGGGAGGGAAGGAAGAAAGGAAAGAGGAATGGAGGGAAGGAAGGAGATGGGAGGGAGGGAGGGAGGGAAGGGAGGGAGGGAAGGAAGATTATAACTGGGGGAGGATCTGAGGGAAGTCCTGCCTTAGCATTTGGCCACCACAAGTGCCCCCCGACACGAGTGATGTCAAGCTGGAAACTTGTCCTGGCCATGCCCCCCCCCAAGGTCAAACACAACCTTGAAATAGGTCGGCACCCCTGGTGTAGCCTATCTGAAGGGTGCCAGATTGAAGAAAACTCACTGAAAACCCTTCACATATTTTACCACGCTATCCCTGTAAGGTAACTTACAGACCAGAAGTCCTCCAAAGTCCCTTCCAACTCTGTGATTCTGTATCTCTTACAATGATCCGGGATTCTTTTCATTCTAGATTCCTTTTCCCAACCAGCCCTTACAACCACAGTGAGTCAGGACAGAAATAGTTTCACATGAAAACCTATCAATTGGGGGGGGGGGCTCAGCAAAGGTAAAACTCAGCAGGTGAAAAGTGTCATCAGGTGAAGAAATCTTTTCCCACTGCAATTAAAAGGATGTAACGAGGCTTAACAGGTGAGGCTGCTTGTCATGAGTCAGAAATCCAGACAACGCGATCGATGGCACTTTGGGTTGTATCAACAGAGGCAAAGAATCAAAATCAACGTGAAGTATTAAAACCGCTTTGTAAAGCCTTAGTAAGGCCACACCTGGAATACAGTATGCAGTTTTGGTCATCACATTACAAAACAAGGTGTTGAGACTCTAGAGCAGTGTTTCTCAACCTTGGAAGCTTGAAGATGGGTGGGCTTCAACTCCCAGAATCCCCCAGCCAGCAGCGCTGGCTGGGGGATTCTGGGAGTTGAAGTCCACCCATCTTCAAGCTACCAAGGTTGAGAAACACTGCTCTAGAAAGAGTGCAGAGAAGAGCAACGAAGATTATTAGGGGACTGGAGGCTAAAACATATGAAGAACAGTTGCAGGAACTGGGTATGTCTAGTTTGATGAAAAGAAGGATTAGGGGAGACATGATAGAAAGTCTTCCAATATCTCAGGGGCTGCCCCAAAGAAGAGGGAGTCAAGCTATTCTCCAAAGCACCTGAATGCAGGACAAGAAGCAACGGGTGGAAACTAATCAAGGAGAGAAGCAACTTAGAACTAAGGAGAAATTTCCTGACAGTGAGAACAGCCCATCCCTGGGAGGACTTACGTGGATCTATCAGGAAAGATACTCCCAGTATTTTCCAGTATCTACCCACAAGCTAGTACCATATTTTCCAGCGTATAAGATGACCCCCGACTTTTCCTGTTAAAATATAGGGTTTGGGCTATACTCGCCGAATAAGACTACCCCTCTTCCAACGCACACCAAAGAAAAATTTAAACATCAACTGGCTCACCCACAATGTAAAAGCAGCTGTGCTAGTCCCAAAATGGCCCCTGCAAGAAGCAGGAACCTCACACAGCCACAAAAAGCCCAAAACCCCAACTTTCACACTTTACACACACAAAATTCCACATACAGCTTTGTGAGATTTTGTGTGTTTGGGTAGTTAGAATGAAACACTACAGAAACACACTAAATCTCAGAAAGCTGCACAAATATTATTTTATTTTTATTTTTATATGAAAGCTAACTTTAAAACTTCCTAAACTTTAAATGGCTAGGTCTAAAAAAGAACAACTAAAAAAAAACCCCAATTAACTATTTTTTTTAAAGATCCCAAAGGGGAAAAAAACTTACCCAATAGAACAGGGGTCTCCAACCTTAGCAACTTTAAGACTTGTAGATTTCAACTCCCAGAATTCCTCAGCCAGCTTTGTTTTGCTGGCTGAGGAATTCTGGGAGTTGAAGTCCACAACTCCCTGCCTGCTTGATTGCAGGCAGGGAGTGGCTTGCTGACGGAATGGATTCAGGCAAGCGAAGCAAGGCAAGCGTTGCGACTAGCAGCTAAGGTAAGCAAGCTGGACGGGGAAAACTTTTTTCCTTCTACATGGCTCTGGCGATTCCAGCTGAGTTGCCTGATTAGCAGATCGTCAGAGCTTGGATTGTCAGAGCCTTTCAGGCTGGTCTGCCTGGTTACAGGAGAACGACACCCGGCGTATAAGATGACCCCTGACTTTTGAGAAGATTTTCATGTGTTAAAAAGTCATTTTATATGCCGGAAAATATGGTATCTAGTACGGGTATTTTAAGAACTGCAGTCCTCTGCAGGGAGGAACTTTTAATTTTTTCTTTCTTTCTTGGGGTGATGACAAACTAGCATAATCAGACCTGGCCTGGATTCTAAACTGGGTCAAATTCTGGAGGGCATGAAACTCAGGGCCATCTTACCTTGATTTCTACAGGAGCATTCCGGTGAAAATTGATGGGAGCCACTCCTGGCACGTAGAAGCAACTCACCCCATGCCACAAGAGGAAGAATGGGCACGTAAGCCTCTGCCAAGACAAAAATGAGAGGCCTGTCACCAAGGTGATCTCTGTTCAGAATAGGACAGACTCAAGAACGATCGCCCAGTTTATTTATTTATTCGACGCACGGCATAAAGCGCATGGGTAACATTAATAAAATTATACAGAAGGCACACATAATACTATGGTACATGTATGATGAGAGTATGTACCCAATTTTGTAAGGTATGGGGAGCCTGGGTAGCTCTGCAGACAAGACACTGTAATTTAACACCAGCTATTAACACCTGCAATTAAAAGTAAGATCGAATCTCGCCAGCCTCAAGGTTGACTCAGCCTTCCATCCTTTCTAAGGTAGGTAAATTGAGGACCCAGTTTGTGGGGGCAATAAGCTGACTTTGTATAAATATACAAAAGGATGAAGGCTATTGCTTAACGCATTGTAAGCCGCCCTGAGTCTCCGGAGAAGGGCGGCATATAAATTAAATAAATAAATAAAAAAAAAAACCTCATCTATCAGTTACAGGTTACATTTTAAAATACGTTGATTCATGAAAACACAACAAGATCTAATAAAGGAGAATCTTTGTAGCTCAGGGTTGACATGAGGGGTCCTTGGTGATCTCTAAGCTTGTTTTCTTGAAGTTGTTTCATTACCCAAATTAAGGAACATCCTCAGTGATAGAAGGAAGTGAGGCTGCAGGAAGAGGAGAAGAAGGGACTGTGGAGTCCTTGGTGCTCTTTGAGTTTGGTGGTTTTCTTGCAGGCGTTTCATTACCCAACTAGGGAACATCATCGGTGATAGGAGGGAGGAGGGTTTGCAGAGAGGAGAAGATCTGTTAGCTTGGGGAACTGGAGGTGGGGGGTGTCTTGTGATGCTGGAGGGGAGAATATATTCTGTGTAGGCCCAGAGTCGAAACATGGGCAGAGCAATGTTGCAGAGATAGATTTCTAAAGTGTTTGTCCACTTCAGAGTAGGGGTTTATCTTCCTGTTCTCTTATTTCAAATGTCAATTTACTCAATGACTCTCTAAAAGGCTGCAAATGGCCAGCTGTCTGCAAGGGGTATAAATCCTTCCCTTCCCCACCATCCAGTCAGAGCTGAAGAAGCTTCTTGGATGAAAAGCAAAACGTCTTCAAAGAAAAACAAAGAAAGTCCAGTTGCCTCTTGGAAAAAGCATCTTTGGGACAGTCATGACCTGGGTGACGGAGATTCTCTACAGACTACATGGCTGGACCTGATGCCACTCGGGAGCAGAGGGCACATGGGAAATAAAAGTTTCAGAGGGTGCCCCGTGCAGAGTGGCAGGCCGCGACAGATGACATGGCAAGGCGACAAGGGCATGAGTCACACTTCCTGATCCGGGAAGGACTGCAACGGGGCAAACCAGTTGTGGTAGATAATGACACCCTTCCCTTCCTGACACTCCCTGGCAGGAGACCAGGCAGATTCCCCTAAATCGCGGATTTGCATCGTGGCCAGAAACAATCTCTGAAAAACAACATTTATGTCTTGCAAGGATTTACTTGGGAGCTGGCTGAGGGATGCCGTAAGGCACCGGGTCACGATTTTGATAGCATCCCCGGCTCGACCTGGGGTGTCAAGTCAGGACAGGTAGTCCACGACTTACAACAGTTCACTTAGTGACCATTTGAAGTTGCAATGTCACTGAGATGGCTCACGCAGCATCACCATGGTTAACGTGATCAAAATTCGGACGCTTGGCAAGTGGTTCATACTTACGACGGATGCAGCGTCCCGGGATGACGCGATCCGCTTTTGCGACCTTCTGACCAGCAAAGTCGATGAGGAAACCAATTTCACTTAACAACTGTGTGACTCATTTAACACACACCCAATGATTCGCTTAACAAGTGTGCCAAGAGAAGTCCTAAAATGGGACGAACTCCACTTAACAAATGTCTCACTTAGCAATATAAATTTTGGGCTCAATTGTGGTCGTAACACGAGGACTACCTGCATCATTGGGCTACTGTTGATACCTCAACCTGATAGTAAAGCACCTCAGGGAGCTATTACTGTCTTTGATTGCTCTTCCCACTCATTCAAACTGGAACCGCCTACTTCAGAGTAACCAGTGCAGAACCCAAGAAGAACGCAGGTAGTCCTCAAATTATGACCACAATTGAGCCCAAAATTTCCATTGCTAAGCAAGACAGTCTTTAAGTGGAGATTTGCCCCATTTTACGACCTTCCTTGCCAGCTGATAAGTGAAACACTGCCGTTGTTAAATTAGTAACACGATTAAGTGAATCCCTGCACTTAAGTGAGTAACATGGCTGTTAAGTGAGTAACATGGCTTCCCCATCGACTTGGCTTGTCAGAAGGTCGCAAAAGGGGATCACGTGACCCCGGGAAACTGCGACCGTCATAAATACGAGCCAGCTGCCAAGTGTCGGAATTTTGACCATGTGACCAGGGGGGTGATGCAACGGTCATAAGTGTGAAAAATTGGTCGTCACTTTTTTTCAGTGCTGGGGTAACTTTGAATGGCCATTAAACGAACAGTTATAAGTCAAGGACTACCTGTAGTTTTTCCTTCCATCTATGAAGAACCAATTCAAAGGTTGAGCTGAGCAATTTAATATAGAAATTGATATATGTTTGCTTTCAGCTTTTTTTGTGATTCTCCAGACCAGAACTCTTCATAAAATAAATTTGGGTGATTTGATTTTACAAAACTTCCACATTTTTAATATGTACTTCTTCATTCCTGTTCCTGTAAAAATTTTTATTCCAAGTGGGAAGCTCCAGACTGCATGGAGCAATCTGTGGTAGGATGCAGCTTTCCCATGCCACCAAAATGTTCAAAGATCAATTTTTTTAAAACCACGTTTTCTATCCTGTCTCCACCACATCCTCTGTGACTTGGAGAAGAGGAAAAATGAGGAGATTTCTTCCCTTAGCAACCCCTAAAAGACGGCCCATCCCAGTTATAAGATAACATGACTCTATTCAAACTGAATTTGGATATTTTAAGTAGTTGCAACTTGCAGTGGGTGAGGGTTATGACACACCTTTCATATAAAAGCCACTGCTGTTTAATCTTGCTGAAAGGCCAATTATTTTAACAGGACTCTGCGAAAAGTTCCTCACACATTCTATCCACTACAGACGTAAAAGTCAGAAAAGAACATCTTAATATATTCACAATAAATTTGTACAAAATAAGGGATGGGGGAACCAATGTAATAATCAGCCACTTTTGGATAAGTGCAATTTATAAGGATAAAGTCTAGGGAATCCCAATCATTCATCTTTATAAATGATCGTTTATGAAGAACGGTTGCAGGAACTGGGTATGTCTAGTTTGATGAAAAGAAGGACCGGGGTGACATGATAGCAATCTTCCAATATCTCAGGGGCTGCCCCAAAGAAGAGGGAGTCAAGCTATTCTCCAAAACACCTGAAGGCAGAACAAGAAGCAACGGGTGGAAACTCATCAAGGAGAGAAGCAACCTAGAACTAAGGAGAAATTTCCTGGCAGTGAGAACAATTAATCAATGGAATGACTTGCCACCAGAAGTTGTAAATGCTCCAACACTGGAAGTTTTTAAGAAGAGATTAGATAACCATTTGTCTGAACTGGTGTAGGGTTTCCTGCCTAAGCAGGGGGTTGGACTAGAAGACCTCCAAGGTCCCTTCCAACTCTGTTATTCTATCTATTCTATCTCCCTTAAAAGCTCTAAAAGGTATGACAATTTAAAAGATAATAAAAGATTAAAATGAACTTTCAAACAGGTAATGTAAATAATGTACCAGAAGCAATCCAATATATATGCTGATAGGTAACCATAATATCACCATCACAGATAACTGGAAACATACATCAAAAATAACCTATTTTAACAAGGTTAAATCTTTAATAAGGAAAGCATTGTTTGCTGTTCCCATGTGAAGTTTCAGAAGGCTTCAGTCTCTGGAGAAGTCCATAATGTTGGGAAAGGTGGAAGGAAAGAGAAGAAGAGGATGACCAGCAGCGAGATGGAGGGACTCCATTACAATGGCCCTGTTGGAAGACCTAAAGCAGGGATCTCCAACCTTTGTTGTTGTTTTTTTTATTTGATTTATATGCCGCCCTTCTCCGGAGACTCAGGGCGGCTTAACAATGCGTTAAGCAATAGCCTTCATACTTTTGTATATTTTATATAAAGTCAGCTTATTGCCCCCACAAACTGGGTCTTCATTTAACCTACCTTAGAAAGGATGGAAGGCTGAGTCAACCTTGAGCTTTGTAACTTTAAGACTTGTGGACTTCAGCTCCCAGAGTTCTGGGAGTTGAAGTCCATAAGTTTTAAAGTTGCCAAGGTTGGAGACCTCTGACCTAAATGACAGACTGTCTTAGAGAATCTGTCTTTGAGAAGATCTATCTATATGGTTGCTAAGAGTCAACAGTGGAAAAGTATCAATCCGTATGAAAACCCTTCTCTCTGGAGAAGGGCAATATGAACATTGATCCATATGGTTGCTAAGAGGTGACATTGAATTGATGGCACATAATCCATCAATCAGTATCAAGACCAAGGTGCTTTGAGAAGTCCATCATTGGCATCCTTCAGTCTCAAGAGACTATGGTATTTGAGAAGTCCATAATGTTGAGAAAGGTGGAAGAAAAGAGAAGATGATGATGATATCCAAGGTGGATTGACACCTTGGTGGTGAGGGCACCATTAGAAGATTTGAAGGAGCTGGCTGGGGACAGATCATCATGGAGAAGGTCAAGTCATATGGTTGCTAAGAGAAGAGTGACTTGATGGCAATGTCAAGACCAAGATGCTTTGATAAATCCATAATGTTGGATAAGGTGGAAGGGAAGAGAAGAAGAAGACAACAAAGATGGATGGGCTCAGTAAGGGCACCACTGGAAGACCTGAAGAACCAGGTTGGAGACAGATCATCCTGGATAAAATCTATTTATGTGTCACCAAGAGTCAATTGACTTCATACCTGATGGCACATAATCAAGGGTGACAGTATATAAGGGCATGCAGTGGTAGTGGGGGCACCATTTGGAGATCTGAAGGACCAGGTTGGGCACAGTTCACCTCAGAGATGATCAATCCATATGGTTCCTAAAAGCTGACACTGACTTGATGGCACATCAATCAACCCATGTCAGGACCAAGTTCCTTTGAGAAGTCCATAATGCTGGGAAAAGTGGAAGGGAAGAGAAGAAGAGGAAGACCAAGGTGGATGGTTACAGTGGTGGTGAGGACACCATTCAAAGACTTGAAGGACCAGATTGGAGGCAGATAATCCTAGAGAAAATCTATATATGTGTTCACCAAGAGTCAACTATGACTTCATACTTGATGGCATATCATCAAGGGTAACAGTATATAAGATGATGAAGTAGTGGGAGGAAGCACCATTTGGAGATTTGAAGGACCTGGTTGGGCACAGTTCACCTCAGAGAAGATCAATCCATATGGTTCCTAAAAGGTGACACTGACTTAGTGGCACATCAATCAATCCATGTCAGGACCAAGTTCCTTTGAGAGGTCCATAATGCTGGGAAAAGTGGGAAGAGAAGAAGAGGAAGAACAAGGAGGTTGACTCAGTTACAGTGGTGGTGAAGGCACCATTGGAAGACCTGAAGAACCAAGTTGGAGGAAGATCATCCTGGAGAAAAATCTATATATGGGTCCCCAAGAGTCAACTATGACTTCATAATTGATGGCACATCATCAAGGGTAACAGTATATAAGATGATGAAGTAGTGGGGGGAAGCACCATTTGGAGATCTGAAGGACCTGGTTGGGGACAGTTCACCTCAGAGAAGATCAATCCATATGGTTCCTAAAAAGGTGACACTGACTTGATGGCACATCAATTGTTACAATCATGTAACGACCGTGACCAGGGGGGCATTTGCTCAGGTCCGCCTTGTGCACCAGTTGCGCCCTTACTTGGACCAAGATGCCCTACGCACCATTACTCATGCGCTGGTCACCTCCCGTCTTGACTACTGCAACGCTCTCTACCTAGGGCTGCCCTTGAAAACCACTCGAAGGCTTCAGCTGGTGCAGAATGCGGCCGCGCGGGTTGTGATGGGAGCGTCCCGACACTCCCATGTTACACCCCTCCTTCGCGACTTGCATTGGTTACCGGTTGCCCTTCGGGTGAGGTTCAAGGTGCTGGTTATTACCTACAAAGCCCTTCATGGCCTAGGCCTGGGATATTTGTCGGACTCCCTGCAGCCAGTGACAATTCCCAATCGCCCGGTGCGTTCCCACAGACAGGGCCTCCTCAGGGTGCCGTCGGCCAGACAGTGTCGGCTGGCGACCCCCAAGGGGAGAGCTTTCTCTGTGGGCGCACCCACCCTCTGGAACCAACTTCCTTTGGCGCTCTGGATGGCCCCTGACCTTCACTCGTTCCGCCGCGATTTGAAGACCTGGTTGTTCCGCAGCCTGGACTGATGGGGGGGTTTCTTAATGAATTTTAAATTGTTTTAAATTGGAATTTCAATTTTTCTATTGTCTTTTAATGAGAAACTGTGCATCTTTACCGTTGTGAGCCGCCCTGAGTCCTTGGAGATAGGGCGGCATATAAATTGCATTATAAATAAATAAATAAATCAGGACCAAGTTCTTTTGAGAAGTCCATACTGCTTGGAAAAGGGGAAGGGGAAAAAAAAGGAGAAGGAGAAGACCATCAGCAAGGAGGCGGACTCAGTTACAGTGGTGGCGAAGGCACCATTGGGAGACCTGAAGAACCAAGTTGGAGGAAGGTCATATGTGGAGAAAAATCTACATATGGGTCCCCAAGAGCCAACTATGACATGATGGCACATCACTCCATCCATCCATCCAAATCTACAAAAAAAGTGCTAATAAAGGAGGTGAGAAACCATCTGGACACTCCCTGGTGGTGGTTGATGGGGGGGAGACCCAGTTTGACCCCCAAGCATGGGGAACCCCCCCCCAAAAAAAGTTTAAGTAAAGCACTTTTTTTTAATTGAAAAGTTTTACAGAAAAAAAATCCCCCCCAATATTCCCCCCACCCTTTTTCCCTCCCCACCACCACCTCCACACCCCTTCCCCCCATCCCACCCTCCCCCCCAGACTTCCCAGAGCAAAATACAGGGTATTTCAATTAACAATCATAAGCTAAATTAACCTAACTATCCTTAAACTACCAAATCCCCCCCCTGAAGCCTTAACTCCACTACAGATAAGGTAATACTTCTAAAATTTAACATTCATTCATAAGCTATTTGATATTTTCTTGTCTGATACTTATTTTGAATATAGTCAATCCATCTTCAAGGAGCACTTTTTTTAAAAAAAAAATCTGTGTGTGCCCCCCCCCCCACTTTCTGCGCCGCTGTAACTTCGAACGGCCACTAAACGGGACGGTTGTAAGTCGAGGACCGCCTGCCCGTCTCAGAAGGGAGCCCGTCAAAAGAGTTCAGCCCCTCCCCCGTGTGTGGATAGACCCCCCCCAAGAGCCCCCTCAGGAGATATTTGGGGGTCCCTGTCACGGGGGGGGCGTTTTACCCCCTCAGGAGACCCCCCTGAGGCGACCCTCTTGGCTTCGGAAGGGAAGGAATTTGGGGGGAAGGTCGCGGGGGAGATGCCCCTCCCCCCACAGGGGGTTCCAGGCTCTTCCTCGCCCCCCTCCGAAGGGCCCCGCCGCCCCAGAGACCCCTCAGAGACCCCCGGTCCGTCCCCCGACCTCTCCCGCAGGGCCCCAGCGCCGGCGCCCCACTCACCAGAGCCCCCGGGGCCGCCATCTTGGATCCACGTGTCGGCGCTGACGTCGCCGGAAGTGGCTTGCCATTGGCCGAGGCCGCCGGTCGCCATGGAGACGGCGGCCATGGCTGGTTTGGAAGGCCCAGCCCGACTTTGGCCTGTTTTTTTACGGACGCTTCCTCGTCCCCCACACCAACCACGCCCGGGCTGGCAGTTGCAAACCCCTCGCGGAAGGAACGGGGAGGTTTGGTGGAAAGGAAGCGTTGGTTGGGCCTTTTCCGCCTTTATCGCCATCTTGGCTGCTGGCGGGAGCGGGGCTCTTTCCGCCATCTTTGGTGCGGGCACGTTCCTGTGTGGAGGCGGCGGCCATGTCTATCGTGGGCAGGATAGCAAGGCGCCCCTTTACGTGATTGGATGTTGGGAGCGGGCGCCATCTTTTTTAAGGGCAGTGCTGGACTGCCCAGATGATTTTTAAAGGGCTTTAAAAGGAGACTGTGTGCAAAGCCAACATTGGCTTAAAAGGCACAAATCATCAGAATTAGGCTTTCAGGGATGTCTTCTACAGCAGACATGTATTTTTCTATACCCATTTTAGATTCCCAGGATGCCCTTTCTTGATTAAACGACTTTAAGTAACTGCTGCAGTCATTAAGTAAGGACTCAGTCGTTAAGTGAGCCAATTCTGCAAGTTGAAGTCCCACAAGTCTTAAAATTGCCAAGGTCGGAGACCCCAGATTTAGTATTTTGTATGAACTCGGCCACCCTGCCTTATCAATTGTTTAGTGAGTTTTGCCCCATGTTATGACCGTTTTGTCAAGTGAGTCATGTCATTAAGTGAACATGGCTTCTCTCATTGTCAGAAGCCGGAGGGAAGGTTACAAAAGGCAATCATATGATCCTGGGACATTGCAACCGGGATCATATGATTAAATACATGCTGGTTGATAAGCATTCAAATTCTGATCACTGACCATGAGGATGTTGCAATGACCATTTTTAAAAAGTGTCATCGTAACTTTGAATGGTCACTAAACAAATGGTTCTAAGTCGAGGACAACCCGTAGAGTGGTTGGAGCAGACCTGGTACACTATGCCCAAATCAATCCAGATCATGGGTTAATGTAATGTGTGAACTCGGACGTCTTTCCCACTGAAGTTTTTTTAATTTCAAGATTTAGAGTTTAGCTTTTGATAGATAGATAGATTCACATCAATCCTTTCAAGATTTTCTCCCCAGGTAAAATGGGATGAGCTGTTTTCTCTTAAAAGAGCTAAAAATAAGGGAAATGTTTGGAGGAGAAAAATGGTTGTCATGGAAAATAAGGAGTTATTAAAGAAAAATGAAGTCTGAAAACTTCTGTGGTTTGCAAAAGGATTTGGGTAAGCATGAAACAAAAACATAATCTTCAGCCATATCAATGAATCATTAAAAATCCAATCCTTAGGGGAAAATAATATAACATCTGAAGAGATGTTAATATAGGTATTCCTTGACTTACCACCATTGATTTAGTGACTGTTCAAAGTTGCAACAGCATTGAAAAAAAGTGACTTATGCCTGTTTTTCACACTTATGACCATTGCAGCATTCCCCATGGTCACATGATTTAGATGCTTGGCAACTGGCATGTACTTATGACGGTTGCAGAGTCCCGGGGTCACGTGTGATCCCCTTTTGCAACCTCCTGACAAGCAAAGTCAAGGGGGAAGCCAAATTCACTTTATATCCATGTTACTAACTTAACATCTGCTATGATTCACTTAACAATTCTGGCAAGAAAGGTCATAAAATGGGGAAAAACTCACTTAACGGTTTTGCTTAGCAGCAGAAATTTTGGACTCAGTTGTGGATGTAAGCTGAGGGTTATCTGTAAATCTAAACCAAAGTTTGTGGCTTGATGTACGGGGTTTGTATATGGGAACCTATACAAATTATGCTTTAGCGTCATGTGTGATCTCCATCAACCTCCCTGAAGCCACTCATGTGTTTGAAATAACTGTGGATGTGTTTCACGTACATACATTTGAGCTAGATAGTTCCAAGTAGCCAGGATAGATTAGGGACAGATTTTCATGGAGAAAATATATCTATGCGGTTGCTAAGATCAGTAACACCTTAAATAAGAATGGAATGGAATGGAATGGAATGGAATAGAATAGAATAGAATAGAATAGAATAGAATAGAATAGAATAGACACTGAAGAGGTTGTAGAAAAAAAATGCCTTTAAAAGCCTCTGACGATCCCAGCTGAGTTGCCTGATCGTCAGAGGCTTTTAAAAGCATTTTTTTCTGCAACCTCTTAAGGTTGTAGAAAAAATGCTTTTAAAAGTAAAAAAAAAAAAAGTTGGCCACGCCCACCCAGTCACATTACCCACCAAGCTACACCCACAAAATAAGCCACACCCACAGAACCGGTAATAAACATTTTTAGAACCCAGCCCTGATTTGTTCCTATATATTTGCCTCCCCTAGGTTGGGTCATTCACACAACAAAAAATAGGGACTTAGCTAAAAAAAAGAGAGGGGGGTAACATATTAGGAAGATAAAGGTGGGTTTCTTTAATTTCATTAAGTCTAATGAGTTAGAAAAGATGCATTTTTTGAGGTATTCACATAAAAGATACCTACCTGTATCCATACAGATGCTATTATCTATATCCAAAATATTTTCCCCCCTGGAATTTTGGATTTAGTTACCTTATAGGTATAAATTTTGTTCATGCACCCAGGGAATACTGATCTATTGGAATGGTTTGAAAATGTGTTACTTGTGAGTTGCTTTTGTTTCTTATATTTATTTTTCTCATCAGGAAAGGATAGAGGGAAAGAGGACCTAAGGAGTTGACTCTAAGCAGCAGGTGAAAAAAAGCTCATATGCTTTTTTCGTGCCATCGAATTCATCATTCAATTTGATGAGAATTTGCTTTATGAAAATATTTCAAAGCAGAAGAGAATGTGAGTGGCCAAGAGGTGTGTTTTCACTTATCCTTCACTGCACAAGTCTCTCCAAAGACAGCTTCTCTAATGTCTTATTTTCCATTACATTCCAAAGGAAGATGACTATAGGAGTTATTTTATTTTAAATTAGCCATGAATTTAAAAGTTGCTATAACTGATAAATTATGGGAGTAGTTCCTTGGAAAAAATTCAAAGAAACTCTTCACATTTCTCCCGCATACCAACCTGGTAGAGAATTTTAAAAGCTCTATTGGAGCCCAGGTCTTGATGAGATAAATCTCTGGGAAATTCTTCTTCAAGATGATAATGGCAATAATTCTGGAGAATACAGCTCCAGTCTATTTTTGACTTTCCTATTAAGCAATATATAGACCCTGAAGCTCCTGTCTCTGGTCACTCAAAGCTTGGAGTTGAAGTGATGGGATGCCAGATTTCCAAACGTCTCTACAAAATATTAAAATATGTATAAATAATAAGGCATTGGTGTGCAAGGCAGATATTTTGGAGTTTAGGGTTGCTAAAGTCTATGTTTTCAACAGCCATCTTTGCATTCTACACTCAGTATCTTCAATTTGGATTCTTACTGATCTTTTTCTGTACTTCAACCATGTTTTTAGTCCCTTCACATATAGTTGTCCCAAATGACCCTCTTAAAAGGATGCAAATGACCAGCTGTCTGCAAGGAATATAAATCCTTCCATTCCCCACTATCCTGTCAGAGCTGAAGAAGCTTCTTGAATGAGAAACGAAATGTCTTCAAAAGAAAAAAAAACAAGAAAGTCCAGTTGCCTCCTGAAAAAGCATGATCTGGATGACTGAGAATCTCTACAGATTTCGTATATAGTTCTACATTTGGGGCTAACTATCTGGGTTACTGGTGTGAGCTGTAACGCAGAATGGGAGAAGTCAACGTGACTCACAACTGGGCAATCAAAGACCTATTGCTTTTTTTTATCATGCATCACATGTATTCCAACACACATAAAATAGAGATACAGGACTTTGACTTTCTGATCACATAATCATTTTAATCCTCCCTGTGTGGACAATCCCCCAGCGACTGATCTGTCTCTCTGGCTCCTTGCAGTTTGGCAGGATACAATATCAATTCTCAACTCTTTCTATTAGACGAGCTATCAGGATTTCCAGTTTATTCTGGCTTAAACTGCAACTAGGCCCTGCAATTTCTGTCATATTGATATTCATATTGAGTTATCCTCTAGCCTTACTCTTTTGCTGTAAATAACATACAAAAGTCAGTTAAGAGGAAAACACAATTTCATCCAAGATCGAAAAGCTACTGTATTTTTCTCTACTACAAGGAGAATAAGTACATTTAACAAAATCGGTGTATAGGTGAAACCTGCTCGTTTTTTAATGCTGTAAAATGGAATCTCAATGCAAAAGTGATGTTATACTGAATAGGGATATGTTGTATGGCCCAAATATTATAGTAAAACTCCAATAACTGAGTAAGAGGCAAACTGAACAATAAATTTGACTGATACTATGTCAAGCCAATCTGAGCAAGCATCTGTCATCTTACTGTTTCTAAATTGATAGCTGATTATGATGACTAATTCTTCTTACTAACCATCTCTTTATCAGGAAGCTATCCTTGTCTTTGTGAAAAATCATGTTATGTATAACTATAAAACACATTGTCAGACCTGCCCCAACTTGGTCCTTTAGATAAGAAAGACCCTTGACTCCATTCGGGTTGAAAGGTATTCTTTACTAAAAGCCAAGTAGAATATAATGTAGCAAAGCCGAAACTGATGTTCACATGCCAAAACTTCCCAGTTAACTTTCCCCATTCCGTTCCTCCCCTCTGCTTATTGCCCAACTGTATTTGAATACATTGTTTTGGGAATGCTCTCTTCAATGGCAGGCTGATCGTTGAACTGTTACCAGGGCTTTGAGCTTGAGACGGTACAATGAATTGCCAACCTCCCTCCCACGCGTCCAGCTCACTCCTCCCCATAGTTCATGGCAGACTGGCAGCTACCAAATGGGAAGCTCAGCATATGATGGCAGTGCTGACACATATACAATCTTACAAAGAGGACATAAATTGTTGGGAAAATATTAGTGCAGAAGAATCCAAGTGCCTAGTTAAACAAACAAACCGTTACTTAGCTTGGTAATGAAACATCTTTCAACCCTGAAATGCAAATATTCTCTCTTATCGGATTCCCTGAACTGGGGATTCCCCCAGAAGCCACCTACGGAGCATCATTTCTCAAAAAGTCCTTCCCTCCCCTAGAGGACCCTCAAACTTACTTCTCTAAGATCTTGAGATGATCGCCTTTCTGGAAACTGAGGTCCTCCCTGTGAATGGCTTCGTAGTCGTACAAGGCCAACGCGATAAAATCCTCGGTTTCTGGGGGGCGAGGGAAACAAGAAAAGGTTTAGGGTGGAGATAGGGGATACCCACACCCACATTTATGTACTTCCAGGTAAAGCTTCAGTTACATTATCCTGGCCACCATCTTTACAGAAGGAGACCTTTGTGACATTGATAGACCAATGGACATCTATGAAGACAATGTTCTTCAGGAGCATGTAGGACTGGAACCCAGCCTAGATGCCTACAGCGATTCAATTACATCATCCTGGCCACCATCTTTACAGAAGGGGACCTCCGTGACCTTGGTAGATTGATGGGCTTCTCAGAAGACAATGTTCTCCAGGACAATTTAGGACGGAACCCAGCTAGATGCCTACAGCAATTCAGTTCATCCTGGCTACCACCGTCTTTATTAGAAAGGGGCCCTGTGACATTGATAAACCAATGGATCTCAGAAGACAAGTGTTCTCCAGGACAATCTAGGACTGGAACCCAGCCTAGATGCCTACAGCAATTCAATTATATCATCCTGGCCACCATCTTTACAGAAGGGGACCTCCGTGACCTTGGTAGATTGATGGGCTTCTCAGAAGACAATGTTCTCCAGGACAATTTAGGACTGAACCCAGCCTAGATGCCTACAGCAATTCAGTTCATCCTGGCCACCACCATCTTTATTAGATGTGGTGGCCATTAGATGTGGTTAGATCTTTATTAGATGCCTCTGTGACATTGATAAACCAATGGATTTCTCAGAAGACAAATGTTCTCCAGGACAATCTAGGACTGGAACCCAGCCTAGATGCCTACAGCGATTCAATTATATCATCCTGGCCACCATCTTTACAGAAGGGGACCTCCGTGACCATGGTAGATTGATGGGCTTCTCAGAAGACAATGTTCTCCAGGACAATCTAGGACTGGCTAGATGCCTACAGCAATTCAGTTCATCCTGGCTAGTCTTTATTCTCCGTGACCATGGTAGATTGATGGGCTTCTCAGAAGACAATGTTCTCCAGGACAATCTAGGACTGGAACCCAGCCTAGATGCCTACATGAACAGGATAATGGTAAAAAATGCCAAGATGGTAACTGTGATGGTGCAATCAAAGCAACTATGATTATGTGCCTCCAGACAGAGCTTCAATTACATCTCCTGGCCACCATCTTTTGATTGTATTTGCAGCCCAGGAATCTACTCTCCGCTGTAATGGGAGATACATACCATCCGTTTGCTGGGGCTTGGATCCTTTGATGCCCTGGAATGCAAAAAAAAAAGATTTAATTATTATTATATCTTATGCCAGTGACACTTTATCAAAAACCTGGCACTTTTAAGAGACGAAGAATAAGATGGAGCTTGTCTTAGAACCACAGAGATGATCATTAGAAAGAAAAAAAAAAAGAATATATCCAGCTCTAAGGAACTGCCTCCGATGGTCCCTCAGGAAATCCAAACTCTTAATCCATGAAGTTGAATCGAAAGAACTTTAACTGAGAAAGAAGTAGTGATTGCAGCAGGACAAGGCGGAATCTGAAAAAGCCCACACAAAGCACAAAGCAATTCTTTCGTTTCCCCGAGCCCAGACTCCCTGACCACTGGCAGCCAATTTGATGCCGAAAGGTTGTTTTGAGAAAGCTAGGGTGCTAGGCAGATAACAGTTCACATTCAGGGCACGATGGCCTTGAAACCAGGCTGAAACTGGCTGCGAGAGAGTTCATTCTGTCTCTGAAGATGTTCCCCCTCTCGAATTCCCAAGCAGTTACAGCAAAAGCAAAAAAGCAAGCTAAAGATGCCAGCAAGCCTCCTTCCCACCCACCCACTTTCAATAGAATGGCAGGACACAATAGTGGAACTGACACCAGCTTTGTTTCTATCTGGAAATGTTGTGGCCCCTCAGCAGCCTGTGCGGATTGTAGCTGATTCCGACAGCGAGGAGGCTGGTGTGGTGCTGCGCCAGCAGCCTGTGCAGCTGGCACTCGAGTCGGACAGTGAGGAGGCTGGAGAAGATGTGGTGCCAGAGGCAGGGATTCAGCCAGGGCCTTCAGAACCTCTAGAAAGTTCCATAAGTGAAGAGGAAGAAGAGGAGGAGCCTCTTCTCGATGCACGGGCGCACAGAGCTGCCAAAAGGCAGGAGTGGCTCCTCAGGAGGAGGTCTCCTCGAGAGTAAGGCTTGGGGCTAATTGGCCACTCCCTTAGCCTATTTAAGAAGGAACGCCGACTGAAGCAATTTGCAGGGAACAACTTTAGTTCATTCTCCTTCGCGTCTGGATTCTCTGCAAATTGCTTCTGGACTTTCGGCCAATCTTAGTAAGAATTGTGATTACTTTATCTTTGGTTTCTTGTAGGCTGTTAAGAAAGTTTATTAACAGCCTTTGTTTGGCTGTTGACTTTTAGTAAATTTAAGTTTTGTATAGACTTTGTGTGTGCTGTATTCTTTGGGGTCCGTAGCTGGGGCAGAACAGGAAACCATTTCTGGACTTTTTGCTCAAGGACAGGAAAAAAAAAATCAGCTTTTGATTCTGGGTTTGGCTGATTCATACGTTTTGTTGTCAAAGAAACGGCTAGTACAGATAGCCCTGGATTCACTCACTATCACAATTGAGCCCCAAATTTTTCTGTTACTCAGCGAGACAGTTTTTAAATGGGTTTTGGCTGCATTGCTGGCTTGATCCCATCTTTCGGTTTTAATTTGTAATTGATTTTATTGGGGTGTTTTAAATTGTGGGCCGAAATTATTTAATATCTTTTTAAATTGTTTTAAATTTTGTATGCTACGTTTTACCTTGGCTGTTCACCGCCCTGAGTCCTGTTGGAGAAGGGCGGTATAAAAATCAAATCAATCAATCAATCAATAAAATAAATTTCAGAGCCGAAGAAGCTTCTCGGGGTAAGAAGCGAAACGTCTTCAAAGAAAAAAACAAGGAAGTCCACTTGCCTCTTGAAACAAAAGCACCTCTGAGACAACCATTTTGGGACTTTTCTTCCCACGGTTGTTAAGTGAATCCCTGCAATTGAATGAGACACAGACACACATACACAATCACACACCAGAGATGGCTTGATGGTAGGTTCGGTGGTATAACGAACATCCAGAGTCGAGTTCGAGTTCTCTTGCTGTTTCCCCTTTCCTGGGAGAACGTTGAATTTGGATTCTGTGCAGCCCATTCTGGGAAGGGAGAAGAAAAGACCAAAAGATAAATATTCCCATTTTATTCCCCTTCGACTTGCATAACAACAACTGAAATGGACAAGACACAATTTCTGCGTGTGAGAATACAGTTAAACTGAGATTTCAACGCATCTTGCTGCCTCTCTCCTGGGGTTATTCTTGTTTCAAACATTTCCTCCAAATTGCCCTTCTCGGATAAGAACCTGTGCAGGGAATCCTCCTTTAGCGACCAGCTATTTGGTCATTAAGCGAAGCAGTTGCTAAGCAAACCTGCGGCTGCTCTCTTAGCTTTCCTTTGCTTTACGGACCTGCGGAGGTTCTCGATGGGTTGGCAATGTGGCTTTGAGTCACCCTCGTAACGGCGAACGGTCGCTAAAGGAGGCCGTCGCTAAACGAGGACTGCCTGTATGAACCACGACGCAAACTTTTCTTCTGTAGAATGTTTGTCATATGACCAAAAATAATAACAAATTCAGCTGTTATCATCTCGACTTTGCTGGACACTCTTCTTTGCAGATAAACTTAATAAAATAAATATACATAAATAAAATAGATCCAGCAGACGCTATCTCCAACAGCTTTTCCTGCAGGAAAAAAAAAATTGCCAAAAGCAGCCAGCACGGAATAGAATAACAGAGCTGGAAGGGACCTTGGAGGTCTTCTAGTCCAACCCCCTGCCCAGGCAGGAAACCTTACACCATTTCAGACAAATGGTTGTCCAATCTCTTCTTTAAAATTTCCAGTGTTGGAGAATTCACAACTTCTGGAGGCCAGTAGTTCCACTGGTTAATTGTTCTCACTGTCAGGAATTTTCTCCTGAGTTCTAGGTTGCTTCTCTCCTTGATTAGTTTCCCTCTCCATTAAGGGCAGGGCATTGGGGGTCTTTTTGCTGTCATTGAGCGAGGGGCAGGTGCTTTTTCTCACAAGAAGACCCACCCAGCCAGAGAAGGCCGTGGGGGTGTGGGGGTGTGGAAGCTAGGCACCTGCAACGCACCTCTTTAACATGAGCTGCAAAACTGCTGGTTCATAGTTCCAGGAGTTGGACTCTCCAGCTGTTAATCTAAGCCAGTGGTTTCCAACCTGGGCAGCTTGAAGAGGTGTGGACTTCAACTCCCAGAATTCCCCAGTCAGCCGGGCAAATTCTGAGAGTTGCTGGCTGGGGAATTCTGGGAGTTGAAGTCCACACCTCTTCAAGCTGCCCAGGTTGAGAAACACTGGTCTAAGGCACTAATGGTAGACTGCTTCTTCTCCTCTTCCTCCTCTTCCTTCTTCCTCCTCCTTCCCTTTGCTCCTCCTCCTCCTCTCCTGTGTACATTTTTCTTTTTCTTTTTTGTCCTCTCCTCCTTTCCTCCTTCCCTCCGTTCTTCCTCTCTTTGTTCCTTCCTTCTCTCCCTATTCCCTCCCTCTGTCCCTTCCTTCTTTCTTGCTTCCTCCATTCCTGTTCCTTTCGTTCTTTCCTTCCTTCTCTCCTCCTCCCTCCTCCTTTCTTTCTTTCTCCTTCCTTCCATCTCTCCTCCCTAATTCTCTTCCTCCCTCATTCCCTTTCCTTACCTTCCTCCCTCCCTCCCTCCCTCCCTCCTTTCTTTCTCTTTCTTCCTCCTTCCCTCCTTTTCTTTCTTTCTTTCTTCTTTTTTTTCTTTTTTCTTTCTTTCTTTCTTCTTCACCTTCCATCTCCCCTTCCTAATTCTCTTCCTCCCTCATTCCTTTCCTTCCTCCCTCCCTCCCTCCTTTCTCTTTCCTCCTTTCCTCCTTTTCTTTTTCTTTCTTTCTTTCTTCTCCTTCCATCTCCTCTCCCTAACCCTATTCCTCCCTCACTCCTTTTCCTCCTCCCTCCCTCCCTCCCTTTCTTTCTTTCTTTCTTTCCTCCTTTCCTCCTTTTCTTTTCTTTCTTCTTTCTTCTCCTTCCATCTCCTCTCCCTAACCCTATTCCTCCTCACTCCTTTCTTTCTTTCTTTCCTCCTTCCCTCCTTCTTTCCTTTCTTTCTTTCTCTTTCTTCTTTCTTTCTTTCTTCTCCCTTCCATCTCCCCTCCCTAATCCTATTCCTCCCTCACGCCCTTTCCTTCCTCCCTCCCTTCTTTCTTTCTCTTTCTTTCTTTCTCTTTTCCTCCCTCACTCCCTTCCTCCCTCCCTCCCTCCTTTCTTTCTTTCTCTCTTTCCTCCCTCCCTCCCTCTTTCTTTCTTTCTCTTTCTTTCTTTCCTTTCTCTCTCTCTCTTTCTCTTCCCTCCCTCCCCCCCCCCTCTCCCTCTCTCTCTCTTTGTTTTTCTCTGTTTTTGTCCAGCGATGTCAGTTGCCCCCTTGTTCAGCATGGCTTGCCAGCTCTACAAGAGGAAGCTGGGGTTTGCAGCCACCCTCGCCGGGGTTGGGCGCCCATCAGACTGTGCAAATATATTTCTCAGTGCCGGGAAGTCCCCATTTGCATCTCCTGTCAACAAAGGCAGTGGGCAGCAACGGTTCCTCTCCTGTTTTGCATCCCAGAAGGCAAATTTTTCTGACTCCCTTGCAAAAAAAATAACGGTAGGTCAGAAGGTCTGAATTCGAGTTGCCCGAAGTAATGATTAGCAAAGGAATTTTCTCCTGCCCTGAGTAGAGGCTGGACTAGCGGACCTCTTAGAGCCCTTTCGATTGTAGGATTCCAGATGTCTTCATCTTTACCTCTGTGTACCTCACAACAACCCTTTGAGGTAGGTCAAGTTGCAAGATAGCACCTCCTCAAAGCTCACCAAGAAGCTTTCACAGCTGAATGGAAATTTAAACCTAGCGCTTCCTTCTCTATCTCCTCCAGCTTGTTGGACTACAATCCCCATCATGCCCAACCACTGGCTCCAACCACTACCCGACTGTGGCTATTTCCGCATAATAAATTACTTATATTCCTTTTCCATAGCCACCCATCTCTGTCAATGACTCCAGGCAGCTTACAATTAAAAAAATATATTGCATGATAATACGTATTATCATATGTGGTGGACATGTGTGGAAGCAAAAATATATTGGGCAAAAATGTGTATGTGGTTGATGACGCCACAACATATTGATTTAAAACCGGAACTGTTCCTGTTGGGGATTTTACCGGGAATTTATAGTAAAGAAACCGTATATTTGATTATTCATGTTATAACCGTAGCTAGAATTGTATTTGCACAAAACTGGAAAAGCGAAGAGATCCCTATAGATGAAAATGTGATTAAGAAAATATTAGAATGTGCAGAAATGAACAGATTAACACTTGCAACTCAAGGAAAGGAAAAATCAGATTATTATAATATATGGGAGTTATTTTATCAGTGGTTAGAGAATAAATATGAAAGCAATGTATTGTAAAAATAGATTAGTAGAGAAGAGAAATGTTAGGTTTATGTTACTTTATCAGTATTATTATTATTTAGTATTAATATAAGAATAAATGTAAGAAATGAATATGATGGTAAGTTTAACTGTTAAGACACAAAACAATTTATACCCAGACGATGCACTGTTTAATGAAAGATGGAATAAAATAAAAAAAATTTAATAAGTACAAAATTATATTGCAGTAAAGATGCTAAAAACATTTTCAAACAATAAAAGCCACAGAAGCATCCAACATAAATACAGGCAATTCTCAATTTACGACTACAACAGAAATAACAATTTCTGTTGTTAAGCAAGGCAATTGTTAAGCGAGTCACACCCCATTTCACGACCTTTTTTTTGCCACCGTTGTTAAGTGAATCACTGCACTGGTTAAATTACTAACCCGGTTGTTAAGTGAATCCAGCTTCCCTGTCGACACTGCTCGTCAGAAGGTCACAAAAATGATCGTATGACCATCCCTTCCCAGGACACTACATCCGTCATAAATATGAATCAGTTGCCAAGCGTCCTAATTTTGATCACGTGACCGCAGGGATTACCGCCATGGTCATAAGTGCAAGGACTGGTCGGTTGCAAGTCATTTTTTCCAGTGCCCTTGTTAACAAGGAGGAGCCTTGGTGGTGCAGCAGACTAAAGTGCTGTTAAGTAGCACTTAGCTGCCAGCTGCCTGCAATTACTGCGAGTTCGAATCTCACCAGGCTCAAGGTTGACTCAGCCTTCCATCGTTCCGAGGTAGGTAAAATGAGGACCCGGATTGTGGGGGCAATAAACTGACTTTGTATAAAAAAGAACACCACTCAGGGGGATGGGTGAAAGCCCTACTAAGCAGGTATATACAAAAGTATGAAGGCTATTGCTTAACTCATTGTAAGCCACCCTGAGTCTCCGGAGAAGGGCGGCATATAAATCAAATTAAAAATTAAAAATTAAAAAAAACAGTTGTAAGTCAAGGACTGCCTGTCTACAAAGCAGCTGAGACAGTTGGCCAATTCACACATTCAGAGCCCCGGGCTCGTGAATCATTTAAAAATAATAAAATAATTTAATTTATCTTATTAACTGTATCGATTAATTTTACTGGACACCCGCCTCGATTCGAAGCGACTCTGGGTGGGGCTCACAGCACTAAAAGCATTAAAAAAAACCCATCCACGGTAAATATTTTCTGAAAAGAAAAAAGCATGGAAATTACGCCGAAAAAAATAGAATTGTCGTTAAAAGATGGGGAGGGAAGGAGGGAGAAGATGCAGGAGGGATGGGAGGAGGTGGATTTAGAGAATAACAGAGTTGGAAGGGACCTTGTAAGTCATCTAGTCCAACCCGCCCACCCAAGCACGAGACCCCACACCAACAATCCATTTTCCAGCTTATTTTATTTATTTATTTAATTGGTTCGATTTATATGCCGCCCTTCTCCGGAGACTCAGGGCGGCTTACAATGCGTTAAGCAATAGCCTTCATCCTTTTGTGTATACCTGCTTAGTAGGGCTTTTGCCCCCCACCCAAGCGATGTTCTTTTTTATACAAAGTCATCTTATTGCCCCCACAATCCGGGTCCTCATTTTACCTACCTCGGAAGGATGGAAGGCTGAGTCAACCTTGAGCCTGGTGAGATTCGAACTCGCAGTAATTGCAGGCAGC